ATTATTATCTGAGTTGGCATTACCCTTTCTTGTGTGCGGACAAGTGGATAATCTCTTCAGTTTCAATCGAAGTTAAGAGAGTGTGTTTTCCACTCATTCGTCTTAGCTACAGTGCATTATTTAGCATATACGCCGTCACACACGCGTTAGTCTGTAGTGTGTAGGTACAAATCAATTAAGAACTTGTTTATTTTACCTGCCTAAGTCCCGCAGGACAATACACGGAAAAGATAACTAGTCAAAATAACTTCGTGAATGTGCCGAGTTTGAGACTTGGAGCCCCTCAACTATTCAGCTTCTTTTAAGAGTTTTTAATAATAACACTTAGAGCTGAAATTGATTCTACCACCGCAATTTCTAAATTGATCTTTTCTATATATATTGTAGGCAACTTTCCATTATTATATATCTACAGTAAGGTTATATAACTGTTAATATAACAACAAATTTAGCCTAAAGAATTAAGTTAGAATTGTAAAAAAGACATAAAATTATCCAGCAATTAAAAATATATAATTTAATAGGTATATAGAGCCTCTTCTGTCTAACATTCTTAATTGTAGTTGCTATAAAAAAGGTTTTTAGATAATGCAAACAAAAAGGGTCCCAGATTTGTATGATTGATAAACAGTATTCTTAAGAGTCTCCCTTAGTCTGATTTTAAAAGAACTTGCAACTAAAATAAATTATTCATCTATGAGGTTGAAGGCCTTTCTTAGCTGTGGGTCATTAGGTACATGTACAGTTGTTTTCAAAGCACTCCCTTCCCCCTGTTCTTGCACTATACCCGACTATAGGCTAATTAGTTTTTTTTTTCTCTAGAAAAAGTTTTTGAAATTGTTTTACTGTCACTATCTAAACCTTATATAACTTAACATAATACTTAACTATAACCCCAACATATTATTTTAACAAAGTCACAGGCATAATCCTAGTAGATCTTAAGAACATTAAACGGTGGCATTCAACTTTACGTATAAATAAAGATTAAATTTGACACTTGGATTCCCTATCATTTTGTCTGATGGATAGTTGCCGTATAATATGTAATTTTTTTATAGTCTAAGGTACCCAACTAGACAGCCCAAAAGCGATGCCGATTCTCTTGACATCTTGCTAGTATTTTGGGCAAGACCATTCAATAACTTAGTGGATTTTTCACCTAAATAAGAGAGAGAGCCCGACTTGTAGCAGGGGCCGATTACTTTTTTATAACGTCGAAATCCTTTTAAAGGATATAAATCTAAGATCTACTACGCAAACTTCTCCCCTAGTTTCCCAAGTGGGCTTCAAGACGTGCATTTAATAATTAACCACCAGGAAAAGTATCGCTTTTATTGAACTCATGAATACAAACTCGTTTAAGCTAAATATAAAGTTGCAAGGCTCTATTATAAACCTCTACTGTTTGCGCTCTTAACGCGTGATGTGCCTTTACCGGCCCTAGTACTACGTACTAGCGAAGGACAAGGACAAACCCAATCACCGCGATAATTACGAAAGCTAGATAGTTTTTATTACTGGCACGAGATTCGTATCGCTATTCCATAACGACTTTGTGCTATTTATGTAAAGGATGGGTCAAAAGCCGGAAAAAAATAGAGATTGATATATTCATTATATATTAAATATACATATATAGACCATTTGATCTCTATTATTACCTAAGACTAAATAATTAGATGACTGCTAACCTGTTCGAAAGTTTAAGTATTCGGTGTTTGTTGCCCCGGTGAAGTATTAGAAAACCATTCATTTTTTTTCTTTCCAAATTACTCATTTGAAATCACGAAGGTCTGACTGAGGAATTTACTACCGTATTTTGAGGGCCTCGGGTGTCAATACTTCTGACCACCTTTTCCTTTGGTAGTTTTGGGTGTTTTCTCTCTACTTAGTGAAATGGCGGGACCTGTTTCTGTTGTTTCTGCTACTTCACATTCCTTTGATGCCCCTACACATTGCGAGCCTGCTGAAACCCTATTTGTTGAGAGAATTACAATATATAAGCGTTGTAGCTTTGTTAGGAAGCTTTTGTCCCGATGGCATCACTAATGGGAGGCTGAAGAAAGTCATCAATAAGGATGCACTATCTTTATCTTCTTATAAAACCTTCAATGCTCCTTGGGCCTTTACGATTTGATGGAAGACGGCGATCGTAGTGATGCTACCAAAACACTTTAACCGGAAACAGCATCTATCAAGCACCGACCTATCAGCCTACTGTCAGCGGCTAGCAAAGTGAGTGAGGCCTTTTTACCGCACCGTTTTATAGAGGCCGTCGAAAAGCTTTACCGGAGTTTCATTTTGTCTTTAGGCAAGGGCACTCAACGACCGGCAGCTCCTCCGCTTAACTGAATGGACCACTCGCGCTTTTAACCAAGGTAACAGGCGCTGTCTCCCTGGGCGTTGAAAAGCATTTGATCCAGTTTGCATGAAAGTCCACTGCACTAACTGTGCTCGTTATCCACCCCTCACGACCTTTATAACCTGCTGAAATAATGTTTGAATGATCGCTTCCGCAGCGTGCGCATGGGAGACACCCGGGCACCGCTTCGATCTCTAACAGCAGGAGCCCCTCTAGGGGCACCTTTCTCGCCCCTTTTATTTGCAATTTACATGGGCGACGTACCTCGCCGTACTACCCACACACACGAATCGCCCTCTACGCTGGTTATTCGACCGTATATTCCTCTTTGAAGCCTCCTGCCTTGCTATGCAAGCATCTACAGCGCTATCTTGACGCCCTTGCTGTCTGGTACTGTAATAGGAAGGTTACTATAAATGCGATAAAGAGCAAAGCTATATTAATTTCATGAAACGCTTCCCTTCGTTGGTGCCCTTAACCTTTAATGGCGTGAAGATTCCATGGTGTTCTTAAGCGAAATACTTGGGAATCATCGTCGACAACAATTTTTCCTGGCTGCTTCACGTGGACTATGAAGTAGCGAAGGTCAAGGCAGCAACCATGGCGCTTTATCCTTTACTTTGCATCAAGAGCAGCTTTCTCTGCGAAGCAAACGGCAATTGTATTGTCTTACATCCAGACAATAATGACGTAGGCACCTGCTGGTTGGACCTACGACCCCACTGCGATAGCGTCGGTTCTTCAAGTGCGACAGAACAAATTGCTGCGTATTCTGACAAAGGCGTCGTGGTTTGTGCGAAATGATTCTCTTCATCGGGACCTTCAGCTGGGCCCTTTAAACAATGTCTTCCAACTCCATGCCATGATCCTTTACGACAGGCTCACCAGGAACGCTAATCGCTTGCTGGTAAACGAACTTATCTACGAACCAATGGACGGGGCACGTTATCACCGACCACGAAGCGCTTGAGCGATATTTTTTTTTGTTAATGTAATATAATGACACCCTGAGTATTACTTGTAATATATCTGCGATCACTCCTGATTGAGAGCTCGAGTTTTCAAAGTTTTTAATTCGGTCGAGCTCCAGGGACTGCCATTAACAAATAAATAGGAAGCTGTTGACTATCCCTCTACTATTCTCTATTCTCCACACTTAATTTGTTACACTTTTTTCTGGCGTTAATAATACTTGTGTATGCTTTTATTTCCATATTGGCAACTAGTTTCTGTACCCTTCAGGCACAGTAAATTTAACTTGAAGGAAGGGGGGGATTCTAAAGGCTTTTCGCTCTTTGCTTATACCGCGCGAGGACGCCTATGAATTAATGATAGTTGCTGCTTTTTTAGCTTAAATAATGGAGTCTTCTTAACTCAGTAACCCCAAATATGTTATTCGTAGATAATTATATCAATTTAAACTACTTTTTATTGCATCAGCAATCGGGGGGTGCATTATTCAAAGCATTCATCACTTAACTTTTGCCTTTTTTTATTCAGTAAGTCTGTAAACATAATGAGCTATTAAAGGTTTTATTAAAATTTTAAATAAGTTTCGCTTAAGAAATGATAATCTAAGCGTGGCATTACTTAAAAAATAAACTTTACACCTGCGGTACTCGTAGTAAAAAGCTCCTACTATTTACCATAGTAAGTCAGTTGCCCTGTTAACGTAGTATATTCCCATTAAGTAAAAAAATATTTTATCGTCCTCAAGATTAATAAAAGCCCGAATCGAAAGTATTATTATTGTATGACAACAGTAGCGTCGGGGATAATTTTTTGACACGTTTGGTCCAGAGAGATGAATAAATTAGTATAAAACAAATGATTAAAATTAATGATAGTATAGCTGTGTTTTATTCGTGATACGTACATATTCCACCTTTAACTAAAAAATGATAAAGGTATTAAGAACCTTACAGTGGAAGCAAGAAAAAAAATATGTTGGGTTACCTACAATACCCCAAAGAGCAATGGCAAATTTGTTTTTTAGCTCGTAAAATTATTTTCCTCTCCCTATTACTTAGTTCTTACTTTAAGCTTTAGTCTAAGTCCTTAACCCTTGGCAATCGCTTTCCTCCAATCTTTGTATAAACTCATTTTTGTCTTCTCTTCTTCTGCAAGTGTATACGTCTTTAACATAGTGTCTTTCCACTCATTGCGCAAACAGGTTTTTAGTCTTTACTAAGAATATGTGTTATTTAACTCTACTCATAACACTTCCGGGGTTACTATTCCTATTAACAAACGTGAAAGTTTACTTATTTGTCACTAACGCCTGTAACTTTAAGGTAAACAAGTGTTTTCCTACAAATGCTAATGTAAAATAGAGGGTCGGATCTAGCGGGTATTACCCACGAAAGGCGACATAATTGTGTGAAAGGTATCTTAATGTCTTTATATATTAGTTAATAGTTTATTATATCAAGTCTAAAAAACAAACAAAAATTTACAGTTAGTTAAAGCCCCTATATGCCGAAGTATAGAAGGGATGGAACTAAACCAGTTTAAAGAGTTATTGACTTTTAAAGCACTAACGTAGGAGTTACTAGAATATAATTATAACAGCGTTAATAATACCAAAACTAAAGGTAAAATTGATTTATCAACAGGTTTTATAGTATTATTGAACTTTAAATAGAATAGAAGTAAAATTCAGAGGTAACATAAAAAGTTTGTCATTACTGTGTCTAAACGGGACTGGAATTAAGTTGATTACTTAACCAAGAAAAATACTGTTCTTCAGTTATGTCCGACCCTTCAAGTCTTGTTAAACCTACTACTACAAATTTATACACAAGTATAAAAAATCATGTTAACAGTAACCAGTATTATTGGCGCTGATTGACTTCTGATGTTCTTCCCAATTAATTTTTTCGGCCTCTTTACGCTTCTTTTCGATGGCGTATAACTCAGCATTTCGATTTTGAACAGAAATGTCCTTAAGGTACCCGTAGATTATACCAAGGCCAAGAGCAGTGTAACGAGACCACTATAAAATAGTCAGTAAATGGTTTGCCACTTCGCACAGGTACTAGCAAGATATACTCACCAACCCGAATAAATAACGAAACTTGGGACATCGCGAGCTTCGACGTTTTCTTTAACGGGGGCCCTTACATTTCTTTTTCTTATAAGAATCTACCACTTAAATGTAGCACTCCTTTTAAAAGGGGTTGTGTAAGTGGTCGTGACTGGGCCTTAGAGGTTGTCATCGTATTATTAATTAGTTAATAATAACGTTTGAGAATTTCATCTTTTAAGAATATAATTTTAAAATTAGATTATTATAAAGTTGTATCGTTATAGCTATCAGTATAATCAAAAAGTTCCCCCAAGTATTTTATTTATTACACATTGGGTCAAGTAATTTATTAGTAGGTCAACGTATTTTTAAAATTTATCAAGATATTTCTCAGTTAAACTAAATAGTCACATACATTGGTCTACCTATAAAACTGATAATATTGTTATTCCAAGCTATGTTTAAGTTTCCTTTCCTGGTTGTGTGCTTATACTTAAGTGGGGAAGATTTAGACTTAAAAAATATCTATTGAACTATTATTCGTAAAATAGCTCTCGGATGTTTATGCAAGAAGTCAGAGTCACTTAATGATAAAAAACAATAGCGTAGAGTTAAAAATTAAATTAAGGACAAGTTAAGCCTTCTTTGTACCATTTTTAGATGCGGAATTTTTTATCTCATTGGAAAAATATAATTTTGCGAGATATTTTCAGAATAGCGAGGTTTAACTAAAAGTTAAAGCCGGATCGTTTAGTACACAAACAGAATTAGAATAAGGCAAAAAGAAGTGATTCTTTTTTTTAAACTTTAATTTTATGAAAAGGTCTAAAAATAGTGACTGGTGCTGAATTTTTTATTGTATATAAATAGTATAACATACACTTTAAAGTTAACTTTGTGAGAAACCATTTCTTTAAATTGAAGTAAGGAGGATTCGACATAGAGTAATAGAATGAATGTAAAATGCTTAAAAAAAAAAAAGGGGTCAACATTCCATGTATAAGTGTTAAAGGTAAAAGAGATAGTAAAAATTAACAAAAGAAAAAATATTTATTTCCTTGGGATTATAATACTAAGGAGCTTTCTCACGTACACAGCAATTACTCTTGCTAGATGACTGATGACTGCTCCGTTACTCTGCGAAAGATGTTTTCTTATTTGAAAAATTTCTTAAGTAAAAATGCAAGGGAGCACTAGCGACAATCCTCGCTACACTCAACAATTTAAATAAAGGATTAGTCCAAATACCCTAAGGCAAATGGTAACGACATCATCAAAGTGATTGTTGCAATACCCTACTTAGATTTTTTAAACTGGCACACTATGGTTAGAAAAATACTAAGACTAGAAACTGCTTAACTAGCTTTTCCCTTCTCCGTGAAGGACTGAGCGCGAATGTCCTCCAGTGCTTTTCCCAAGGAAGTATCATCTGTCCTGAAGGACTAGGGGTAGCGGAGATCTATCTGGCTCGTCATTCGGCTTAGAGTTAAAAAACCGCTAAAAACCATTACCAGGAGAGATAACCCTATAAAGTACCTGGTGCCCAGCCAGCAAGGCACCTGGCAAGCCTCTACGACTTTACTAGAATTTATGAGAGCGAGGTTAAATACGCGGCCATCAAAGACCGAAAAGACTCGCCTCGGTGGGAGCCGAACCCAAGAGTTTGAACGCGCCTCAGTGCTCTTAACCGCTGCGCTACAACGACCACTCTCAATTCAGGTACGATGGTTTTGCGTATTTAACCTGTTGGAATCTATTTGCAATATGACTTCTTTAAAGGGGACCTTGATTCCCTAATATGGACTTGAGGGCGTGGAGGAGGTTGTTCAAACCTTCATACACTCACTTTTTAAGGGGATAAATTGAACGCAGCAACTAATAGTAGTATATACTCCCCTATTAAAAAAAATCTCTTTAATATAATGATAAAACATTTTATCGTTTTTCGAAAAGGTCATCAAAAAGTCTTTTAGAGATGAGAATGGAAACAAAATTCGTTTAGTAAGAATGCTTAATTTCGAAAATTCCTGAGATTCTGGACATAAACAGCACTAGGACGTAATATGACAAAATGTTTCTTCAGGTAAGCTATTCACCATGTTTTTGAAAATTAAGTAGAGAATTAAATAACAGAGGGTTTTTTGAAGCTATTGTCTGTGATCCCTCTTATATGATAAAAGTAACTATCTGTTGCTAGTTAAAAAATACAGCTAACTTTTTATTTTAAAGTTGTAAACCTATTTTTCATCAAAGTTTCACTTACTCTTATATTTTAACTTGGTTTTAAAAGGCCGATAATATAAACTCCCCTCCTACAGTAGCTTTCGGTTTCCAGGTTTGTTATCCAGAGAATTTAGGCAGAAGATTTATTTTTCTGGATATCTTTTGCCCACATAAAAACTGTTTAAAATTTGCTTCTTCTCCATTTAGTAGTTAGGGAATAAAAAATTCCTCTAGATAAATTAAGAGAGCGCGCACAAAAAACTGAAAAGAAAAAGAGTAGGTGTTTATTTAAGCAATCAAGCTTTATATACACACAATGATAAAAACTTAAGATCAATAGTTAGATTACTTATAATAGGAATTAAACAAAAAAATTAGACTGGGGATCTTATTTTTGCAACAAAAACCTTAATTCATGGCACTAAATACGACTTTTCGACTACTCTTGTATTTTTAGTAAAATCTTATTTTTTTTAGAACGTGAGTGACTTAAACTGAATACGACCTGAAAAGTTTTTAATTATTAGTATTAGAGTTGGAAAAACGCGACCAATCCTACGTAAATGATTACCTATCACTTGAACTATTTTTTCATTAAAAGAAAACCGGTTAATATTTTTCTAAAATCCTTTTCCTTATCAATATTACTGAAAAGTTTTTTAATGGTATGTAAAGTATTTAAAGTTTGCAAGACCAAACGGTTTGAGCTGCTATATATTTGTATCACTCCCAGCTATCTTTTTTGCAATCGTATATTAGATTAACTATACATTTCTATATATAAAAATATATCTTCTTATGGGCTTCCAGCTCCTCTTAAACCCAATTTGTATTTAACAGATCATACATTTCTATTAGTATTTTCCTTATTTTTAAGGATCCCCTTTCTCTAGAAATTTCCATATCAAACAGTGGAGGTCCCCCTTAAGTGAACAGGATCCCTTTATCATTTTATCGAGGACTAATACACATCCTGCCCTTTCCAATGATTTACATTAAACGTTTACTCTCTTTAAAAATAGACGTTATATATTTATATAGGTAATTAAATTTCCTTGAGGATTAAGACTTGGTTAGATTTTTGTAGTTAGTGCATATAACTTAGTGAGGACTAAGTTGTAAAATTATGTATGTAAGCTTTTAAGTAACGCGGCTCGAGAAATTTTTACTTCTATCGCATGGTTGTAGGGTGGCCTGCTTCTTGCGACGATGATTTGTGTCGCTGGGCTGGTGTAGTCAATAATTTATCATATAGTTTTTGTACTGATTATCCATATTATATACTTCGGTCACTTGATTAAGTAATACCAAGTGCACGAAAATAAAATATTTCTCACCAAACCGAAGAGTAGACGCCTATTATAAGGGGGCAGGCTTCAACACTCTCTGGAACAATATCTTTAAAGGGCTCCGGTTTTGGTTAGTGCTCCCAAAAAGTTTTTTTTTCCGGTTGGCTTAGTACTTGCGTGTTTTAAATAAAATTATTTAGTAAAAATTTAATAATTCTTCGCTTTACATTAATAAATAACGACTAATTCTATATTTATCTATTTGCAGCGTTTATATAAGGGTTAGTTTTAAGTCTTAACCAACATGGTTCAACACCGCTTAAAATTTAAAAATTCTGATAAATTAAAATAGAGAAATATGGGTATTAAAAAAAATAAAAATAACTATTTTTGAGTAGTGGGAGAAGAGTTGCTTTTAAACCGTATGTTTATTTTTCAAGATTTAAAAATTTCGCTTAGTACGAAACTATAGATCTAAAAAACAAATGTAGTTTCCTAATCATTTTTTGGTTAGTTCTGAAGTGCTAAACTATAATATGAAAGAAACGTACTGCCTATCTTACAAGAAGGATCTTGTAGTTTTAAAGGATAAAATTACAGTTTCTACTCCCACGTAAAACGTACTTTTACAAGACTATAAAGACTTAACAATTCAAATGAAAATCAATTAGTATTACACGCTTACGAATTTTTCCCCTGTAACTAACATTTCTTGGAGCAGGCCTCAATGAGGCTAAAAATAGTTACTAAAAGACTACTGCTTTTTTGTCGAAGCAGTCACGTTCAGTCACTTCAAAAAATTGTAAGAGGCCCACTGAATTTTACGAAATTAATACTCTAAATTTTTACTATCTCTATAAGCTAAGCCACTGTGAATGCATAAAGATTGGCGTCTCGATTCTAGTAAGAGCAGCGATCTATATAAGTTTTGGTAACTTGCCAACAGGGCGGAACACTACTAAAAAATAGTTGCTGTTTAGTTTTAGAAGGCGGAGAGTAAACTTGGAGATCCTCGTACTAATTTAAAAGCAGTCTAATACTAGTATAAACCACATGACTTACAGATTACAGCAACTAATAGTTAAAATATATAATTTTTAAAAAGAAAATTTGAACTAGTAAAAATTTTATAAGTTTAACAATATAGTTTCCTCCTCTTCGCTTTGACTGCCCACCTCTGCGCCCTTTCCGCTGTGTTAAAGGAAAAAAAAAATTAGTGTCAGCTGTAAGAAATCAAAAAGGTTAAAAGTACGACGATAAAGTTTCTAGGGAGGCAAGAAGTTTAGAATTTTGCTTTTCAAACCTTTTAAAAAAATACATTAAAAAAAAATAAGAATATTTTAAAACCGTTTTCCCTTTGGAGTGCGTGACTTACAACTTTTTTCTTTACAGGCAAGAATTGCAAGGCTGTAAGCATACGCGCATTAAATCGAAATACTTCGGAACACTTAACATGATTACGGCTAGACCTTTATCCATTAAAGAAGTAAGTTCCTGAACCTTAACGAAGGCAATCTCTGCGCACCTGTTAATCTAAAAAAAAATTTATTGTCAAAAGAGGCGGGATCTTCCGCAGTTAAACAACCTGATCTTTTGATAGAGGTACGCCACCGTTGTGCTGTATAGCGCAGATTTCCTTCAGGACATTCACGCCAAGGACGAGGCGCCCGCGCATCACGCTCTCTTCTTCAAGCGAAGGATCGACAGCAAAAAGATTTCTTAATCGGAGTTGTATTCTTTATAAGGAATCTACATGGATAAAGGGAACCCAGAGTCAAAAAACGAGCAGGTGATGCACAGCGGAAGATGGTGGAGGCTTAGAGGCACGGGAGGGCGGTCGAGGATGTCGTACTGCAAAAAAAGAATTTTATTATTGTTCTTTAAGCGTGAATAGAAGGAAGAGGTAAGCCTACAATAACAACTTCGTCTCCTGAAATAGCAATGTCTGGTCTTCTAAAATGGCGAAGAGCAGCCGAAACAGCGAGGCAGGCGCAATCAATGTAGTTTCCACAGTGATCGAGCACATGAACATCAACGCGTATGCTCCACACCTAAAGGTTAGCACGGTTTGTGAACAACCTATTATTCAATGTTTCATTTATAACCATTTAGATAATTAAAGTTGAGCCTCTTGCGTAATAATAAAGTACTTATATAAAGGTACTCATATATAAATTAGACAAGGAAAACTGTTAGACTGAACCAAGGTATAAATTTGACTTAACCATAATCTAGAGAAAGATTAAGTAACAACTGCCTTAAACTTTAAAATTATAGCAAAGGTTAAGTAAGTTGTTTTCCTTTTCCCCAGCAACTATACATAGACCCTCCGTTTCCACCACTCTGGATTCACGAAAACAACGTTCTACAATTCTTGTCAGTTCAATACATTCCTTTGTGAGCCTAAATAACGCTTTGTCAGTCTTTTAAATTTAAAAATTACTAATGATAAAACCTTCCGGTTTCATAAGCAGGGGAGGCCATAGGAGATATGTCAATATTGAAAATAAGAAAACCTTCTGTAGATCTTTCAGAAGAAGGAACAACTACCTCACTGCTTATTTGAGCTAAAACCCTTTGAAAAATAAACAGAGAACAGTTTAGAAGGGAAAAAAAATACTTAGTGTCTCCAAGGTGTGCTTCTACATGGCCGTACTCTCTTCCAAAAAAGAAGTTAACTTTCCTATGATCATAAATTTCTCTACCATCTATACGCTAGTTTATATTTTGATGAACATTAGGAAATTATAACGTATATAATAAATTTTTCGAACTTTTCCCCTACTCAGTGCTTCTATAATGAAACTTCTCTCACAGTTTGAAGTAATATTTTTCATAACCGCAGAAGATTTATGCGTAGTAAAAAAAAAAAAAAATTAAAAAAAAAATTGATAGTTAAACGTTCTACTTTCGCTTAATATATGTACAACTTTTACGAAGGACAGCCCATGTAACACAAAAATGTGGCAATGACAATAAATGTATTTCTGAGCTGGAATAAGTTAAACTCGCTAACTACCCTTGGGTAGTTCCACTTCTCAAAGAAAGTAACCCCTTTGTGCGCGGTCGTTGGCCTGTAGAGACTTAAAAATTACGGACTTCTCCAATCTCTGCCCGTACTAAAAGTTACAAAAAGGACGTGTTTGAAGGTTAGATATATATGATCCCGTTATGGTTGTAAACTTTTCCCGTTTCAAAATGACAAGAGAGATGGAAAACCAATTTTTTACATACATTTAAATACACCACGGGTCTTAAGAGTGTTGTAATTAACGAGAATTTACTGATTTCACTAAGCTTTTAAAGACAATTAGTCAAGCGTTTGGGCGTAATATTTTGATTTTATTATCCAAAAAGGGACGGAATGACCAAGGTGGTTAATTAAATCGAAAAATAATTGATTCACTACTAATTCTTTGCAAACGATTATTTGGGTATTCTCTCCTCACCGTGTTTACATACAACTATTCACAGAAGCCACTATAGGTATGACACTTTTCAGTCTTATATGCCTTTCACCCGAATTTTGACCCACTTTAGCCACACGATTTTTTCTGCTAAGATTAGGGTAAATCATTATAAGGCTTTTACGAGAAACTTTGACAAAGGCGTTTAAAACTTATAAATCATTACTTTTATCACGCAGATAAAGAAGAGAAAGTTAGACTTAGAAGTAGGTGTCTTAGTAATGGTTAAATAAAAGAGCTCAAAGTTCAGTAGAACCTCGACGAAAGGCGTTTAATTAAGCCAACCCTGAAAATTTTATGCCTGCCCTACCACCAATAAAATTCGTATTGTTCTCCACGTGTCCTAATTAAAGAGAGATTTTTCCGCAAAGAACAAAACAAGACCATGGTAACTTGCTCTTGTATAAAACACCAAAAAAGACCGTCATTAAAAAAAATTTAGGTACTAGGTTTTTAAGAAAGGCCGTACAGCAGTAGTAAACAAGACGCCTGCTGGGTATCATAGGAAAAGTTTAGTAGATAACTAGATGGACCTAGGATTTATAAATAAGATCTGAACGAGAGACGTACAAGTCATCCACTTTTATCTTATATCTTCCCAGAGCTGTTTCATGGTTGCAGAACTTAGTATCCAGGTAAAAAAATTTCTCCTGTGAAAAAGGGAACAACTCTTAGCCATGGGATTTTCAAAATACTGATTTATGAGGATGGTTAATTTAAAGAATATTTGACTGATTAAACTAATTTCTAAGTAATTAAAGGCTATTATTTCGGGAAGAAGTTCATGGCGAAAGGTATGACGTTTCTTTACATTTCAACGAACTTCTTAACTTAATTTGTACGATCATAATAATAAAAAAATTACTCAAAAATAAGTTAATTATATTGCTTTATATAACAATATCTTATTTTTTAGCGTAAATCGTTGATTAAAAACAGTTTATTATAGTTTAAAATTAAAGAAATAAACTATTTAAATTTAAAAAACACTAATAAAAAATAAAAAAATTAATAAAGCTGTATTCATGTAGCCTTTAGAAAAATTATGTTATATAAATAAAATATCTACTATAACGTAAAGCATAACTATAAAAAGTAATAATGAATTAGTCAACGTAAATTTACAATAATCAAAAAAATTAATACTATCTTTAGTATTTCAATAAAAAGTATTAATACCTAAAAATTTATAATTAATTATTTTAAATTTTTTATGAAAAACAAAAAAAGATTTACATTAATTTAGGAAGTTAATATTATTATTTTTATTTTTGTTATAACAAACTATGAAAAGGTTAAAAATATACTTCATGTTATAAATAATTCAAATACATAATTATATAATTAAAAGTTTTTTAAAAATTAATACAAGTTCTTTTGTTATTTAAAGGAAAGCAATAACAGACTATTTTGGATTCCGAAAGTGTCGCGTCCATCAAAAAAGTGAAAGAACAATCGAACTGTGAACAAAATTCATAAAATACCTAAATGGCTTGTTCGCACTACCACTTATTACTAATAATTATTAATTTATAGTAGTAGTAATAATAGTATCTGTTTGAGTCTTAGAATACCTTTAAACTTAATAAACTTATTTACTGTAAATACTTATACTACCATAATAACAGTAAAGATGAAAGATCTTGTGGGTTTTGTTCATTCTACCTTCATCTTTTAATCTTCATATTAATATTTTATTCCAAGCACATTTTTTCGCCCTTTTTAAACTTCATAGAAGATTATAGTCGACTAGGCTATATCACCTACTACACGGGAAGTATTACATATTTTATAAGTACCTTTTTTTTAGTTTAAGTCATAATCAAAAATGATAAAGAAGAACAATTAGGTGCTTCTATATTATATTGCATTTTTTCTCAGCGCTGGCGAGGTACTGCCGGTGTTTTACAAGGCCTAAAACTACTTGTTTTAAATCCCCCTCACCAGACAAGTAAGACAAGCCTACCAATACACAATGACTGCTCCGGAAGTGGGGGTTTGAAAAATCGCTAGACACCGTTAACGGGAAAGAAAGCCCTAGCACCAAACCTGAAGCCTCCTAGAGGCAATGCAAAAGTTAGACAAGTAAAAAATTGGTACTGAAATAGTAATATTCGTCGTAGCTCAGTAGTTAAGAGCAAAACTCAAGTTGGGGGTTCGACTTCCACCAAGCGCGAATCTTTTTTAGTCTTTACTAGTTACATTTGCCTACTAGTTAAGGGCCTCCCTCCCCCAACTGAGCTTAACCCTAGAAGTCCTTTATTTGCTTGTTTATGGCGTTTCCTGGGCTGGTTCGGTTTAATAAATTCGACTCCTCGAGCTCTCATACTGGTTTAAGGGCCAAAAGTCAAGTTAAGTTTATATATATAAATTAGGTCTTTTCGCGTTTGATTAAAACTCGCATGATAGCTTCCAGTCATCCCATGACTCGTAACCGTGTTCTTCCGCTAAAAGACGGTTACCATGTTCAGCTATCCATTCGTAAAGGGCAACAGCATAGCTTTTTAGACTGTGCTCGGCGGCTCAAGCCGAAGTTAACGGGAAATTGTATTACTGCGCACAAAATACTAGGCGCTTGTTAGAAGGCGCAGCAGTATATTGGTGGCACTCGGAGAGAGGACGCCATTGCAGACGACTCTTAGGCCCAGGCTGTGATCGCTTACGCTATAATATGCCGGATCTTGCCTTCGCTTGTTGTGCTTCGAAAACTTACTTTTTGCTCCACAATGGAGGATAAGCGGCGGGCTTGCTGCCTCGAACTTTTTCACCCTGTTATTTAAGTTTGGACGCTTCGACAGCTTACATTCTATGATGACCTTCAGGTATTCTACCTGAGAGCATGACGGAATTTCTTTCTCGTTTAAGGTCAACAGCGCAGTGAGTTTCTTAATTAAGAAGAGTGCCTTTCTCTTTGCTGCGTTAATAAAGAGGCCATATAACAATGTCAGCTAGTAAGAGCTTAGAAATAAAGCTATAGGTAACAACGTAATAGGGCGGATGACTTTTACGACAATAAATCTTCGTACTGTCTAGTAAAGGGCGACCAGCATATAAAAAGTTGACTAGTAGAGATATGTCTCTCGTGTAGAGTGTAAATAGTAGTGATGATTGAAGAGAGTCTTTATGGGGGCGAAAGTGGGGTGCTCACTCGCACGCTTGAGACCCGGTCGTTTAGGTACGAACTGAACATTTCTCGAAGGTTGCGCGGGATACTGCATAGAGTTGCAGCTTGCGCAGAAAACTCTCGGCTCATCTTTTGGTAGGGGAAGGAATTATTTAATAGTTGAGTGTCCTTACCGAACCCAAGCTGATATCTTAGTAAAATTTTACGGTCGTCAACAACCGCTTTTAACGATTTAGTATAACTTCTTCAGCCCACTTGCCTATTACCCACAAAAATTTTATGGGTTGCTACTTAAGAGGTTCAAATGACAGTTGCAGTGTCTTTAATAACATCATGTTTACCACCATTTTCCATTACATGATAAACAGCCGTAGTTCATTACCGACTTAACGAGGCAGTCCGAGAACCCAAACCCCCGGCATTTATATAACATCGAGTAAGTGATGTTGCCTATCGACTCAATAGGGTTCTGACAATCGATTCGACCTGGCCTGTGGTGGACGGCATCCCTTATATTAGCCGCGAAGAAACTCGGCTTAAAAAGCACGTTATTGACAGTTGAGGACGTAGGAGGTGGCCATTAGGTGGCGAGGTTACGCTTTGTCTTCGCGGTCGTTGCCTTCGCTTCAACACGTTACTCAATGTGCCCTTAGTATAGTACCGATATGCCGATGTAGGAGGTTTAGTGCCAGTTTGTCTTCTACGCGTTGCCATTAGCCTTTTAGGAAAACGCTTAGGCTGTACCCGGTCCCAGGCATAGTCGAGAGATCGTCTTCAGCATAACTATTACCGCAATGTCGGTTATGAGCGTTGATCTCGCACTCGCTAATCTATCTTAGCATGATCGTGATTAGCAATAGTTTGCTGGGAGTATGTAGGGGTCTTCCTTTCCGGCGGGAGGCACAGTTGGCATTTCAGTAGGAGCAAGGTTGATTTAATTGATTGGGGCCTCCGCAGGTAACATCCGCAGGTAACATCCGCAGCCCCGATAGTTGGTAATGGCCTCATGCTTTGGGCGCACTGCAAACAAGCAGTTGACTACCATTTGACGCTTCACGAACAAAACAAGATTAATATTAATGTTTTACAAAAATGAAGAGGATGACTAAGTATGTGCTTGTTTGTTGTAAGTTATCATTTTTTGTGTACTCAATAACTAAGATGTAAACACGTAAAGCCATTACACTTGGTTTGATTGGTGTCATCCTAGCTCAGCGGTTAAAAGCATTGATGCGCAAACTCAAGCTCGTGGTTAACGCGAACTTTCTTTTCTTTGGCTCTTCGATTGTTGCATATTTTAACTCACCTTCAAAATTCTAATACAAAAGCGTATAAAACTTAGCTAAAAATGGTAGTTTGCGTTAAATTTGAAATTTCTTAGGGGAGTCGCTAATATTTGTAAAATAATGCGTAGAGCCTCCCGAAAGATATAAGAAAGAAGGCATGGTTTCTAATTGTAACACACTACAATTTAAAGCTATTATTAAGTTACAAAACGCTTTAAATTTATTTTATCAATATTGTTTTTATTTTTTAAATATTAATAATAACGGTAATATCAGTAATAAATGATAAAGTAATAGTAAAAAAAAAATGCATTGTGTAATTACTTTACTTTATTAACTCCGTGGGTATTCTGCTTGAAAAGTTTTTTTTTTTCTACTATGAAAAAACCCAACTGTTCGGTGATATTCTTTGTTTAACACTAAATTTAAAAAAAACTCACTTAATGAATTTAATAAAAATTTAAACTTAATTGGAATTTTAAGTGTTTAAAAACTAAATAATTACATATAAATCTAATTAATAAGTTAGTTAAATTTACACTTTTTAAAAAAATTTTTCCGTTACTTTAGCCCCGTTTTTATTAGTGCGTGCTCTCAAAAACAATATGACCAATTAGAAAAAAATTTAATAATTGGTGAACACAAAACTAATGAGGTTTCGTAATTTTAAAATCTTAATCGTTTTGATTAATTTTAATTATATTTGGAAACTTCGTCCTTTGCAAAGTTAACTTTCGTTTATGTGAAGAAATAGAATTAATTAATTATTATATAATTATTGTACGACAATTTGTTATTATAAAAAACTTCAAAGTTAAGTGTACTCTTTATACGCTGTTAAGTTCACTCTCTGAGAGGTAAATGGTCTTGTTTATAGTTTTTTCTACTATGCTATTTAAAGTAAGGTTTTTCATCCACAGATAACCATAAATATGTACCATACATGTCTAGATTTCTATGTCCAAGTATACTAAGAAATATTTTTTATTTCCTGGAAGCCAAGAAATAAACAAGTATAGCGAAATTTAACGCAACTATCTGCACTCGTTAAATACGTTTGGCCTAACTAGAATCCTAATTTGGTTAGCACTTTTTTGTTTAGAAACAATTTAGTTTTTACACAAATTTGTTGACATTTATGGACAGTTACTGTTAAATCAGAAGCGTTATAAAGAGACAACAGTAATTATTAGGTTTTACTGTTAATTCGCGTCCTGGAATTTAGTAATACCAATATATCGATAGTTGGACAACTTTTAATAGATAAACTCCTGTAGCATTAATTTATTTAAGGGCACGAACTCATGTTTAGTGAAGACGAAAAAAAAGAACTGCGAGAGCGCTTTGGTAATGTTTTTGATCATTTTTTTTATAATTATTCAAGCTTAAGCGTTTTGTATGTACCGGTATTATAAGACGAACTGGATGAAAACAAAAACGGACTGTTAAGCTTAGACGAAATAGACAAAGGTCTTAAGGATGTACAACTTATTGTCCCCAAGCATGAATTGCGTCAACTCATCTTCGATTTTGACAAAAATAATGATGGCTATCTCAACTTTGAGGAGTATTGCGAGCTTTGCTCAAACATAAAGGAAAAAAAGATAGGCCATCTTAACGTGGTAAAAGGTCTTTCAGGCCTAAACATCGTGGAGTCTACTCGTCCGCAATCTGCAGCTGGTTCATTTCTTTTAAATAATACTTAGTTAACTTAATATTTAATTTTTTATTCGAAAGGAACGACCCATTCCTTTTCTGAAGAGGAAAAATATGCTTTTACCGACTGGATTAACCATATTTTGGGTAATGATCCAGACTTAAAGAGTCAACTTCCCATTAACGTAGAAGGCATGGAATTATTTAAAGCTTGCAACAGTGGCTTGCTTATAGCGTATTCCCATACATAATGTGATATTTAACGTATTCTACTAACTATCTATATAAAGAAAACTTATTAATTCTGCGGTTCCCGAGACTATTGATGAACGCGCACTCAACAAAAAGAATCTCAACGTTTTTAAGATTCACGAAAATCAGACTCTTTGCCTCAATTCGGCTAAAGCTATCGGTTGTAGCATAACTAACATTGGAGCACAAGATATTATAGATGGCATTCCGCACTTGTGCTTGGGCATGATCTGGCAGGTTATTCGGATTGGCTTACTGGCTCACATCAACTTAAAAGAGTGCTCTGGTACTATTTCTTTTCTGTCGTGCTATCCGATTTGGTTAAATGTTTTTCTGGGGGCAGGCCTCGCCTTACTTTTGGAAGAAGGAGAGACCCTGCAGGACCTCCTCGCGCTTCCTGCCGAGCAATTGCTTATTCGCTGGGTCAACTACCATCTGAAGCAAGCCGGTACTCAGAGTTTCACGAGAAGATTCTCTAAACCGTTGCATCTTTTGACTGCAGGCACCAACCGGACTATTTCGAACTTTTCCGGGGACATCAAGGATTCCGAATGTTACACCATCCTGCTGAAGCAGATAGCCCCCCAGGAGCTCGGGATCGACACGTCGCCTCTCCGGGAGACGGACCATCTGAAGCGTGCGGAAGCCATGCTTGATAACGCAGAAAAGATGAAGTGCAGGCGCTTCGTGAGACCAACAGACGTGGTAAAGGGAAACCCCAAACTTAACCTCGCTTTTGTGGCGAACTTGTTCAACACGTATCCGGCGCTGAATCCTGTGGAAGTGACGGTTATAGAGGAGACCAGAGAGGAGAAGACTTACCGCAACTGGATGAACTCCCTCGGGGTGTCCCCGTACGTTAACAACCTCTACCAGGACCTCCGGGACGGCCTCGTGATACTGCAGCTTTTCGACCACGTGTACACTGGTTGGTAGATTGGAAACGGGTCAACCAGCCACCCTACAAAGAGAACTGGGCTGTCATGAAAAAGACCGAGAACTGCAACTACGCGGTGGACCTTGGGAAAGGTACACTACCGTCCTATCTGTATCCCACAATTTCGCTCATGGGGCTACAGAAAAGAAGTACTCTCTGGTCGGCGTGGGCGGAAAGGATCTCGTGGACGGGGGCAAGACCCACACGCTTTCTCTGATTTGGCAGTTGATGAGGGCGTATACTCTCGAGGTTTTAAAGAAGCTATCTGGGTCTGAGAAGCCAATAACAGACGGCGACATCCTCCGTTGGGTCAACGAGACACTCACCGCTCACGGCAAGAGTAGCCAGATTAAGAGCTTTAAAGACCCGTCCCTCGCAGACTCGATGACCGTCGTCGATTTAGTCGAGTCTATCAAGCCCGGCTCGGTGGACTATCAAATCCTGAAACCGAAGGCCACCGGTCACGGTGACCGCATGAGCAATGCCAAGTACGCCGTTTCCATGGCTCGCAAGATCGGCGCCAGAGTCTACGCTCTTCCAGAGGATCTTGTCGAGGTCAACCCAAAGATGGTGATGACAATATTCGCCTGCTTGATGTACGTGTGGTGTGCTCTGCTATTGCTGAGTTTACTGATAATATATTCCTTTCTTTGCATGCGGATTAGGAGCTGTTCCTACCAAAAGTGAGACTGACTTACGAACTTGGCGAAGCAGAGTTAATAAAGGCGTGCACATCGAGCAGCTACTGCTTTCTTCCACTCCCTCTCTCGTAAACAGTAAGCGTCTACTTCACTCTTTTCGTAGCTGAATAGCTCACTGAGTAGATGTCGTCCTCTTGACAGTGAGATTATTTTTAGAGTAGAAATATGTAGAAGTCAAGAACAACTTTTTTTTTAAAGAGTAAATTGTATATGAAAAATTCTTTGAGTGAACATAACGAGGTAGTAGGTGCATACAAGTTTTGGTACCTGCAGGCTAGAGCTAGTTACTTAAAGGTGTTAAATGATTAACGCCCCGTCAAATACTAAAATTACTCACTTTGAAATAATTCTTGCATTTGTTAGTGTCGACTGCCACCTCTCAAGTTACGCAAGGATCATTACAAAAATGTCCGCATATTTCCGTCTATCCTATAAATTTTCATGCATATTATAAAGACTTCGTGCCAAACAACACCACACTGTCAGAACTATAAACTATAAACTAGTTACTCTAAATATTGGTGTTTTTAAGTTTCGGGATTTTTTTTCGTTATTGTATAGCCTCAGCTTATGCAGAGACCAAAGTTACAACCGGTACTTACTAGAAAGGAAGACTAAAAAGCTAAGGTAAAATTGATATAATTCTATTTTTACAAAAGGTTACACTTCTGTAAGGTGCGGTTGCCCTTGAATAAAATTTTTTAAGTTCACTTTCTACAAAAAAGAGAGCGAAAACTCTACATTATAGAAAGTTAGCACAAAGGAAACTAAGATTTTTAAAGAGTTCGTTAGAGCTCCGGGGAGAGTCATACAAATATATTTAAGGGCCTGGATATAATATTTCTGATGTTATTCCTAGCACTCGCTTCTGCTCAATATTAAAGTTTTGCAGTATTAAGGGGTTATGCACGTAGTAGCTCTTACCAATGGTATCTCGTTGGGATCTTAAGTGGTAAAATACCCCCTCTGTGTGCTACACTATTAGTTTTAAGCATACTACATATTAAAAATTTTCAAATAAGATTCCAAGTAGAGCACTAGAAAAATATTTTTTAACGTAGCGACCTACAAGGCAGACAAATAAATATATATGAATTTCATTAAGAACTGCATAATGCAATGACATTTTACGCACAAAAGTAATGAAATGTATTAAGTTTAACCACAAAAAAGTTTAGTACCAGTTGTAATAATATCCTCAAAAGTTCACTCCACATATCTTATAAGGCGTGTAATCTAGTAATTACTTAGAGCGAGAATTTTTTTTTTAGATATAAAGAAAAATAAAAACATTTCCTTAAAGACCGCTATAATGGCCAAGCGAAGCGCTACGCATTATCGGCAAAATGAGGTGCGAGGATTAGATGCGCATGAGCGTTTGTGTTAGGAAGTAATTTTAGTTAAAATGAATTTTTTCAGAGGGCTAACTGTAGCATGCTAGCGCTAGAAAAAAAAAAACCATCCAATGAAACTAAAAAGTGTTTTAAAAAATGCCCGGGATATTCACTGCATAAGGTTATATTTGAGCTCGAAAATATTCTATTCAACTTGTCTACGTGAGTGCTTGTGTACAATGGGCCTTAATGATGTGTACTGGAGTAAAAGGGGATGAAGCTAACTCCTCCATAATGTTTAGAAGACACACGCTAAAGCTGCAAAGTATTAAGTTATCCATAAGAGAATTCTCGTTTTTATGCTGTTAGATTAGTAAATAACTTGAAGGTATAAATAGTTATTACCCAGGGACTTTTTTAGATGTGGTAGGGGATTTGAGCGGAGGTAGGGCTGGGTACTAAAAATAATGTGACCGTTATGAGATCGTTAGTGCCTTTAGTGTGCATTATTGTATTATAATCAGTCGTGATTATATGGTATATTTAGAATAGCGCAGTGTATAATTATTTTTTTTTAACACCTTACCCTTGCACTAGTAAAAAGTTTAACCTTAAAATTTTTGGTCATAACAGGATCCGCCTACGTACTGGAGATTTTGGCGAAATCTACTGAGATCCTCAAACACATGAGTTGTGCTTTCCGTAAAAACCTCTCAACCTCTAATACGACTTAACGAGCAGACTGTATTCTTAAGGCTAGGGTTATAAAGATTCTTCAATAAATCTCGATAAAAGCAACCGTATTTGATAATACCCCAATAACGTAGTACATACCCTTAAAAACCAGTTTGCCTAGAAAAAAGAAATAAAATGATACCTTTAAAAAAACATTATATACCGCATAAAGTAAAGAAATCTTAACTCATAAGTTGCTTCTCTAAAGACTATTAGACTAAAAAACAGAAATATTTAACATGAACTAAACAACTAGTAGACTGTATGTAATAAATATAACAGCCCTTATCCTACATTTGTACAAAAAGTATTTTAAATTTATTCTAGTTATTAACTATGCCACCTAAAGTTTCTTTACTGCTCCCCTTTTATTTATAATTCAGGTAAACATAAATGTATAAAAGTATAAAAGAGCTTATAACTCCTGATTTACTTTGTCACGGCCGCTTAATAGCTGTTTTAAGATTCTCCAGCGAGTATAAACCCAATAAGCATTTTTAGGGCTCAAAACCTTCTCACCTTTAAGAATGTTTTCTAAACGTACAAGTTCTTCAGCAGCGTCGGTTCCAAGCTGTTTAGATCGAACTTTAGAGATGTACTCTTTCTCTTTATCACTGCAACCCTTTAAGTTATCAACTTTACATTTTTCATTTATAACCTGCTCTACATAACTTTTGAAACTTTTGAAATCACGATTATCGCTGTAAGTTTCAGACATATACAGAGGATCATTTTTTTCTTTCCCATTGAAATAAAGAAAAGTTGGATATCCGGAAACTCTAAACCTTGCACATAAGTTTTTTTCTTTAGTGCAGTCAACTTCACCTATAAGAATCTCAGGTGAATCTTTATACAGTTCAGCTAATTCCTCCCACACAGGTTTGACTCTTTTACAATGACCGCACCAAGGAGCGAAAAATTTAATAAAACTTGCACGGCCGTAATATACATTACGGTCAAAATTTGAGAAAGAAAGTTCCAAAACCTTGCTAATAAAATTATATAAAAAAACACTACTATAGTATATACATACTATGCAATAACTGTAAAAAGTATTCCTTACAAACAATCAATTTAATTAAATCTATACTTTTACACTTTTCAAAAATTTTTTTAATTGAAACGTTATAAAGAGAAAACCAAAATGTGACGTAACCATAGTTACCTTGTTGAAGAATCCGACGATGCAAAGGCACAAAGAGGAAGCAACGAAACAAGCAAAAAGTGCAGCATCACCAGGCCGTCAGAAAAGTGCTTATTATAAATAAGCTTAAAACCCCTTTATAGTCAATAAAGCATGTGGATCCCCATAATCTTTTATTAGTAGGTAGAGAAAATTTTCCAATAAAAAGGCTATCTTAAAAACAGGATTGATTAACTGCACAATGATTAGATAAAATACTCAAGTTAAATGCTGTTATTTAACCCGTAAACTGGGGAGGTGATTTTTTAAAAATAAACTGGTTACGTGGGGTGGGGGTTTGCCTTCTGCTTTTTTTCTATAGTTGACTGATCAACATCTTTCGAAGAGAACTTCTCAGATGAAAACTCGACGAGCTTCTCTTCGGAACCATTCTTCTAACCACTGCCGAAGCCCGGATCAATAGTGTCTTTTATTTCGCAACTATAATCAATTTCTAACTAAAAAATATTTGTTTTTCATTTTCTAAACTGGGGTCACTTGATTTCATTACACGTTTTGAAGACGTGAAAGCCATAACACAAATTAAGGAAAAAACAGTAACGTAGATTGTAAAAGTGGGGTTTGGCAAACCCCAAATTGGATTTTGAGGGATATAGTTTGAAATTAAAAAATTATTTCGCAGTGCACCGGTATAGACCATTAGCGATCTCTCATAAACTATTATCATGTAGAAACACTTCTTAATTTCAGTTTGAAAAACTTCAATCACCAGTTACGGATTAATAGAAAGGGAAGCTGGCGTTAAACAAGGTTATGGCAGTCATTTCCAGAAGAACACATGGTAATACCTAACTCCATTCATTCTACGTTATACCCCACTTAGGTCTCTATTAGTGCCCGTGTGTAGTTAGCCATTGGTGTCAGTTTTTTTTGCACACCGCCTTACACGCTCTAAGAGAAATCTAAGTTTCTATTTACTTTTTCGTGATTTGGGTCTCTTTTCATTTCTATGGGTTTTGTTTTGATCTCTTATTTCGTGTGCTCTGTTTTATTCTATTCTAGTCAGTTTGTTTATTCTGTTCGTATCTTTTCTAGTCTGTCCATCTTGTTTGTTCTTCACTACCTTGTTCTGTTCCTTTTTCCTTGTCTATTAACTAATAAAGTTGTATACGTTTAATTATTTTATTTTTAAAATTTATTCTTGTACACTACACCCAGCCATTTTCATTGAATTACCCTCCGGTGCGTTATACATACCATTTAAGCTTTTTTTTATCTAATTAAGAGGTGGTAGCAAGTTTTAGGGAATGCTATTAAAAAGTTAGAAGGAATAATAGTGCATGTGCAGAAGTATTTGGTGTTATTGTTTTAGATATAAGATTTTGTATATGACGTATAAATAGGGTTTTCTCTCACAGGTCTTTGATTTGGCAGTATAACAAACGATGTCCTCAATTCCTCGAAGTGTGTACAGCGCTATAAAAGTTGACATTCGCTTTTTTTGTATATTTATAAGAGAAGTTGAAAAAAACTCATTATTAACTGTGATTATTTTAAGGTAGATCGAATTGTACCTAAAGAATGAGCTATACCCTTCTAATCAAGTTAGTTACTAAATGTAGGCGAAACAAAGCAAAAATTAAGATTTTACGTACAGCACAAAGACAACGAATAGGAAATTTGTTAAGGAATAAGAAGCTGTTAATATGGAAACTCCAAGACGCTGGCTTTTAATGCCAGTTTAAAACGACAAACTTACTCTGACTTTATAATTAGTCTCAAAGTTGGGTAGAATTGATTGTAGCCCCTTTAACAACTCCTCTAACAGTTTTAATCAAAAAAACTAGAGGTTAACATAACTTTTAACTGGAAAATTAAAAGTTCTTGTTTTTTGAATGGAAACTTGTAACAAAACTTCTAAGTAACAAAGCGATCATAACCCAGACCTTAACCTTAACCCTTGAGAGAGCTATTAACATGTCTTTAGTTTTTACTTGGCTATGCAAGGTTTCTCTTAAAAATAAATTTAAATCCAGCTTAGACTCTACAGGTCGAAATGTGGTTTCCACTCCTTACAAAATTTACCGAAAAATCTAGTAAAGCTAGTATCAATTATTAAATCTTGAGAAGTAAAAATAATTATTGTAAAACGTAAAAAGGAGAAGTGAAAAGGCTGAAGATAATAGGCTCAGGGACCGTAACCACTTATTGCTGGACAAATATACCGATATGATGTGTCTTGATAAGGAAATGTTTATCATAACTTTTTTAAATAATAAAGGAGCAGCAGAGATTTAATAAGTTAAATACGTCCAAGCATCCTACCAAGATCGAGATTTGTCGTCGTAACTCAGCGGTTAAGAGCATTGATGCGCATACTCGAGTCGTGGGGTCATTAGCTGCTCTGGGGTGCCCTTACGTTTAGCCCAATGCAGAGTTCGACTTTATAACATATTAGAATTAATGAGAGCGAAGTTAAATAAATACCCACTTAAGACACTAAAAGTGTATAATCACTATTTCGAAGGGCTGACAAAAGTGGAAACACCAGGCACGGGCTCCCGCCGTTTGACTTAATTTGGTTAAAAAACTGCTGAAAACCACCCTGGAAGAGGCGATCATAAATTCGAGCCTTGAGTCCTCCTGGAGGCCAAAGAACAAAATGCCAGTCAAACCTCTCCGACTTGTGCTCCATCCGGGGGAATGACCTATTTATAAGTAGCTTTTAAGTTGATTATGTGTAAACCAAAAGGAGAAAAACAAATAAAGGGCACTTTACGACACAACAAACTTTTGCGCTTTGTTAAGTGGACAACTCGGAACCTTAATTTTAGGAAATATCTAGGCGCTGTCTTTTTCGATGTTTTAAAAATAACCGCGTAGGACACAACGGTTTTTTAAACAACGTGCGCTGGGTGCTCCGTTGACCTCTCCAAGGTTTTAATATCCTTTAAATGCGAACGTACTTTTCGAGTGAGAATTTGCGTTGACTAACAGCCGATTTCCGAGTGCTCTTTGCTCTTACCTCTTCACACAGTATCTGCAGGACATCCCACTCCCTACGAGTTCTAACACCCACGCTCGCGCTCTACGCCGATGGCACCGCATTTTAAGAGTTCTCCGGGAGTCCCTTACTATTTCGGCAACACCTACAACGTGCTTTGATTACACTTGACAACTGGTGTGGGGATTAACCTCGAAAGCAGAGAAAAGCAGAGTAATTCGCGGAAAATGCACTGCAATACCACCGCCTCTAACTTTCGAAGTTAAAATCCCCTGGGGCTCTTAGGCTAAAAAACTTGGGCGTTATCATCAATAAGCGACTAATCTAACATGTAGCAATCGTAGCGGCTAAGGTTAAAGTGGTGTTCCACGCACTAGACAAGCTGCTGTGCACAATAAGCAAATTGACCCTTTGTAATAAACTGCTCCCCAAAAAGTGTGTGTTCACCTACGCCTCTGTTACTGGGACGTACGAAAATATATCGACCGTTACACTCCTGCAGACGCAAAGAAAACAAGCCGACAGGCGAATCGAATTCGTATGCAAAAGACACTTAACAAGACGACCTGAACCTGGACGACTTGAAGCCCTTCTAAAATGCAACTAGTGGTTCTTTTAATCGTGTGAGTAGACACTTAAGCCACCAGAAGCTTAAGAACTTACATAGGGACCTTAGATTGGCGCACGCTTCCGATGCTGCGCGATGCGTTATGAACTCACACTTATAGTTTGTATACCTCTACATATATGTGGAATATATAAAATAATGAGAGGATTTGCGGAACTGAGTACGGACTACACCAAATAACTGAATTATAGGGAACCTAAGCAGCATGCGTTCGAATTCATAATACATTAATGCGAAAAAAAAAACGAGGAACAGAAAAATAAACAGGGATAGCTAATCTTTTAATGCACAGGCCATACACTTTGGTAGTTATAGCTACCTTAAATTGCTGCAGATAATTAGTTTAGTTGTTTTTATAAGACAGCGTTCGGTTAGTATATCGAACAATTTTAGCTTAAAGAGAGTAAATTGACCATACCTTGATGTACAATAGGTATAACGCTCAGAGACTGACGCGAGGCAAAGTTTAAACAATGCTGAGCTTTAATGAAGCGAAAAGTAAATTTTTTTTTCAAACGTTCTTTTAAAAATACTGACCATATCCTAGAGATAGGGATAGGCCTAACGACACTGGGGCTATTTTTTTTATTATTAGGAATGATTCTCTTGTTTGACAGAGCCTTACTTGCACTGGGGAACGTTAGTCTTTTCTGCTCCTTTTGTATATATTTACTTTCTCACAATTATAATAATCTTCTTTTCTCGCCCTTTCTTTAGCAGTTAAATTATAAATTTTTAACGAGCTGAAGGTGCATCTTGATTTTATAGCTTTCTAACTAGATTTTATTTTTGACTGGAATACTTTGTCTAATCGGGCTTCGAAGCACATACAAATTTTTTTTTAACAGAACAAAGGTTAGAGGCACTGCTTGCTTTTTTATTGGTAAAGTAAAACAAGTCTTATATCAAAATAGCATGGCATAATGTTTCTCTTTCTGATTATACTCCACTCTAGGAATTATAATAGTTTTTACAGGATTCCCTTTGATAGGCATGCTCGTTGAATTATTTGGTTTGTTCTAATGTTTTTTAAACCGTATAAATCGGTTTATCTGCCACACATTTTCCAGGTTTTATTAACTTATTTGGTAATTTTTTTCCCATCGTCGTAAATTTTCTAAGATATCTACCCATCACGGGTCATATTCTGAATCTCCCCGTCGTAAATTTGGTAAAATATATACGCCTTTTTAACTTTTAGCAGCTGTTTACATCTTATTTTATATAGTTAACCGACAAAATATCGGGTCGTTACCGGCATGAGTTACCTGTTTAAAAGAATGCAAACATTTTAAAACTCATATCTTCTTAAAATACCAGCTTAGCTTAGTTTACTCAATGTTATATAACTACATATGTAGAAAGGGAACGTGTAGTTAAAAGAAAATCAAGTTTATTAGTATAATAAGTAAATAATAAAATGGAGGGAACTTTAATAAATATTTTATATTTTTTTTTAAATAAAAAATTATTTCTATTGTTTATGAGCGTTTTTCTGATACTCTTCCACGAGCTGCTTCTGTGTTTCTCCGCTTGCTCTGTCCAAACGCGAATACTCCATGGAAAACTCGCCTTTTCCCTGTAATAACGGGCGTAGTAGCAAACATGTCAGGGTCTTTAAACCGATATAGAACCTGCGTTGCTGATCTCAGCTCACTTGCAAACCCAAACATATTGTTAAGGGGGACCTTTATTAGAGATATGAATATGAATACAACACACAAGCTTCTTACACCAAACGCAGAGGCCAATACCTCCGCTATTATGGTGCAGAAAGATTGGCTATTCTCCGTGTCTACTATCAGCCCTTTTCGCTTACTAAGATTGGCTATGCAGTTCCCTAAAAGAGAAAATATTGGAAAAAAATATATCTAAAATGTAATAAATCCACCTTGAAACTCTTCTGGAACTTGAACCTCCACCTTCATTAGAGGCTCCAAGACAATAGGATTACCCTTCAAAAACGCTGTGTGCACGCTAATAAGCAGTACCGCCTGAGTGATCCAAAAAAAGACCTTGCCGCACAGCCCCCTTGGTGGCCAACCGAAACGCCAACTCATTGGAGTCGACCACGTGAGTTGCCCCATCGCGGAGAATAAAGTGCGTGCCGATAATTGGATGACCAGTGAGAGCGCCCTTCTCACAAGCTTCGTAAAACCCCTGGCGAAAAGAAATGAGGGCTTATAGAAATTAGACTGTCCGCATAGAGGACCTTTTCTATGGCGGGAATGAAGTCGGGGCCGATGTTCATGCCAACCGTTGCATTGGTGAACTGGTTAGGCAGACTCCAGTCGATGGGGAGATAATCGCCCATGACTCGCCCGTACTGCCCGCTCCCTCCAGTTTGCTTTCTGTGCAGGTAGTCGAACTGGGCTGCATCCGAGATTAGCACCAGCAGAGTTTATTAAATAAAAGAGGCGTCAACCGGGTGTGCTGATAGTCTCTCGGAAGGCGACTTTTGGCTTGTCAGTGATGACCTCGCAGTCATATTCCCGCCGAATGCGCTCAATGTAGATTTCGAGGTGCAATTCGCCCATCCCGCTGATAATCGTCTCAGAACTCTCCGAGTCCACATGCACACGAAAGGTGGGGTCCTCTTTCTTGAATCTTGCCAAAGCTGGATAACGTTGACCGCTGCTGGGAAGGAGGGGGCGAGCGTCTTTGGCATACCCTTTCCGAGCTTGTCCATCTCAGTGTACTTAACGGGTTTCACTGCCAACGAGAGGACGGGCTCGGGGACAAACATCGAGGTCTTATATAGCAGTGCAAAGTAAAACCCTCATAAAAGGTTAAAAGGGCGACGAAGTCAATGCCATAGTGAGGTTTGCCTCCCCGCTTGTGAAGGTATCGCCAGAGTAGCACTCGAGGCCAAATATAGCGCAAATCTCTCCGGGGCCGACCTCTAGTACGTCTATTTAAAGAAACCGGGGAGGCTCTATGGAGGTCGCTTGGCGTCGAAAGTGGAGACCTTCCATCTCGTTGGCGTGCATTCTCACCAGCCGGGGAACTTTAATTTTTTTTTTTCTGTCTCGAGTCACGTTACGGATTGCAGAACCTTTAACAAGGCGGTCGACAGCGTTAAAAAATTAAGAAAAGCGCCAAATGAACCCTTTCTAAGCATTCCTTGGTAAATTCGTATGTAGGTGAGCTGGCCAAACCTTCCTTCTTCTAGTTTAAATGCTGCCTTCCGCAATATAAAAAGTGGATCACTCGGCGCAGGGCACAAGGATGGATGCTCCAACCTAGTCCTACAAAAGGCAAATGCGGATCGTCTGCACTCAAAGGAACGCGCTCTTCGTTTTGATTGGCATCCAACGCGTAATTATTAACCTTTCAAATCAGAGTTTAAATAGGCAAAGAGCAACTCCAAGCGTAGCGCACAGAATAAAGTACTTCAGTAGGACAAGGGAGGTAGTCTACCACACCATCCAACAGCAACTGCACGCCGTTATTCTTCAAAGCAGATCCGACAAAGACGGGCGTGATCTTGTGAGCCCGGACCAAAACTTTAATGGCGTTCTGAAAATTAAATGCAGACTGAATTTAAATTAACAGAGTAAATAAAACCCGGGAACCTTCAAAACGGGGAGTGGCGGATCCTCTTCGTTCACGAAGTACTCCCCAACGTCGTCATCATGTTCGGCCAACTTCAATAGCAAAGTTAAGACCGATGAGTAAGTTCAAAGACGCAGAGATTTAGTACAATGGCAATAAGCTCCAAGCGTTTTTCTTCCGCTAAGCTTAAATAGTCCGCCGGGATCTCGGCTTCTCGCAAGATCTCTCTTTTAAAAATCATACTGAATACCATCATGGAAAAAAAAAAAATAAAGAGCACCCTTTCGACCCTTCTGAATAATAGGCTTTCCTAGTTAACAGGTCTATTGTTCCCTTCAGATCATCCTCCAAGCCAAGAGGTAACTGTAAAAGAACCGGTGTGCGTTTTAATTTTATTCTGTTTAAGGTAAATTTAATGTAGTCATTATGTATATAAAAGAGATAATTAAAACCTCATTTGCTCAATTGTTCGATTATAGTCGGCGCCAGCACTATAATAATGATTTAGTTAATGTAAACTTTGTGTTATAAAGAAAAGTACCGATCACATTTATTAATAAAGGTGATTGCAGGAACATTATAGCGCTTCATTTGCCTGTCTACAGTCAGAGTTTGGCTCTTTATAAAAGTATAACTTCAAAAATAACTGTAAATTTATAAAATATAAGAACCTACCTGAACTCCGCCTACACTGCAAAGAACAAGAACAGCGCCGTCCAGTACACGTAAGGCGCGCTCCACCTCGACAGTGAAATCAACATGCCCTAAAATTAAAATCTTTTAATATATTAACCAAAAAAAAAATTCTTAGTTTCGAGGGAAAAAAAGCTGTAAATGTCCAAGTCATCGTATAACTTTACCAGGAGTGTCTATTATGTTAATAGAGGCATCCTTCCAACGAGTATACGTTGCTGCAGACTGGATAGTAATCCCCTTTTCACGTTCCAAATCCATGCTGTCCATCTTAGCTCCAACACCTCAGTTTTTTACAAATTGATTGTCATAATTATTTCATAAATTTAAAAGATATAGAGCTCACCATCCTTTCCTTTTACCTCATGAATTTCGTTGATCCTACCAGTGTAGTAAAGAATGCGCTCTGTCAAAGTAGTTTTCCCCGAATCAATATGAGCTGATATACCAATATTACGGATAGACTTAATATCAACCACGTTGGTAGAATAAAAAAAACTCTTATTAATAAATCTTATAACCTATAAATATATATTTATTTTAATTGCGTATACAAACGTTGAAAAAGTTAACTTACCTCACAACATTTTTTCTTTTTTAATAGGCTTAAAAATATATTAAACATTTCTTTATATTTAACCTCGTATGAGAACAAAGCGGAAAGTGTTTAGTTTAATATTATCGTTAAAAAGCGTCCCACGTAAATGACACGAGTCCCAAAGCGCGTGTCAGAAACACAAACGACTTGAGAAAAGGTCTCTCAATAAAATTATGTACCTCGTAAATAAATTGTTTAAGAATGCTTTTTGCTTACATATAGAAAAAGACTCAATTCGAGTAATCATTAAATTATTGAATAACTTTAACTCTTTAGAAATTTGCTTTCAAGCATTTAAGAATGTTAAGGAAACACAACTAGTTTGTCGCGTGGCCTTGGCGAGGCTCTGCAGCGGATGTGTGAAACCATGCTGCGCTCGCTTAGACTAAACTGTGAAATGTTTGATGATAGAAGTGAGATATGACAGAGTCTATTCAAAAGTATTATCCTCGTTTAAATGAAGTTGAACAACAATTTATTTTGCGCTTACCGGAACAATATGCCATCGAATTGCACGAACTGATGAAAAGAAATTTGGCAGAAACGCTGACTATTACCTGGACGGGTAGACTATAAAATCACTCTTTTCTATTTTTATATAAAACTTTTATTAATAGACAACCAATTTAGGACAGCAGATATTACTTTTAAGGATAAAAAGTTATATGGAAAGTTAATGGATCTGCCTTGCATTGTTGAAAGTCAGAAAACGTTGAATAAATCCTCTTTTTACAAAACCGCGGATATTTGCCAAATTTTGGTTTAAATAAACTTGTTATTAAACTTTTTTTTCCCTAATCATATTTGATAAAGTGGTAAACTCATTGCATGTAGGTGGCTTCTGAAACGCCTTTTGAGGATGGTAGTAAGCAGGGATCATGCAATAAAAAAAATCCTTTTGCTTTTCCGGACGGCTTAACTCCACCGCTTAAGAATGCAAGGAAAAGAAGATTTAGAAAAACAGCAGCAAAGAAGGTTTTATATATCATTATTATAACTTAGCTTTTTCTTAGTTTACGTTCATAAAAGCTTCTAGAACGCGAAGATGTTGAACAAGAAGTTAATTTACTACTTAAAGAAGATGATCTTGCCATTGATGTGAGTAAGCATGAAGTAATAATTTCGTTAAAAATCTCGCTTTTTATAATGAATAAAGAAACTGAGTGGGCCTCCGATGAAGAAGATACTGAGGACAAAATTGAAGTGGAAGAAATGGATGACGACGGCGATTTAGGTTTTTTATTAATATTTGACTTAACTTTCTATTAAGTATATTATTTTTATACATATAGCGAAGCCTCGTACCATTGTTACGAATTTTCCTCACGATGACCAGCAATCTACTAACGGTATATAATAAATTTTAAATATAAATTTTTTTTATAATAAAAATAACATAAAAATAACTATACTATACAGAAAATAAGGATATTAACGTTTTGGAAAGTAAAGATAATCAATTCAACGTTTCACAAAAAATCTATTTTCCAGAAGAAAATATTTCTACTGATTTTTCGAATTCGAGCGTTATTAATACTAATAAAAAAGATCAAATGAATAACGGGAGCGACAGGTTCAAACTTCTATTAAATTTTTTTTAAAAGCTATTAATAGTAATTTACTGAAGTTTTTTTGTGGAATTTATATTTTTAAATTGCTTTTTAATTTTATACTTGCTTACATCTATTTTTTGAATTATATTATTTTAGACGTATAAATTTTATTGGTTAGAGATTATTATATAAAATGAGGGATATCCAAGAAATTTAAAAATATTATAATAATATTATTTGTATGATTTGTTAGAATTAAGGACTTTCCATAGATAATAAATTTTTTATATATTACAATTGTAGTTGGATGTTATTGTTGCAATTTTTAGCGATTTTAAAAATTAATCTGAATTATAATTTTAATTTCATAGTTGTTTGTAGGGAGATTCGATTATACATTAATTATCAAAGATTTATATATTCTAAATAAGATTACATTAGTTTTGTAAATTTTTTGTAATTTAAGTTATAAATATTGGTTTTAAATTTTTTTAATGAGTTAGTTATAGTATTAATTTTTTTGTAATTTTTAATATTTTTTTAGCTCTTTGAATTGTATTTTAAAGTAATACTAACCACGAGGTATAAATTTGCTAATATAGTTAATACGATTTGAGTAATAAACAAAATCGTACTGAAGCTAGAAATTTGCTGGATTAACGAGTTTATATATAATTGATTTCATTTTTTATAACATTATCTTTTATAGTTAAATTTATTTTTGGGAACTGTTTTACTACTTTTGGATCTGAAACTTTTAGAGAGTGCTTTTTACTCATTTTATAAGAAATATAAATGCTTAATAAAATTTAAAGTGAAATTTTTTACCGCTGCAGCGATCTCGGTCTCGAAAATGAAAGCGAGGAAGAAAAGGAAAGAGTCGAGCCGGTTCCCGAGCAATTTGAACTCGAATCTGAACTCGGCCAGAACCTCGTGGAGGACACTTCGGCCCCCGTGGGTCTTTATACAACGGAGTCTCAAATTAATTATGAAAGTACTTTTGCGGCACGGAATTTAATTATTATAAACTATTTTATAAAATAAAACCTATTTATTATCAAATTGTTTCGGTTATTATAAAATTTATGATTAATTTTACTATCGGTTTTAATTATTTATTATAATAATTTATAAATTGCTTTATTTTAATTTTTTAATTATTTTTTTTAGCGCTTCCTGAATTTATTGAACTTATAAAGTCTCTTGATAGTTTGGAAAATGAACTTCGCGATCTTCAAATAAAAATAAACGAACGTTTGGAGCAGATTTCAAAAACAGCTAATCCGATTCTTCAGGTTGATTGCTATTTGTTGCTCGCTGTATAGATTTTTCATTGAGGTTTTTATCTTTCTAAAAAATATGTTGATCTATTTTGCATTCAGTTTGAAATATCTTAAAATTTATTTAGTATAAATATTATATAAAGTTTTTTAAAACATTTCAATTTATTATATTTATTAAATTCAAATTTATTTTTTGTTATTTCAAGGATCATTATAAATCTCCATTTTATTTAAAATTGCATTTTTTTTGTTAATCCAAAATACCTAATGTATAATTTTATATATAATAAAAATTTACTTAGTAATAATTTTTATTCAAGTGTTAATTTATAAAATTTTATTCCTTACGATTTGCTTTTTGGGGCTGTTATCTTTTTTTAATTGTTCTTTAATCTCTGCAATTTAGTTTATTTTAATTATCTGGGTTCAAAGTTTTATATTTAATTTTATTTGCATTTCCAAATTATATATTTTCAGTATAATTTTATAAAGCACATTAAATTTTAAATGTTTTTGGTATTAATTTATTATTTTTTATTTATTGTACAATTTTATATTTAATAATTCTACCTTTTTACTTTTACTAATTAATAATTTGTTTAAAATTAGAACTGTTTATATTTTTTGCGTTTCTATTATGGGTGTATTAAATTTAGCAATTTTATAACTTTAAATACTTTTCATTTTTTCATTTTCTTATAACTACTAAATATTGTTATTATTGTATATTATTTTTTAAGAGAACTTATAAATTTCAATTAATCTATTTTTATAATTTTTATAATTTAACTTATTTGTTAAATTCCGTTGTTCAAATTCCGTTGTTCAACTATTGCACTTTTTTAAAAAAAATAATTCTATTTATTATATTTTTTGTAGTCATTAAATCAAGCTAAAGTTTAATCTTTTTTTTAGTTTTTCTGCTCACGTCTATATATAAATTCTCACACATTTTTTTCAATGTTAACTTAATTTAAATTTGTTTTGTGTCTATTTTAAGCCATTTGTAAGAAATTTAAATTGCATAATTGATTTTGTTTTTCTTATTTTAATATCTTGTATATATTATTATTTTGTTTCGCAGTTTTAAGTGTCCTCGGTTCCACAGAAATTTATATAAATTGATTGTTTTCAAAAATAAATTGATTTAATTACTTGAAAAAAGAGTTATTTAATTTTATCTAAAATTTTAAATTTTTTTATATTTTATTTTTATCTTCCTTGAAACTGGTTTCGATTTGTGGTTTTAGTAATATTTTTAAAATTTATAACGTTTCAATATATTTTTTAATGTTTAATTTGAATAATTTGGGTAGATTGTGGCTTTTTTATAAATGGTTTTTTTGCTTATTTATTCAAGTATACTTATACATACTTATAATTATAACCTTTGTTACCTTATATACAGAAACGGTTTAAGTCCTCTTTAGAATTTCTTCAATCCGTTTATGATCAAAAGAAGAGTGAACTGGAATCAACTCAGAAAAAATTAGCAGCCCTAAAAAACATCTAATAAAATTAGTGTGTTTAATTTATTAATAATCTTGAGATCGGCTAAAGACCCCGGCCGGAGGGTTAGTAACATGGGAGTATGACAGGTAAATACGCAACACCATACCGGAATCGGGAGTCGTCGTCGTAGCTCAGCGGTTAAGAACATTGACGCGCATACTCAAGCTATTTATTGGACTCGATTCCCACCGACGCGACTCTCTTCTTCGATCTTTGATGGTCGTGTATTTAACCTCACCCTCATGTATTCTAATAGCCCGACGAGTCAGATATACCTCCGCTGCCCCTGCCCTTCGGGACAGTGATGATACTCCTTCGGGAGAAAGCAGTGGAGGGCCTTCGCACTCCTCTCCTCACAAAGAGGGGAATAGTCGATTAACGCGTTATAGGTTACTGGTTACTATGTTTACCACTTGTCGCCTAGGTTTAATTTCAAGTGTAGTTCTATGGGAAATTGACCCCAAAAGACAAGGTCTGTTCTCTGAGATAATCTTTGGGAAGTTTGAGTAACATGTTCTAAAAGATTAGGCAGCAACCAACAAAACATAAAAGTGATAATTTGGGCACCAGTGAACGTAAAACAAATCTATTTTAAACTCCAGAGTTTTGACTGTTAAAGGTTAAGCTGTTTGAAGTCTTAGAACTGACTAAAACAGATATTTTATAGGATAGCGAAAATTAAAAGTCGTAGACAATACTAATAATTATGCTAATTCTAATAAAAAAATAACCACTATAATATTAATTTTTTTTTAAATATTGATATTAGTAAGGAAACTAACTTTATTTATAACCCTTTTAAATATAAGAATAGCAACAAAAGGCGTATTTAATAAAGATAGTACTAATAATTAAGATTAAAAAAACCTCTAATAGCAATTACAACAATAATGTTATTAACATTACAGCTCAATAATAGTGTTAGTAATAATAACTAATAATATTGATAATATATTTTAGTTAGGATTCCACCTGTTACTATACGAAAATAGAACGACCAGAGCAAAGCAAACTTAACTATTAAATTAAATAAACTCCATCGAACTCTGTGTGTCAAAAAAATGAAAGCATGGAAGTTGTATTTATGCGCGTAGTGAGCAAGACTACAGTTGTCTAACTTCTCTTTTAGCTTCAAAAACTTTGAATATTACACTTATCGACTTCCTTTCGAAAAAGAACTTAAGGTTCGCGTATACCCCTTAAAATGGTTATAAGGAAATTAAAATAGAACGGAAAAAACAGGGCCACCCCCCGAAGTTATCAGAATGAGAAATATATTACAGAATTTCTTTACCCAAGAAGGAAAGCACAATATTAAGTCAAAAAAATTGGTAATATAACGGTGCGGAGGAGTCTTTCTAGAAATAGTTAAAAATTGGTCTATGTTTTTGAATAATCCAGATACAGGGATAACTTCTCCACTTCACCCATATGTGTCTTAAATGTTCAAAAAACCAGGAATTCCATCCTGCCCTAAACCTAAAGGTAACAAACCCAGATGCGTAAACTGTCTAGGGGGCCCATTGCAAGCTATAGAGATTATTATTACCTCAAAAAATTCAAAAATTTATTTAGTGCTAAGAACTACGGCATGAAAAAATATGCGAGGATGCGGTTGCGGTTCGGTGTTACAACTTACCTCTAATCGCCATCTTTTTTTAAGTTGTGGTCAAAATCTTTTGTGAGGTAATGTTATTCAGTCCCTTAAAAAATTTTATGACCGAGTGTTGCATTTAGTATCGGACATATCGCTTCCCCTATTAAACCAGCCTTAAATGACCTTCAGTAGAAAGGTTACTATACAACTTATAACCTGACAAGCTTACAGCGAGTGCGTGAACGTTCTATCGACACCTAGTGATTAAAAAAAAATTTTCTTTATTATTACTTATTATGTTATGTTGTTCCTGAGTGCCCTTCGGGCAGTTCTTTCGTTTATACTATAGCACCTCTTTACTAACGGGTATAAAAGAATAGGCAACACCAATATATTTTTATTCGCACTACACCTGAAGACTTTTATCCTTAAAGAAGCTCGTAGTCACAGTATTATATATCTGTCCTTTTTGCATTTTAACATTCCACCTAGGTTTCCCTTTTTGTATTTACTTTTACGGGCATTTGCGTTCTTAATCTTGCGTTACATTCTTTTAACTTATACCCTAATTGATCTCCATTAGTGTTTCGTTTTTAACCGTAGAGTAAAGCTTTTAGCATTATAGCATGGTAGGTTAGTAGAACTGCTAAAACAGATATTAATGGTTAACATTATAGCAATATTTTCCTTTTAAAAAATTATACCCATTTTAGAAGGCAAAAAAAATTTTGAACTTATTCCGAGTCATCAAAAAAACAATATTTTTTTAAGTTTTGGCAAAGCTCGTAAAAATAGTTCTACGTAACACTTCGTAACAATGTTATTTTTGTTTTTGAGGGAAACTGACTGAAAATGACGCCTTAAAAACACTTTTATGTTAAGGATAAACTTAATTTTCCGGTAGGATAAAGCTAGCTAGTTTATTATAACTCTTTTTTGCCTCCTTTCACACGCTAATTGGCGCTATAAAACTTTATAGACGGGGAAGTCTTTAGTATTCCGAACCAAAGCAAAATAGCCTTTTCGCTTATTCGGATCTGCAACAGCCGCACAACACCGGATCTTGCTTTTACTTAAGTTCATGGGGGGATAGCCTTTCTAAGTAAGTATGTTAACGATGACGGCTCATGGTGGTTTTTATATGGCTTAGGGCACCTCTCCCAGATCAAGGATTTCCTGTCCTTCATAACTTCTACCAACAAGAAAAATACGAAAAATAAGTAGAAAAAAGGCAAGAAAACAAGGAAGAAAAAAAAAGTTACGCGTATCTATAGCAAGGCGGATGGTGATTAACAAAATACTCCACTTGCAAATCCTTCAGGATCTTATGGACCTATAAAGGGTTGTGGTAAGGGAAAAAAAGTGGAGACTAGTATAGTGAAGTTGCTTCTCGGTACATCCTTTATAAGCCTTCTGGAGAACCAATGACTGATCAGGAACGTTCTATGGCGCATGCGGGGGGTCTCAAAGTGGGGGTGGTTGACGACTCGCCGTCGGCCCTGCACAGCAAAACTCTCGTTATGGAGAGCACAGCCTCCCAACAGACACTCAGGGATACCATAAGGCGGACGGACGCCATAGTCGACATGTCTCCCGCAAAAACAGCCTCCTCGGGCGTGTGCTTCCTAATCCACGTGCAAAGCTCACGAACAGTTATGAGGTCAAAAGCGCCTACGGGGCGTGAACAAGCAAGAGCCTGACCAGCACATGGCTGCGGGACCTTGACTGGTGTAGTGCCGGCGTAGCTCATGAAACCATTGGCTCTCTGCCGCATAAAGTATTATGATGGCGAGCCCCAATAAAGTGGAAAGAAAGCTGCGGAGGTGCGATCGGGTCAATGACTCTTCCGGAGGTCTCCAAGTCCTCGCGAGAAACAGTTGGACGAACATGAAATAGGAGGAGAAGAGGCCTTTTTGGCGCGTAGCAGGGTAGTGTGCAGGTAAAGAGCGAGCAATGGAAAAACAACAGACCCAAAAATGGCAGCCATAGCACAGATAAGCGTTTGACCAGCAGCGCAGAGCACGTGATTCCCAACCCTGGGACGGAAAAAATAACGTGCGGAGAGCGTTACTGCAAGTCAATAAGAAAGTACCGAAGAAGGCGAGGTAGTAGAGAGGTCCGGCAATGGCGTGATGCGATACGTTCTTTAATCGAGGCGTGCCAATAAGGGCTGACACCGAACAGACCGCCAGGGGAAGCAAGCCGCCCCGGCAGAGATGTTTAAGCGTGCGGGTGTCCATAAACTGGAAGGCGCCGCTGAGAAGATACCTTTTGTTTAAGGGGGCAGCAGGCAGGGGAGCGGTTTATTCGCAGCACTTGCCAAGAAAAAGCAATACAATGCGGAATAAAAATCAACGGGGCGCTCGCTAGTTTTTCCGGCCAATAACGAGTTTAGTTTGGATAATAGAAGGCTGAACAGGTGAGAGTCGTCGGTCACGTGGGCTGATCCCGTAAGAAAGAGCCTCAGCAGGAACGCAAACGCAGCAGTTGCGAAAACAAAGGAGGCTGCGCTTTTCCAACTTGGCGAGCTTTTTATCTGCGCCAAAAGTAATAAATAGCATAAAGGTGCTTGATACAATATTGTAAATATAGCCAGTTTTCTATTAGTTCATTAGAATAAGTCAATGGAAATATCTAATCACTCGCGGCCCGGGAACGAGACATGATGCTATAAACCACCACTCGAACCGTTATGATTTTAGCTAAGTTTAGTTTTATAAACTAATTTAATACTAAAGTTTAGTCAATAATCATAAACTTTAGCTAAGAAAGGTGCCATGGCTCACCGCCGGCATTCTGTTCTATATACTAGGAAAGAGTACTATTCTCATACAGTACCTATAGCATATACTAGTATGCTACAAGTGCTATATTTCACCGGCGAGTCGATTGGACTATGCTATTACTACACTCTTCATAGAGTACAAGTACAAACTTTCATCGGAAGCACCAGCTGCTAAAGTATAATTAGAGCTAGAAATAAAATACTTTTAGAAGTCGAGAGGTTATCAGGAGCGAAAAGGAAAGAAGCACACAGAAATCCAGAGAAGCCAAAAACATATTATTTCCAAACATGAGCACAGCGGCTGCAACATTCGACGCAAGTTTTACAAAAACCAAATTTCTGAATAAGTCATACGAGAGATGCCCAAACAGAAAAGCGGCAAGAAGCGCGCCTATAAAAGAAATATTTAACACAACTTCATTCGTTTCATGCATTTCTTTATTTTTGCTGTACAATTAAGATGTTATTTATAGTCAAAATAATTATTAACTTACAAGTTTCTACGCCGAACACAGAAGGCAGCAACTGCCACGAAAGAAGAGAGAACAGCCGAATAATAAAAAGCAAAAAGAGCTGAACTTTCACTAGCATTTTTGGGTGAGTCATAAGAAAAACTGTTTGCTGTACGGATAAAAAAAATAAAGGGACGCCCCACATTTCACGGAGGCCAGGCCCTGTACATGAAACAAGAAGACTTTACAGAAAAGGTAATTAATTATGAATTTACAGACAAGAATCTGTAGATAGTGAGGAGATTAACAGAAAGACTTTTTATAGAAAATTAATTATGCGAAATTAGAGTTATCTACAAATAGTGAGAAGATTAACAAGACTTAAAGAAAATTAATAAGCAGAGTAACGATATTATTATTATAATAATATATATATTGTATTTAAAAAATATCAACTTAGTAAATTATATAGTGAAAAATTAAAAACTTTTATTAAACGGAAATTCCACTTTTGAATTTAAAGTACTTTTAGGTAATCTGATATATTTTACAACCAATTATAGAATATATAATGAGTAACCATAAAAAATAAAAAGTAAAAGTTGCAGATTTAAAAAAAAATTATTTTTCAGCATAAAATAGCGTTTATATTTCAAAGTAGAAACCTATAAAAACGCGAGTCGTGAGAGTGAGAAAGCAACAATACGGGCCGAGCACAGAAAGAAACGAGGCAATCATCAGATTTAATAAGGAGATGCCGGAAGCCCTTAAACTGAAATACATAATAGCAAAAACAGAGGCTGGGGTCAGGCTCTGGAAGATTTAAAGAAAAATTAAATATTTTTTTTAAAATCTATAAAGAATTAAAACGTATGACCTGAAAAAATAAGATACTTTTAATGTAAAAATCTACTTCGCTTGTAGTTACTAGTGGCCAAAAGTTTCTGTAAATCTAATATAGGTTTTCATAAATTCATTATAATAAAATGAAATCTACTTAAAATTTAAAGTCTGAATGACTATTTTAAGTAAACAAAATTTTATAAGTTTGTTTGTGGTTAAGGTTAGGGTTAGATTTTCCAATACTAAACAACGGAAGTTTAAAAAATAGTGAAGGTGTTTAGTAATTTAAAGTTTACGTGCTTTATAACACAGAAGTAAAGTTAAAAGTACTAAGCTATAATACATAATATTTTTCGAAAAAAAAAATTATAAAATATAACAACTTAATTACAAAGGCTAAAGCGATTTCAGGCCAAATATTGAAGCGACGTATAGAATTAATAACGTCCGGATACTCAACCGTATCATCCTTCAGAAACTTATTAAAGACTTCAGCTATGGATGCATTGCTAGACTCCTTGTAGTAAGTGTAATATAAGGCGCGCTCAGAAATAAAAAAAGATTCCTTTTGATCCTTGAGAAAAGTTAAGTATGTGTAAGTTCCAAGCAGATAGTTAAAAAGAATAGCTTTTGGAGTTACAAACAAACTTTACTAAGGCTACCAAGGTTCTTGTGGACCACCAAGTTCTTTCTTCGTGCACATGATTTAGATACCAAAAGCAAAGGCTATTGTAAAAATTAAAGGATAAAACATATTGTAAATTTTTTAAGAAACCTCCATATTATTGAAAAACACAGTATAATAATGGCTGGTTCGAAGTTCCAAGATTCCTATAAGGATAGTATTAGCAACCCTCTAAGTTTTAAGGTAAAGTAAACCCCTCATAACTTTCTCTTTGAATCTTAGTGTCTTTTTCATTTTAAGGTTGCCAACTCACATACTAAAGCGTTATCAGAAACTACATAGGCGAACGCAATGCCTGCCCGAAAGGGTTACCAAAAAATCTTGATAAGATACATTTAAAGATAAACTTGCGCCGTTAAGGAAGTTGGCTGTTTTTACAAACTTTAAATCATTATTTTGCTCGGTTCGTAGGTTGCTTATACAACAGAAGTTAACTTTCAGCTTTAAACATTTGTTTATGGATATGCGACGAACTTTGGCTATAGTAACCACTCAACAAGTCCCCACGTTTTTATAATCTCTAAGTTTAAATAAAAAGGAGTCCTCTATTCTTTAAAGTTGTGGTTCGGTTTTGAAGTATATTCTTATGTGAGTGTCAAACTTAGTGATGTAAACCATTAATGCCTAATTTAGTTTTCATAACAGCTATATTGGCAGTTAGTATGTCCTCATTATTGTTTAAAATATTTTTAAAATTATTTATCCTTATTAATAACAGCTTAAAAAATTGGTTTTAGTTAGCTATGATGAAACAAAACCCCCTGCACAGCTTAGTTGTGATATGGAAGAGCGAAAAATCAAGAGCTTTTATTCCTACATTTCTTTTTAAGTCTTGGCGATTTTTTAAATTTGGCGAGGATTTTTTTGAAGTTAAATAGCTCACCCAAAAAAAATATTCAAACTATTCCATCTTTTAATATTGGTGGATGTATGAAAAACAATTAAGCTATACAAGGTAGATCTACCATTTGTTATATAGCCGTATGCAATAGCTCCAAGGCTCCCATTGGATCGATACGTTAAATCCAACCATAAATTAGTCACAAAGTCTGTTTCACATGGCTCCCAGGCGTTAAAATAATTTGGCCTAGAACTTAGCAATATTAAAAATTTTTGATTGTTCCAAAATTTTTTGTATATTCGCGACGTGACAAAAGTCATCATACAAAACAATTGAAGAACATAAAATATTATAAGCAAAGCATAACAAATGTTAAAGGAGAGTTGTTAGGCTAAACTCTTTCTCCCTCTCACGCAAGGTCACATTTGGGCGCATTAGACTTGAGTCATTAATAAATTGTCTGTTCTTTCAGCACACTTTCTGTACATATATGGTATTTGGTAACAAATAATAGTTGCTTCAACACTGATCAAAAGAGGAACAATTATTAGTGTTTAGATAAAAACAAGAGTCAAACAAAAATGTTTCACGCTTTATTAGGCGAAGAAATAAGTGCTGGGTATTGGTGTTTCAACGTGGTGGGACAAATAACAGCCTTGCGGAAAGGCGAACTATAACTCAATTTGTGGACTGCCCGGTTCCACATGAGAAAAGAGAATGTTTCTTTAAAGGAGTCACCCAGATTGGCTGCCTACAACAGAAGTTATGTTATACACCAACCAGTGGACTCCCTATTTTTACCCCAATGGCAAGAAGGCACGAGGCTTGCAATTGGATATTACCACTCCTTGTTAGTATGCTATCAACAGCTGAGGCAGTGAGCTCTACTGCTTTTTTAAACTGGAGCAATTTCTATAGTTTCCTTATTAAGTCTTTTTAGGGTTTACATTTTGTTACATACCTTTTCAAATTTAGGGTTCATGAAAATTTCGTACTTCCAGAGAAAAATGTTAAACAACCTCCAGATTTCTAAAGCCACATCGCCCTCATTATAAGAATCTGTAACCCGTTACAAACTTTTTGGGAGGTATTTATTTAACAACCTGTTGCTTCATTTTCAAAAATAGAAATGTCAATGGCAGTAATTTTAGCTTTTTTTTACACAAAAACATGGAAAGTTACTAATTACTTAGTAACTAATAAGGAATTATTATTCAACTTCTACATTTTCATGGTAAAACTTTAAAGAAATGGTTGTGTAAATTTAATAACTCACCTGGCGCTTTTACTTTGTAACAAACGGAGGATTCGTCATGCTGAACAATTATGATAGGATAATTATCATAAGAATAATAGTACATAGATACTTTCATAGAGCAAAATTGAAGCTGATGTAGGTTGTACATTTTCCAATGAATTTTGGTTATAACTTCCTTTAAATTAAAATGAAGTTGGGTAGCCCTCGTAATTGTTAATAAAACCTTAACTTTCAAGTGAACTGAAGGAATCGTTAATAACAAAATATAAATTAATAAACCCAATTTATAGGAGAAGCAAAAGCATCATCTTTCTCCGAGAATTTTATATTTTTGCAGGAGGTCAATACAGATCCCTCTGAAAAGGACTTGTTTTCGCTGAACAAAATTTGGTTGGATTTTTGTTAATATTATAAAGGTACAAGTACCCTTTAGTCAAAACGCTCACAGATATAAAAGGCATTGATTGACCTATTTATTGTTCAAATAGATACGAGAATTAATTATATTTAACAGAGCCGGTGAAAAAATTTTCCTTAAATATTGAAATATTGTCTCAAAAGAAATGCAAATACCTGTAGAAATCTCACACAAAATCTGCATACTACAACTTTTAAGTTTTTTATAATGCAGAGTTTACTCGCCAATGTAAATTATAGAATAGCTTAAATTTACCGAAATTGATATTAAGTTTATATGTCTGTTTTTTGGCGCCGAGAGCAGGCAGCTGTACCCCAACAAATAAGTTATTTGACATTCCTATGTACTCGATCGTCATCATTATTGTTATGAACTTGAGATAGTAAATATCTACTCAAGAAATCTTGCTTAATGTGAACGTAAGGCCCCGCCTTAAGTGGGGAGCTGAGTAAATTTTAGCCATCTTGAATAAATGCTTGGGAATCTGGAAAAAAAGATAACTCTTTAAAATAGAAGTCCCTTTGATTCTTCTTTTTATAAATTTTGGTCCTTCGCCTTAAATATGCTTTTATTTGATAAATTATGTAACACAAATAACAAGTTACTTATGTATAGAAAGATTATGCAACCAAGGATTCACTAATGCTTGGCAGCTGTTAGCTCCGCACACCTGCACAGCAAACTCGAAGTCAGATTCGTCAAAAAATTTAAATTGTTTTTTAGCAAGGAGTGACTTAAGAAAAAATATGAAAGTACATAAGGCCAGAGGAGGAGGATAGTATCCTTTTTATAAAAACCATTGCGAAACACTTTAGAGAGGAAAAGAGCTGTCTACTGAGCTAGAGCCCTCATTAGCACCGCTAGGCTGCGGCGGAGACTTTTCATTATAGTTGTTATACAGCAAATCAATTCCCGGAGGAGAAAGCTGGTAGAAAAATCAGGACTTGAAACAAGCGCATTCGCTGCTCAAGGGTTTAGTTTCCTACAGTCCTTCAGACTGCTCCAAATGTCTAAAGCCCCAACCTATCCCAAACTAATATAAAAGGTTTACAACTTGCAACTCTCAATTTTCATAAGACAATATCCAACAGATTTAGCAGTGAAGACACTACATATTAGAAGCAAAAGTATGGCTAAGCTTATAAAAGGATCATTTTCATTGACAAATAATATACTGGTCTGTAACCTGAAACGTTAAATAGGTATTATTTATTTGAAACCATATAAGGTGAGTGCATGCTATAAAACTCTTGCGGCACTAAGTGCAGGGAAAGTGTGGCACAGTTTGCAAGCTTGTCCACACTTTAAGCTCGTTGACTAACCACCTCCTTCTCAGTGTTTAACAAACCCATGGGTGCGTATAATACAATAGCTTAAAAAGCTATGAGTTTACGACATCTTGCAGAGAGTTCAAGTTAATATTTTTACACATTTGTTAGAAAAAACTTCTGCTAAATCTGTAAATAAACCAAAGATTGCTTCCAAGTAGACGACATCTCTATTTACAACGGACTTCAGAAGCTCTGAGTCTACCTAACAGCTGTATATACTTGACTAACTTGCTCCTTGGGGAAGATGTTTGCTGTACGGTGGCTTGATGTTCTTTTTTGAGCCCTAGGTGTAATACAAACAAACTTTCTACTCCTTCAGTACTTAGAAGTAGTGCATCCGTAGCTAATTTTGGCTCGAAGAAAAAAATTCGGATAAACAGCTTAACTGGTAATAAAAAAATTTTGGGGCAAATATGTATAAGTGCGTAAGTTTTTACAAGTCTACTCGGTGTATGATTCAATTCCTACTAAATTCTGTCTTTAAGGCAACTAGTATTTCTGTTAAAACTTGAAAATAACGTGAATCTAACCGATCTTAGAGTAATCAAAACTTAGAATCTTAATATTAACATGACAAGGCAACCTCAAAGCTGAAAATATAAAAAGAAAAGTTATTAGTAACACTGCATTATAAGAAACAAATAAAGAATAACTCAGAGTTAAAGCGGAACAGTCAAGAGAATAAGTAAGGCGGCGCTTTATAATAAAAATAGGTAGCACAAAACCTGTACTTCACCCGGTGAGGGGTTCGCTATAAAAAGTACATCAACCCGCCCGATTTGAGAAATCAAAACTCAAAGGAGTTGGTAAGTACTGCGATTGATAACCAAGAGGCTAACCACGTACTGCGCTTTCCCCTAGGAAATCGGAACATTCATGATACTCCTCCTGGAGATACAAGGACACCTACTTGCGCCCAAATCAAGACTAAGCGGCCTGCGCACGACTTATCGAGCACCGCAAATCTCACTAATGAATATCTGAAATATAACTCCTCGTACCAATCAAATTAGATACTGCGTATAGATCCTTCAGGGTCATATGATGGTTAATAGGTAGATATGTCCGGTAAAATACCAATAAACTGCAGGTCAACTAATTTTAAAAGGTAAAAAGACCAAAAAGGGTTCCACATATTTTTTGAAAAAATCATTAATATTTCAAAAAATTTAGATATCTATTTAATAAAATTAAGTTATAGAAAATGATATGAGGCCTACAATTCAGCCTTGCGTTAGCAGTACCACTGCAGCCTCCCATTTCTTTTCTCTTCAATAATCCCTAGGTATTGCTCATTTACTATTGTAAGGAGATTTTTAAGATCGTATATTTCTGTAAATTTTCCATTAAAAGGGATCTTGGAAAAGAATGGCCAAGTGTCAAAAACTTACACAAGTTACAAAGTTATAAAGAACTAGACTTAGAAAAATTTGGTGCTTAAAAACCAGATAACTGAGTTCTTTAAGTTGTTGTGAGCATCAGCTTTGATGATAAAAAGGGGGGGAGGACTTTCTATAAACAATAAATAATCTAAAGTGTTAAAGTCTAGAGTTAACTTTAATTAGAAGTTTAACTAGTTCTATATGGAATGGATATATGCTTTAAGTTTTATAGAGGTCTTTCATAGTAAAATTAACAAAAACTTAGATATAGTTACTCTAATATTAAATAATATATGTTTTAGTAATTTAAAAGTTTAAAGGTTGTATACCAGGTGCCACCCATAGCGTAAGGAGAAGCCGCATTCACTTTCAGCGGTAAGTTATGCAGAAGAATATACTTTACAAACTGCATAGTGGCCCAAGTTACCTAAACCAAATTCAAATCCATAAACTGCTTTTTAGTTTAAAGTTTAATGAACAAACTAACTTTTTCTAGTTATACAAATAAGTTAGTAAATCCTATATAAGCACTCCTGGCTATATAAAGTTTCAAATAATAAATAAATCTAGATCTTCTTAATTTAGGATTTGTACAGGCCCTGTACGAGGGTAACGCAATTATTTATGCGCTTAAGGTCTATCCACTTTTTTTAAGAATCTGCTTAATAAAAAAAAAAATTTATATATAGTGTAGTTTCGGGATAATTAGGACATCCATAGATTAACGAAATACCCGTTCAGTCATGTTTATTACACTCGTTCAAATTCGCAAACAAAAAAAGGCTTAAGATAACAGACAAAGCTACAGCCAAGTTATCGTTGATGTTACCTTAAAGCTATATATTGGCTAGTTAGTATCCATTCGATTAAATTTCATTTATAGTTTTACGGCTTCTATCTATAAAAATCTTTATACGTTGATGTGTAGGTCTCTAAAATTTAAATATTCTTTAGATAGTACCTATTACTTAAGAAATAATTAGTAACTGTTACACTAGCTGTCTAGCACACCGAGTTCCTTATCTTCACATGATGATTGTATGGTTTCCCCTCTATTCTAGAGGGTCCGATTATGCTGCAGCCTTCGGTGTTTATCCAAGAGAGATAGAGGGGCTTAAACCCTCAGTTTGGATCTACTGAGGAGACGGCACAAATAGCACTAAACGTAAAGAGAAGTGCCCTATGACTGTAACTAAAGAGCGGATTTCGGCTTTCCCTCAACAAACCCGAAAAAACTCGAAAGCTTAAACACTTTCTGACGTACAAAGAGCTAAGTGCCATCAATACAAGCGCTTAAACTATTAAAGTTAAAATAATAATCCTAAAATAGTCCTAACCCCACTAAGACTTAAAAAAAACGAAACTAGTAGTATACAAAGCTTTCAAGTAGTCAAGTATATATACCATACTTTCAGTTGCACAATATAGGTATCCTCAACGCGGGAAACGCCCAGGCGCAGAGACACAAACAGAATAAAGCCAACTCCAACGAAAATAAAAAAACCAACAACAAACTCGAGCGCTTTTCTACAGCTTTAGACATCTACAATTCCATTATGTTCGATTATTTGTGAAGATGCTGTCTTTAACTTTGGGTTTATCAATTTTTTGATAAATTTCTTTACGTTAGATGGTAGTTTTTTATGTAAATCCTAATTATTATTATAGAAGAAAAAACACAATTCTGTTTTGGAAAAAATTTAATTGCGTTTTAATATTATACTATTTGTATTTTTATTAATAACGTCCCGCGATTATTCTTTAAGTCTATGTAAGGAAGCGTTATCCAATAGGTCAACTACTCTTAATTTTCTTGCCGGTATAAATATTCCTGAATGTAGATTAGTTTGCAAAAATCTTTTATACAAAACTTGTACAGAAACGCCTTCGCAAATAAATTTTTTTTGATAACTTCATAATATCAATACCTCTGTCTTCCGTTAGCAATGGACAAAGAGTTTTTACTAGGGTAGCTATAAAAAAAGGCTTAAAGGTTGTCTTGGGCAAACCTTTTTTAGCCAAAATCAAAGTAAATTAGACGTGAAGATGTTTACTAAAGATACACATTGCAAACATGGAACAGTGATCTGAAAGACTACATATGTTTCAGTTCCTAAAATGGAGCCTTTCGTTATGTAGTTGGGCGTTGGTCCTATTAAACTATGCTCAGTGGCGACGCTATAAAGTCAACGCAGTTATATTATAGACACCAGAGAGCTTAAGTTATAGTGACATGTGCAATATGCATTTATTTATTGGAAAAATTATATGCTAAAATTTCAAGTCCCGTGTCCTTTTGCACAGAGAGCTTAAGTTTAAAAATTTTTTCTTATTTGTTTGTTGTTAGTCTGTTTATTACATAAGCCCCTTACCGTTTATTGCAAATGCTCGTTTACTAATTTTAAATTATTGTAGAAAAGCTTAATACAAAGAAAGTTCGCCCAAGTTGTCGATCTGTTAATTTTAGTTTCCTCTGCGCGTTGTCTTAAAGTTTAACTATAGCGCACATAACCTGAATATTGTTTATGAGAAAGAAAAACTGATCAGTTTGGGGCGAGTGGGCTATTTGCACATCATAATAAATTGACTAGAAGAAACGCCTCCCAAAGATTAAATAAGCATATAGCGTGGTTATACGCTTAACCAGTTTTTTTAATTGGTTACTTGTCCACTTTATAAAAAGTGTTTTAACCGACTAAAATGGGAAAGGATTGGCAGCGACGAAAACCTGAATGACAAAAATAATCAAAAGCAACACACGCAAAAGTTATTTCTTTAAAGTGAAGGTCAAAGAATAAATCATTTAACTTATGATTAGGTTTTAACTACTACTGTACAATTAAAGGTAGAAATAGGCGTATGGACCCCCTTAAAGATTGAAAAGGTTGTCTAAGAAATTCTTTCTTAGGATCTCAAAGTTAACGCCAAGGTTCTTTACCTTTAGGCGCCTTGGTTTGTTTATAACTTGTACTATCTAATTAGGCAACCATGTCTTCCATGGATTAAAATATAAAATTAGATGATTTCTATCATTTTATTTAAATTTTTAATATAAAGAGGCTCTGTTAAAAATATTATAGTTTAACCTAACCGACTGGTCGATTTGAGACTTTATAAACAGACTAACGGCGTTTTATAAAAACAAGGAACAAGAGGTCAGCAACTGGAAACCAAAAGCTTGAGTCTTTATTGTAAAATTATTTTTACTAAATTATTATTATGGATTATACGATCCGTTTACAGTGCGCGGTAAATAAAAAAAATAGAAAAAAAAAAGGTAGATTTCACACAACTGAGGGTATGCTCTTTGCATTTTATATTAATTTTAACTAGTAGATTTAATCTTTCAAGATTAATTTTAAATTGTGTATATATATTCATTTTAAGACAATAAAAGCAAGATTTCGATCTTTCGTTTTTGTGGCTGCTTTTCAGTCTACGGGGCTCTAAGAAGTTTTAGCTTTATTTTCTAAAGAGCAAGTTAAATATATTGTTTTGGTCTAAGGGGCCTTACAAAGTGTTGATAGTAACTGTCTATAAGATAGTTGATTGGGAGCTTAACGTCTAGAGGGCGTGTGCGTTATTAAAATAGCCTAAAAGCTCAAAAGGAAATTTCTAACGAGAAACTCCAAGAAAAATACATTAATTTATAAGCAATATAAAAAAAAAAATAGAAAGTGGAAGCTGCGTTTGTTATTTTAATAGTTCCGTTATCGTTTTTTGCTTGGTACAAGTTTTAGTATAGTTTACTTCACTTCACGTTGACAAATAACTTCTTTCCCGTTATTTGATCCAATAAAATTTTCAGCGTATTGGTAATATTAAAGTTAGGTGCTACTAAGTTAAAGTGTACCTTTATCTTTCCATTGTTTTATTATGCCTAACCAAATGACATCATATCATAGTGAATTTGACTTAGAAGATCAAATTGAAAGCTTTACACTGAAATTAACAGATTTTTTTTGAAAAATATTTATCAATAAGAAGGGTTAAAGAAAGTTATATATTTTGTTATATATTTTGTTATTTGTAGCCACAATTAGTATAGTCCCTTCGATACACTAGCACATGATTTGATTAATAATTAAGGACTGGGTTCTTAAATTAAGAAAATTAGGAATGCTCTTCCTTATCACCCATTTGCCCGAAGCGATGGCCTTAACTACTACTCAAGATAGCTCTATACGTAAATAGATGAGACTTTCTGTGTTTTAATTTTTTCGTAACTCTGCTAAGTTTCAAGCGGTATAAAAATTTGCTATTCTATTAAGACCGTAAATGTAAAATACTAAGTACGATCTATATTTTTTAATTTAAATATTGGTTAAAAAATAACATATTTTAAATATACGGGCACAGTGTCTAACATATCTCATAAGCTCACCAACGCGTAAAATAAGCAAGAAAAGCGCTCCTTTGTGGGAGCAAATTGAATACCTGCTAGCGTAATAGTTCAACAGATCTTGAGCATTTACGGTCGAACGCTAATGGGAGCTAGACTTTAACCTTACGCTTTTTAAACATTTCTGTTCATATCCTTTGAAGTCTACAAGCGTCGACTTTTCATTTAAAAAGTATGTCGTTTCAATTCGAACTAAGGTAAACTCTAAGCTAAACTATATTAAAATTTAAATTACTAACTTACCGTTAGTACAAACTCTAAAGGTTCGAAGGGTAACCAACTGAAAATTTAGGGTTACTAATTAAATTCTTATTTTAGTATAATAAAATTTAAAAGAAAGGAAGCACGATATAATTAAGCTTAACAGCTTTTAACAAAGAAATGAGAGAAGAGGACCAATAGAATAGTTGAGGAAACAAAGAAACAAATAGGGTTAATTTTTGGCAAATATCGTCGCGGTGATTTTTTGTTTATGTAGATCCGCGTTGGGGCCCCAACTTAAAAATTACTTATATACTAGAAAATGTCTAAAACTTTGACACCGTACATTACTGCCGTGCGTAATACACTTAACGCTGCCATTTGCTTGGAAAATTTTCCTTCTCAAAGGGTAGAACGACATAATAAGCCATTGGTTGAACTTCAGTGAGTATACTTAAATAAACTTTTCAAAGTTGGAATTTAATTGATTAGTAAAGGACTGACCCAGAGTTATTATGTGTGCCCGTTGTCATTTGCCGTTCTGATAAAGAAAGAGTTTTAATTGAAGCTTCGGTTAACTCTTGTCGAATATCTTTAGCTATTAAGCAGGTTGCTCTGTGTTAAGCTTTATTTTCGTTTAACTATTTGGCCTTATTCTATAAACTTAGATGGACGAGATCGAAAAAATCCTTTGTAAAAGGTTTATGAGTTTTATAACGCAAAGAGCGGAGGCCTTTGTTATCATGAGAAGAAAACCGATTTTAGTAAAAAAAAAAAAAATTGTATAAGTCTTCACGATATTACTATATTTTTTTTAAGGGTTATGACTTAAGTTTCCTTGTGACAAACATTCATACAGAAGTGATGTACAAACACAAGTTGGTGGACTTTATCTGTACTTTTATGGAGGACATCGACAAAGAAATCAGTGAAATGAAACTTTCTCTTAACAGCCGCCTTCGTTTATCCGCTGAGGAGTTTTTAAAAGCCTTTGGATAAACGAAATCTGCTTAAGGACTTATAAAGCTCAAACTTTGAATGTAGTGAGCCTTGCTAATAAATTTATTACGAAAGACATAAATATTAACACTGCGGGGATGTAATCCTATACAAGATGCAGCGTAAATTATTGTATAGCGGGCTTGACAGGGTTGGCTCATAAATGGCACAATGTTTTTTTTTAAATTCAAGAAATGAATACTTGCAAAGATTTAAAGAAAGTAATCTGGGGTCCGTCGCGCTACCTCTGGCTCGCCCTTACGCGGCGCAGGATCAAATTGAAGGCTACACAAGAAAAAAAATATAAGAAAGGCAACTGCTAAATATGTGATAAGCAGGAGCTGACCACGTATACTTGAGAGTGTCGTCCAGTTCCATTATAGCAGCCTGATTACCGCAGCGGTAGCAGTAGTTAGGCGCGCTGAATATAGTGGCGACATGTTTGCTGTGAATCCAGTTGTAGCCCTTAAAAAAAATTACTTAATAACTGAAGCGGAGTTACTGCAAGCTCGAGAGCGACCTCCATAACGAGCTGGTGCGCCCGGGCAATTAAGGTGAGGCCGTTGTGGTGATTAAACTGCTCTGAAATGTCTTGGCCAAACGTATAGCCGGCGCCACGTGGAGACATGCCCCAGCCACAGCGGTCGTCAGGATCACTCCAAAGAAGATCGCACATGGGCCCCTCGTGAGGAACCTCTTGTATGCGGTCCAGTGCCCGAACCTGCAGATAGCCCGTCAAAAGAAAGATTATTAAAAATTCTTTGGAGTTACGTGGTCTAGAGTGTCAATAGAAGGCGAAAGTCCTCCGTGTAAGGAAAAAATCTGAGTAATAGTATGTATAGTTAGTTTGTCACAAGGTTACAATAGCGAGTGACATTCGTTTAAACAGAGTCAAAATATGGACAAAAACAATGTCAGAAAAAAATAGTAAAACTTTTACTAGCGAGAAAAAATACCTGATTTTCTATTAAGGCAGTCAAAGGCAAATAGTCAAATAAATCAGTAAAGTATTTCCAAACGTTGGTGTTGGCGTACTTTTTTGTACATTCGTCATAGAAACCGTAAACCTTTCGCGGGTAATCTCAGTAAATATATTTGCTTTTTAACAAAAAAGCTCAAAAGATTATACTTGTGTAATTTGTCTGCTTTCGTGGTTGCCTCTCAATATGGTAATGCGATCTTTATACCTTACTTTTAAGCAAATTAGAAGACTGACAGTTTCCACAGAGTAATATCCCCTATCTACGTAATCACCTGAATAGCGAGTGATAATTATAAGAAATGAAAATTTTCAAGTGTTCCTAGTAAGTCAAAACCCATAAATAGATAGTTAGTATCAGGACTATCACCACCAATTCTAAATAGCTCGATAAGATCTTGAAATTGGCCATGTACATCGCCACATACCGTGACCGGGCAGCAAACAGTTTGTACGTTGGACTCGGTAATAAAAATTTCTTTTGCTTTTTCGCAAAGTGTTTTAACCTATTACCATTATAGGATTCTTTAATAAAATAAGAATTTAATGATACGAAGTTTACCTGATCTTCACTTAGAAATTCACACCTATACAACTTTTCAATCCAAGCATCCAAATCTTTCACGGATAAGGACATCTTAGAGACTTATCATTATAAAATGTTTAATAAGTCTTTGATTAAAATTCCTGGTGGATAATACAAGTAAAAGGTATAACAAGCGCTATAACTTAATTAGCTATATCGGCAATTAGACTTCGGAACAATTACTCAGTTGTTATATACACTTTAGCGAGGGGTCAGTTATAAAAGTAAAGCGAGCGAAACCAATAATAACGAGGGAAAAAGAGAACGCTTTTGCGTCTAAGCTCCCTGCCTTACCTACCAAACAGTTTATTTCCGAGCACGGTCAAAGAGATATTTCATATTTAGTTGATCTCGAGGCTTCTCATTAATACGACAGGATTTATTGAAATAAGATAAAGCGGTATATTTTGACAGTCATGAGGAGGGAGAATATAGAGGCTTTTAGCAACTCCATGTCATGAACTAAAATAAATACTAAATATAAATAGTTTTGAGGCCCAAGAAATCTGTATTTTTTTAAATATCTAATTAATAAAAAGGAAGGAAAATACCAAAAACACTCTGAGTAGTTTGGCTGCATCTGCTAATTTTATAAAAAATTTTAATATTACTAAATAAAAATTGCTGACGGTTTTAGCTTTGGCGCCTTTTAAAGGACCGCTAAAAAGTTGGGGACTAAGTCAGGTTGGTCACCATTTACGAAATTGAAAAAACAAGGCAGTTCTATCAAAAAGCTTACTACGCTTCTAATAATTCTATACCAATAAATACTTACTTGAATATGATATATGATATTATATCTGCTTTTCTTTTTTATACCAATTTATAATGCACTATTTAGTTAGTATTAAAACTGCTGAGTAAACTTTTGTAAGGAACTAACTCAAAAATAACGTATAAGAGACTATTCTAAAGGTCAACTAAAGTTAACCTAGTTAATTTCATAACATAGGTATAACTTTTAGTATAAGCGTTAATGCACTATAAAAAATTAAATTTTTTTATAATTTGGTTAAAATACATAAAACAACGTTAAAAACCAGCTTATAATATAATACTATGATTGCAGTGTCTTAAACAGTTGAAAGCCATGAGGTGTATTAAGGTCGTGAAGGTTAAATAATAATCTTCATCCTTAAAACAAGGAATATAACGGCTTGGTATAAAAACAACTTCTTACCTTAGAGCAATTATTATTTGATTAATTTATTTAAAAATACAAAGTTTCCTTTCCTTTTGATAACAAAATTACTAAATTATTGACAAAAGTTTTTAATCAGTAAAAATTCTATAATGTGGACATTAACTGTAACTATTTTGTAGCTTTTTTTTTATCTACCTTAAATTTGTACTTGCCTAAAATCAGTAGTATATATTATGACCATTTTTTAAGTTATAGCGAGGTATATGATCGGTGTTTCTTTTTTAAATAATCATGTTTTACAATTTGTGGGCTTTTTAGATACCTGTATAAATTTTTTACGCAATTTTGAAAGCGGGTGTGTCTTTTTATGAACTTGTGGTAACTAATTTTTTTATAAATAATAAAAGTTAAAGTTAAGTTGTGTAAATTTAAGGAAAAAAAGTAAAAATTTTGTCTTGGGTTTAATAATCTGTTACAGTTGATGAAAAGAGTTTTCTGTATACAATTTGACAGCATCGTTTCTAGGTAAAATAACAAAAATAGTTACCACCAGTAAAAAGACATTTGATCTAACGCTCCCTCCCTCCCAAAAAATAGTACTGGTGCAAAAGGGGCGCTAGCCTAGAACGAGACGTAAACCAAATACTAAAGTAGACGAGGGAAGGGCCGGTCTGTGGACTCCCGGACGTTCTTGTCAGAGTCGCCGCCAGTGGGCCGCCGTAAAACACGTTTTCTTTAATTATTATTTGGAAAAGACAATTTATATTTGGATATTAGTGTTATCTATTACCATTGAAGTGCATATTTACTTTGGTCAAGATTAAGATGCAAGGTTACAAACTCAAAATACCGTTTAGAATTCTCAGAAATATATTGACGCCAGTTAGTCTTAGTAGTTTTATACCACAAAATCACAATTACATTTTTATTTACTTAAAATATTCTATTTTTACTTATTTTTGTTTTTAAATTTCAAAAACTAGATACTTGGCAGATTTCAATTTTTTCAGTTATTTTTATCGGTTGCGCCCCTATTCTTCTCTTGTGGTTTGTTCCAGTTGCTTCTTTTAAAGTCCTTAAAACCCGCCAGGCGTAAATTTAGATATTATTTTATAAAGACACATTAACACCAATTCCATGTGCTAAGGTTTTTAAATATTTTACTGGCTTTTGCTTGTGGCGGACTTTTGGGCGATGTCTTTTTACATCTGTTGCCACACTCTTTTCAACCCCACTCTTTTTCCATTATGTCCCCTTCGCCGGAAGCTTCATCTCTAGAAAACCGCTTAAATAATATACCGGTCGGGTTTTCTCTGATCGCGGGTCTTTTATCTTTCTTCCTTCTTGAAAAGTTGTTGCGAAATTTCCAAGGTAAGTTTGGTAACATACTTTGTTATTTATATTTATGCGCAGTTTACATAGAAAAAATCTCCACTATTAGGTACAAGTAGCTCACAAACTAAATATGCTAAAGGCAAAAGTTTGAAAGAGAGGAAATTTTCACTTCCTCCAGTTAAAGTAAGTTTTACTTGTAGTATCCTTTTTATATACATAAGCAACCCACTATAGCTCATTGATATATATACTTATACTATTGAAGTGCATAGCTGATCTTGAAGATAGTGTAGTTTAAAGGCCCCAGGAATTATATCCCCTTTTATATGTAACTTTAAGTTTTCATGGTTATTATACTCTAAGAGTGTTGTTGGTCAGTATTGATTGCCTGACTGACTTTGTAGGCGACGTACCACAGTTATGTGAGCACTTGTAAGAGTTGCCGTCATTCCTTGAGTGGTTAGACGTTAACTCGAAACCAGTACATTAGTCAGCGCCTCTAACTTTATTGCGCTACTTGATATTAGCATTACTTTAATTACATAACTCCCTAGTTGGAAATGTTAGTACATAAAGATAGTTTCTTAGGAGAGATATTCGACGGTATGCTTAGCATAGTCCACTTTGCAAGCATTAATAAACGAAGCAACTTTCTGGACGTAGAAAAATTTTAGCCTATTCTAAGTGGTATTGAGTAAAAGGACGGGGTAATAGTGCGCTTTGCAGTCAACGGTAACCCCCCCCCCTGCGCCTGCATAGGCTTAAGGCAAGCAGTAAGTCCAATGTTCATTTATACAAGGCTTCTCTGTAGGTTACATTTTTTTTACTTTAGCAAACAAATTTTGGAGGAGTGAGCGTTTTAATTTTTTTTAATTGTTACTGCGTTTCCAAGTTTTTGTGTTTTTTATTTAATTGCCTTGCGAACTTTGAATATTTTACTAAGTTTTTTTATATAATTTTTGGCAGGTTGTTGGCTATTTGAACCTACTTGCCGACTTTGTCCATAATTTTACGGACGGTTTAACAATAAGCGCCTCGTATCTATTCAGCGCGAAACTTGGCTTTCTTACAACTCTCGCTGTATTTGTTCACGAAGTGAAGCGTCCCTTTTTTACATTAAAATAATCTCATATATTTCCCTTTATATTGTAACAGATTCCTCACGAGCTTGGGGACTTTGCCATACTTCTCCAAGCTGGATTAACTAAGAAGCAGGCTATGGTTGTTATCGGCAGTCTTTACCGCCTTCAAGCTTTTTGCTTATACTTATTCGTCGTGTATGTATGTAAAGTGGGCGCAAGTGCTTACAGCGTTTGGTTCCCTTCTAGGCGCAGGCACTATAATAATAAGCGACCTTTATCCTCGCAAAAATCTCAGAGTCACCTCTTAGTGCTTGGCCTGTCGGTGGAAGATGCCGTGCCAGCCCGCCTTGTCTTAGCTTTCACGTCGGGTGGCTTCCTATACGTGGCACTGACTGCAATCTTCCCTGAGCTTTTGAAATACTGCACTTTCAGGCAGACTTTTTATGAGGTGACCTTCGTAGGCTCGAGTTGTGGAATCTACAATTCCTATTCTCGTGTATACAGACGCTCGCTTTTCTTTTCGGCGTAGTGCTGATGGCCTTGGCGGGTATTGTCGAGTAAGGAAGGACTTAAGTCATTTATGCTCTTCTTATGAATGGGGTAATTAAATTCAGTACGCCTTCTACTTATAAACTGTTTAACTTTAATTTGTTAAATATTTGTAAAAATTTATTTTATTAAGACCAATTTTAAAACCCTCTTTAAGTGCATAATTATTTTCTTTTTAATCTTGAAAACCTCAAATATTGCTTGAGGGGGCATTCTATATTTTCGAAAGGGGTATTAGACCGCTATATGGACTTTAGTAATAGCGCTTTAGGAAGTTTTAGCTTTTTTAAAGTAGTTGACATAAGAAAATCGAATTTTATAGTTCATTAAGTAGACCTTGTATCCATTTGACCGTTCGAACACAGGGGGGGGAGGGCAGCTATACGGCTTCCACGGTAGGTAACGCAGTAATACTTCGGCGTTTCGATTTCCCACATAGTGGGCCACCGTTGGCAGTTATGATGACTCCGGTTCTACTTTTCATATGTGTTCAGAAGGCGTAACTCTCGCGTCTGAAAATACTTCTAGGTTTAGATCTTTCCCTTAAGATACCACTAATTTCATTGACTTTGTGCCTTTTAAATATTTCAAATACTTGTTTTGCTGCGGCCCACTGCTGTTTACTATGAGTTTTCAAGTGCGTAGCCAACTTATTGGCTGCAGTGGCGTTTCCGACCTGGTTCTACTTGCGAGATACTAATAGGAGTCCACTACTTCATTAAAAGGGTGTTCGTGCTCGACATCTCTTAATCTTTCTAAAATCATCATATTCATGGGATAAGATGCAGGTTTCGAATTCCTGGTCTCTAAAGTAACTTGCCCTCCATGTTCATTTGACACATCTTTAAAACGGAACTTCATAGAATTATTTAATTCACGGGTTTTGGCTGCACTATTCGTAAACGCTCTCAGTCGTCTATGTATGCTATAGCAATACACGTTAATTGATAGTCGGCTATAGAAAGAGGCATGTGTCAATGACACCGTTTAAATCCGAGGTATTTTAACTTTTCTCTCACGAGATCAAATAACAAAGTTTCCTGTCTCGCTTGTTCCGTACAGCGCTTTATTTAGTAGTAAATATTTGCCTTCTAAATTTCCGTTATGTATGAAATGGAAACCTAAGGGTATTTTGACTTTTAGAATTACGTCCAAGTCTGCATTGACGTAGGCATTTTTTATAGTCAAATTTTGTTGAAGATTTTGTTGGTGTGCTAAAACGACAAGGAGCTTCATTGCTTCCTTAGATATCACTGGACTTGTGTATTTGAAATAGCCTAACCCGCGTGTTTGATTAAAACCTTTGAAGCAGTTCCTCGCTCTAAAACTTCTGTCATTATAATTTTAAAAGCCCAAGTAGTATCTTTTATATCGCCTCCCTTATGCTCTGATATTTGCTATATACTTATAGAGTCTATTAATTTAATTTTTAATTTGTTTTAACTGTTAAGCTAATATATGTACAAAATTTAATTTATTAAGTTTTTTGGATATTAGATAATATAATAAGAAACAGATATTTGGGTATGTTTTTTCAAACAGCACTCCAGAGCATTTTATTTTATAATCTTATAATAGAAGACAGATATTAACTTTAGACTATAGAAGAAATCTAGATTCAAGAAAGTTAACACTTATAGTAATAACTTTTAAATCAAATATATTTTTTTCCGATAGTACTAAAATTGTATTAAGTCCGTACTCGAAATGCAAAATAAGTATAGGTAGAAGACCAAGAGGGTCTGACTGAGCTTGCGTGTATAACTTCTATGTTAAAACGATAAATATGTTGGTAACTGTTTACAAGAATTAGAGGCGAAGTCGTTGAGTATAAGATCGGGTTTTGATATATATAACGCAATGGAGCCCTTTTACATTTTTGTTTCGCCCCTAACTTTTTTTACTGTTGAGCGCTATTCATTTCTTTTCTGTATTTATTTATTATTTTTATAAAATGAGCTCTATCGTTGAGCACTCTGTTGTTTACTGGAGCCATACGGCCTTCATTCGTAAAGTTTACTTACCCATTGTGTCGCATTTGTAAACAAAGTAATTGGGTACCCGAAAACTGTGTGTTTCGAAGATAAAAGCTATAAATATTATTCTATTGACCTTTTAATTACAAAATTAAGATAAAAACGTTTAGTAGGTTTTTGCCTCTGACTAATATTCTAAAGATCTTATGATTACGATTAGTTATACTCCAGACTTAACTTATTAATGAAGCATATGTAATTTCTAAAATTACTGTAGTCAATACGATTGTTCGTATAAACTTCATTAAATTATTTAAAAATTGATATATGAAGTTGAGCAGTAATTTTGGTCCCGCTCATTTTCATATATATAATAAATTTTGTTTACAGTCAAAATTACCAAAATTTATCAACTCCTTAGAAACATAACATATCTATACACGTTTTCAACTTAGTAAGTTTCTAATAGATAAGATTTTAGCAATAGAACAGGCAATCGCAATTTAATACAATATTAGCCTACAAGGGGGAAGAGAAATACTTGAATAGCTCATATGTAAACTCTGCGGACACTAACTTTATTAAAAACTTGATCCGGCTAACCTTGTATTTGCACTTTGTGGGCTGAGGAGACCCTTATATTATCTTCAAAATGAGTTGGTTCTATCGGTTCGTAACACCTAAAAAATTTAAGTTTTCTGGTAAATGTTTGCTTATCATAACTATTAAGTATTTATCTTTAGTTATTCTTATTAGAATCCTTAATAACTTTAACTGTCAGTTATTGTGAAACCTCCACTTTAAAGGTTGTAAAGCAAACTTGTTTCAAATTTTTTTGTAGTAATACGTACTTATTAATAGTTTATTGAACCATTACTTGACATAAAACACCTTTCCTTTTACAAATATATGGAAATTACTGACATCGACAGCTGGAAGTACTTATCTTTTGACTTTACTTTTCTCATAATTTTTAACTTGTATTAATTCTTACTATACGTATCAAGGATCGCTCTAAAATTTTTAACTTTTATTTATATCTGCGAAATAGAGATGGGCTTTTTCACTTATTAAAAAAAAATACAGCCTTGGGCCGAGTTTTAATTGCAAAAGAGGCCCATTTATTTATATATATATTTGTACATATACGTTTTTTATATAATCTTTGTAGGGTATCAACGCACAACTATCAATTAAATGCTGCAACCTTGACCTACTTTTAAGCGATTTAAGGGATTATCCTCTGTTAAGAGATGTCTATTTTAACGTAGAGGTTACTTATGTCTTACTGTTTTTTTTTTCAGTGGCGAAAAGTTGTATCTACGTAGTTTATGACAATGAATTTTAGGTTTCTGGACTCCCTTACGATGCGCATGAACAAGCCTTTAGTAAACTCAAAGTTAAAATTAGAGACACTATCGTTGTAATCTTTTTTATTTTATTTGATTTTTTTTGACCTATAATAAGTAATTTTCTTTTTAGTGCTTAATTTTTTGTAAAATATTTAATTTTGTTTTACTACTTTTTGACTCGTATCCCCTATAATTAATAATTATATTGAAGTATATTTTTTTCTTTATTGTTCATAACTATTTATTAATAAGCACTTTTTAAAGCTTTTCATAAGTATCTTAAATTCTTCTGAACAATTCATTTTTTTTAAAAAATATAGTATCTAGCCGTTTTTGAAGGTTACTAATTTCGAGTAAATTAAATTTATATTTTTGTTATATAATATTTTAAATAACGTTTAATATAAATTTTATAATTTTTTTATTAAATATTGAATTCTTTACTTTATCGGTAGTTTTAGATTTTATTATTAAAACATTATAAACTTTTAGAATTTTTAGAACTGCTCTTGTTATTAAATCTTAATGTTATTAAGGTTTGATAATTAATATTAATTATTTGTAGTTACAATAATTTTTTTTAAACTTTAAAACCATTTTTGTATAGTTTTCTTAATTTCTATAATCAACACAAAATTTTATCATTAAAATAATTAACTCGGAAATCTTTATATACGGCTTAAAGGCTGACAGGCCTCGTTTTGGAGAGCGTTCGGCTATAAAAGTTGATCCACACTGTCAAAGTAAAACTTTAGCCTTAATGATAATTTCAAGTTTTTTTAAAAAATTGACTAATTCGGTTTTTTATTAAAATTGTAAACTAATTTTTTTAATATTATTTTTCTAAATATAAAATTTTATGGTAAAAAACTGAGATCTATAAAACTCAATTTCTTTTTTTAATATTACTAATTTCTTTAGTTATTATAAGTACTAAATTTATAAATTTTATAATGTGGTTGAAGTCATTTTTTAATAATTTTTTTTACCTAACTTTAATTCAATTTTAATTTTTTATTAGAACTTTTTTGTTTTAAATTTATTATTATAGTTAAAAAGATTTTTATAGTTGGAATATATATATTTAAAGGATTTTTAATAATTTGCTATACACTATAAATATATTAATTATTGTTCATCTGTAAGCCTAAGAGCTATAAAATTTTAAATCTTTAAGCATTTATAAAAGTTTTGTTACTATAAAATCATTTTATTTCATAACTGATTTACATTCTATCTCGAAGTGAAATTTATATACATAATAGTATATTCTCTGTCTTCTTAATTCTGGGATCTAGTGAATGAAATCATTTAAGATGCATCGCAGTGTTACTTTGTGATATAATTTATAAAAACTTTATTAATTAATTTTAAAAATTTAATTTTAATATATATTTAGGAAAAGTGATTTAGGAATAAGTGTAATTTGTATTTTTAGTAATTAATTAGCCTCAGAAAAAAAATAATTGACAACTTTAAAAGTATGTACTTTGAATTTTTTTTCCTGACTTGGAGTAAATTGGATTAACTAAATAAATTTATTTAAAGGTAAATTTGGAATTCCGTGTAACGCAGTACAGCTCTGCTTTAACTTTTATTGTATTGAAATAGTGATTTCTTTCATACGTTAGAAATTTATGTCCCATCTAATTTTTTAGAAAAAGTTTTTTTTAAGTATTCACTTTTATTATTTTTTCTTTAACTGTTTCCTTTTTTATTTTTTAATAGAACTTCAAACTTTTGTTTTAATTTATAAAAGTGTTTAAGATCTTATTTTGCTTCTACCTTTGTTTTTATATAACTTTGTTTTTACATTTAGCCGATTTTCTCAAGCAACATATACAAGTAATTTTTATTTTTAATATGTTGTAGAAATCAAGCATCTGGAAGCCTCGGATTGGGACGAAGCCCTCCGAGGCGAGAAGGTCACGCTTATTGACGTTCGTAATCACTACGAATACGAGTTGGGCCACTTCTTTGGGGTACTCGCTGTAGCGTGGAGCCCTGTATTTAATCTGACTTCATTACAAAAGGCACGAAGGCTGAAAACTAACGTGTTTCGCGAGTCGTATGACGCTCTTGACGATGCGTTGGTAGTTGCTTATAATCATAAATTTATGTGAACAAGTTTTCTCTACATAACTTTGCAGTGCGACGTAAATAAAAAAGATCCGCTTTTGATTTACTGCACAGGCGGCATCCGTTGCGTTAAAGTCGGAAGTTATTTGTATAAAAAAGTTATTTTTTTTAAATTACAAATGCATTTTCTAGTGTTAACTTTATTTTTTTGTAGGGATTTCAAAATGTTTCTACTTTGAAAGGAGGCATTAACGCGTACATTTCACAGCGATTTCAAGATGTTCGATTCCGAGCCAAAGTTATTGTTGATATTTATTGCAAGCACATTACTTTATAATTATGAGTCACTCAGCCTTCAGACTGTGTTGGTAATTCTGCCGAGATACCGCTTCTTTCTTCAGAAGTACCATAGTGAAATTCTTTTGTCCTATAACTTTTTTTTCCCTTTTTGTTAGAAATCCACTTTTAGAGGAAAGAATTTTGTCTTTGACAATCGCAAAGCTGTGGCGGTAACGAAGGTGTCGGCCTTCAAATGACGTTCGTTGGCGGTCGTTATCTTTCACTGGCTTCTTATAGGACGTGGTTGGCGCCTGTTCCCACTGCGCGTCACCCGCCAGCATCCACAGAAATTGCGCTAAAAAGGAATGCTTTCTTCTTTTCTTACAGTGGTTTCTATTTTTTCTTTATTTTGTTTTTCTTCTATTATATTCTTCTAAGCAAAGCGTGCTTCGAGCTGTCTAACGGCTTCTGCTCTCCGGAATGCGCTGGTCTTCAGCCTTCCATCTCCGCCTCACCGCCATCTCGTGAACCAGAGAAGCCATATTACGACCAGTCTGTTTATCTCAAGCACAAATCTTTTTTTTCGCGGCTCCAGAGGGTCAAGGTATATGTGCAGGATGAAGACTTTTCTTTTCTAAATGAATTAATTTTATAAGCCTTTCAACTGCGAAACGCTTCGCCGGTTTTCAACGGAGACTCGCACTTTTACTTCTGCTGAGGATTACTGCAATCACTTTTCTTCTTCTTTAGAAAATGGAAATCTTCTTAACTTGATGTCCGTCAACACGCCGTCTCCCGTTCTCTGCGGGCCTCTTCAGGGGAAGGTTCAGTAAATTTATATTTATACAAATAATTTTAATTATATTTTAAAGTTATTAAAATTTCTTGCTGCGATGGTGAAAGCCGAAAAGGCCCTTGAATTAGGAACTTTTATTGGTTATTCTTCTATATGCATAGCGGAGGGTCTGCAAGAGAACGGGCTTCTCACGACTTGCGGTGTTCTTATTCTTTTTTCTTTTTGTGAATTTTTCTAATTTGAAGCTCTCCTGTTTTAATGCAGATCACAACGAAGAGGCGATCGCGCGTGCTAAAGAATTTGTCTCCCGCAGTTCAGTGAGGGACAGGATTCAGTTCCGATGCCAAAAAGTAGAAAACTTGATTACTGAACTTCTAAAGGTGCTCTTGTTTGTAGTTAAAAAATAATTCAAATAGTTTTATTATAATAGATGGGAGCCCGCTTTGATTTTATTTATTTAGACTCGGCTAAAAAGCAATACCTCAATGTCTACAAGCAAGTTATGAGCGGAGGTTTACTTTCTAAGACGGGCTTGCTTGTGATTGATAATACGCTTTTTCGCGGATCTGTCTTAAATTTAAACAATAATTCTGAATTGAAAAACTCTGAGCCTAAAACAGAAAGCAAGATAAATAGAACTAGCCGACTGGGAAGTGAAATACATCTTTTTAACACTTACGTACTCGAGGATTGCTCAGTTGAAACTTTTATTCTTCCCATTCGAGATGGCCTGACTCTTATTCGATATAAATAGTCTATTTATAATATGTTTGTTATCACATACTAAAGTAAATCCATGTGACTTTGGATGGCGTTCCAAAAAATTGTTTATATAAATTTAGTAAATAAAGTTTTACTTATAAATCTGAGATAGATATATAATATTAATTGTTTATAAAACTTTATTTTATAAGTTAGCACTGTAGAATTTATACTTTCACCAAATTTCTCCAACAAAATTTATGACCGTATTAAGGCGCCAATCTACGTGTAGCTCCTTCATTTGACGATTCTTGCAAACGCTATAAGTAATAAAACCGCCTAATACTAGGCCTATTTAGTTTATAGTGCCTAAATTATTAAGCTTGCATTATATAAAAAATGCTAAATATAGCGCTCATATAACAATATAAAGATATTATACTCAAAAAAAAAGTACTTTTTTTTACTAGTGTAAACTAGTTCTCAAATAAAGGTTATTTAAATTCAAAAATTTATGTAAATAAGCTAGCTTTTTATTTAAACCAAGACTTATATTCTTTTAGAAGAGGAACTCTAATCTTAAGTTAATCAAAATATTACGACGATACGCGAGTTAAAAAGGGCTATGAGAGGGCGGTACTATGGGATATTACATAGTTTCGTTGGCAGTTTTAGCTCTGCAAATATTAAAACGTCATACGATTTTTTTTATCGAAAGAGCTCATAAAGAAGTTTAAGTACAATATTTCTTTAAAACAAGAAATGTTAAATCTGTGATATAATACTCCAACGACGAACAAAAGTAATTAGGATATTTATTATATTAATAACGTCTGTCTATACCAACGAAGTATGCAAAACTCTAAAAAGCGTAAACTTTTAGCCTTAAAAATTACCTTAAGCAAATGCAGGAGCCAATCAATCTTCGCCGTCGGAAAAAATTCTTAAAAAAGTTCCGCGTGCGTTCCAAACTAATAATGTTTACTTTACAACTGATTTGCTTTAAAACCTATTTCACTTCCTACTCTATATAAGAGTTTGCTCGAGTTAAACAGTTTTGTTAATTTTGTTAAGGTGTGTAGTTAATTATGCTTGGTTGTGATATAAGCGGTTTTTTTAATATAAATTTTAACAGCTATGTGAAATTGATTGGTTATCTTTAAAATATATTGTGACATAAGAAAACTGATAGTATAGAGCTCGCAGCTGAAAATTTTGTAATCGTGAAGATCGTAAAAGCTATAAGGTTTATAATCAAATGATGGTTGACACAGTACATGGCTATATTATTACATGCATATTTATCATTATAAAATATATTTTTGTAACATGATAATTTCTTAGGGCCATGGCCACTCTGAAGGACACTTTAAATGAACTTAAATATATAAAACCCCGTTCAAAAGGGACACCACCAAGGGCGGTAGAGGAAAACAAGATTCTCGTTCACACCTGCAAAGCTTGTGATGTTAGAAAAGATAAGAACAAGTAAATGCAATTTATGGCTATTACAAGAAGTTGTGATATATTTATTGTAGCCCCCAGTTATATTGGACTACTTTTACAGAAAGTCAATAAATTATAATTAGTATTTTTTATTAATGTTAATAGATACCTTATTGATTAATTAAAGTGCTCAACCCTTCACATTAATACATATTTAATAGCCTTCGTTACCCATAATTTTTTTTTTAAATTACTAGCAATAAAAAAAATTAGGCCAGTGCGCAATAATATTTCGCTTTTGCTTTTTGCCTTTTTTTAATGAGCTGAGTAGGCGTAATTGAAATTTGACTAAAAACGCCCGGCTTAGCCCTCTCAGGTTGCTTAATATCATTTATAATAAAAGATATGTCATTAAAAAAAAAAATTAAAAATTCATGTAAAATATGTACACCAAATATCTAACTAGAGTAATTTTGAAGCACGTTAATAGTAATTTTTAATAAAAAGCAGTAAAGCAGTTACGACCATAAAAATTAATATTGGGCCTCCTACTTTATGTTAATTGATGCAAGACACCTTATATAAAAAATAATAAACCTTGTTCACACAAAGCCACCGCCATTTTTTCTAATATAAGTAAATAAAAGACTATCTTGCAAGACAAGTTTCAGCAGTAAAGTTAAAAATTTGTAATATGCTTCGTGACTAATAAACCTATTGAAATACTATAAACTTGAGACTTCTAACTTTTTTATTGCATTAAAAAATATTTTATAAAAGGTTTTTTTAATTTTTTAAATAAAAGTTGTCTGATATGCTCTTCGTTTGCGGTTTAACTGTTTATTTAGCATATCAAATTTTTAACTAACAGAGACATAATTTATAATTTAGAAGTACCTCTTTTGTAGATGGTCAGCATATTATCTGCGAAATTATATGTTTATTAAATTTATAGATCTTCAAGCGTTAATATATAGAATTTTCAGATATTAGTAAACGATTCCCATTTAATATAAAGCTTTTTTATATATACATGATATTTTCTATGTGTTCTTGATGATAAAAATTAACGCTCAATTGCTTGAATGTTAATAAACGCTCATAAATCCATTTTTAATTCTTCTGGACAAAATTTAGCTCTGGGCAGCAGAACTCTAACGGCTACTAAAGCCACATCGAATTGCGTAAAACCTTAACAATCAATTGGCTATTCCGTTGAGCCTCATGGCAGTTTCTACAATGTGTCTATTTCTTTAGAAATTATGGGCTCGGTTGTTAATAAGTAGTTGGCTGAGCCTGCGTCAATGTTTTTCGATGAATAAAGAGTTTGATGCCCGAACGCAGCAAGGCTACGGAGAATTGCCTCCAAGAAGTTAAACTAGGGGGATTGCTTGGGGGGTGTTTGGGGCTTGCTGTTGGTTTTGCTTTTGGTGCGACCTCTTGTTTTAGGTGCGGTTTAAGTTTTAAAATCTTACTTTCTTTAAGCTATTTTAGTTGCTTCAGCTTATTTATTTGATAACACGGAAATATATATGTAGCATTATTTTTTTTTTTACTTAAAGTAAAATTTATTTAGAGCTGGCTTTAGAGGAAGAGAGTTTGTACGTACTTTAGGCTCGTCAATGCTGAATACGGGAGTTACGTTTGGTGTTTTTTTGGCGGCTGGGTTTGGTCTAAAAGGTTGTTTACGTAACTAAGTTTTGAAGTTATTAACGAAATTCTGCATGTTTTTACTAAATAAAATAATTATAATTATACCCTCTTTTGCTCACAGTGAACTTAAACTTAATTTTAAAGATCTTGTTTTAAAAATTAATTCTTGTTTGAATAAATATAATACACTATGTTACTTTAAAACTTGTTAGTATTAAAAAAACTTAGGGATTTGGCCGGAAACTATGTATTTTTTATTAAATGCTAGCACTATATATAGTTTTTATATTTTTTGAAGTACATAAATAGCTTTTTATTAATTACTGTCTCATTTATTTTTTTATAGATGTATGACTTTATTAGGGGTATAATAAAAAAAGTTTTTTGAGGCTTACTAGTTTACTCTTACAGTTAAGACTTTTATTTTGCAAAGAAGAGGCAATTTTATTTTATTAGTATGCAATTGTTCAGAAATTCTTATAGTTTTAATAATTGACTCTTTATTACACGAACCTTTATATTCCTTTTTAGCTTAGTAACTCTATCGGACTCAATTTTCTTGTCCGGATAAATGTGGTAATAACGTTTTTATGTAGTAAAACATATTTTTAATAGGTTTTCTCAATTTATTTTTTTTGAGTTATCGATGATTTAAGTTGAGGTTGTTTCTTTGAATTTTTGAGTAATATTATTTGCCCCCACTTCCCTGAAATTACACTGTTAGTATTGTTAGTTTTGAAACACACTAATAAGAAATTATTATTTCGGATAACATTTTTACTACAGAATAATATACGACAAAAGAATTTACTACTTTATTGAACAGGCATTGATTTAAAAATGTTAGAAAGACCTTGTTTTTTTCTAGTTTATTATTATTAATATTGAAAGTATACTCTATAAAGAATTTTTATTAGCGATAGTTACAAAATGCGTAGCTGCTCACATTAGGATATTTGCAAACTACTTTTAGTGCTTTAATTATAATATCCATTTTTTTTAAACGAGATCACAGTTTAAAAAAGTTTTATAGCAAAATAAAATTTAGGGGAACAGCGATATTTTTCACATTTATTTTTATTGAAAATTATAATTTACAAAAAGACCGCAAAAAAAACTTTTTATTATAATTCAATTATAATATTGCTACGTGTTAATGATTGCAAAAGCATTTGTTGCTATTCTAACAGCTTCTCTGACCTTTTCAAGTGATGTTCATACCAGAAAGCCAAATATGTATTACAAAAAAATAAGGTAAAGCTTTTTGGAAAACTTAAGTTGCTTTAGTTTTTTAAAAAAAGATTTCAATATATTTTAGTTTCTATAGTAAACGAGCTTCAAAACTACCTTAAACAAGATCTAAACGAGGCTGATTTATTTTGGCTAAAGAACATCTTATTAAAAACTTAAAAGTTTTCTTAGTAAGGAGTCATGATTTAAGGGTTTATAATAGGGAATAGTAATTTACCCACAAGAAAACTTGACACCTTTTTTCAGGTTTCGTGGAGGGGGAAGGGCACAGTATCAACTTGTGCAAGGCAAATTGATAACAATTATCTTAACCTATTTTTATCTTATAAAAATAAATTGCAAGAAGTTACGCCGCTATTCTTGTCTCCAACTAGTTGAAGGTTATGTTTGTGCTACAGAGAAATTCTTTGTGAGCCTTAAGATTCGGTATCTAACAAGGCCTCCTACTGGGATCTAAGTTATGGCAAAATAAGAACTGAGAAGACGAAAATACGCCCACTAGTCTTCTTTAGAATTTTTTTTTTTTCCCAGAGAAGCGTTTACCGCTTTGTGCTGTTTAGTTTTGCCCTTTTACTTTCTGTTTCTTGTTATTATACACAAGTCTTCACTTCTAAGCGCAAAAAGCTTTTAAAGGAAAAGGAGACGGGGGCAATTCCAAAAATGACGAGAAATACTCTTGAATAGCAAAGGTATTAGCATTAAACCTCGTTTAATTAAGCATAACAGTGCTCCTAACACGGTGCTGGAGAAATAAAACTATATATTTATATAAACAGTCATAAAATATCGCAAATGACGGTATATCAGTTAGTAATAAAAAGAGAGTTAGTTAATAACTCAAAAAATCTGTATACCGCTAATAAACTAACTTTTTGCTTCTGTCCTTCACTCTGTTAGCCTATGGCCCTTTTTATGTTGTTTAGAAGTCTTTTAAGTATACTGGCGAAGTCTGTTGGTACAGAAACTCAGTAATAATGAAGCCAACGTTTACATAGTTATAATAATCAAGAACTCTACGTCATCCAAAGAGTTTGTTAAATTTAGTTTTTGTAGGAAGCAATTCACTTTTTTTTTTCAAAATTAACCAATTTTAGGGGGCTTGATAAACAAGTATGTGCTAGACCAGAACTTATTACAGGTGTTCTTAAAAATTTACTTATTAAGCAACAAAAATTAACAACTTTTTTAAAAAAATTAATATAATATTGTCGGTTTATCATAAACAATATTGCGTGTTTAATTTTAAATAATTATTTGGAAGTCCCCCTTTAAAAAATTTCGTTGCAGAATTTGCAATAGAAGATTGTAGCCCACTTTTTTTAATGGAGTCTCAATAAAAAAGATAGCCAAGGAGAAAATTTTAGAAAAGATGGTTTTTAAGGAAGACAATTAACTTCAAAAAGTTTACAGGTATTCGCTAGTACGGCGTTATCATGATTCTCTCAATTGCATTAGCGTCGAGACTGCTCTTCATTCACCCAAAATTCTTATAAACGGGAAAAAAAGAAAAATAAAGCGTTTAATAAGTGCATAGAGCTATGCCTTTTGTGGAAACTTAATAAATAGTTAAATTTCACAAAGCTATTTTCTGCACTTGCACTTCTTTACCATTAAAATAATTACTTTGCTAAATAAGTTTTAAGTAAGGGGATAACCTGAATCATAAAATTTTAACTCAAAAAATTAAGCTATCTAAAGGCAATATTTCCTCTTGCTTATTTTCTACCAAAAATCTTTACACTGCAAACGAAGCAATAAATAGATAGATAACCTTTTTTATAGCGCGCAGATATACTTTGTGGCGCAAGAATACAAGATTATATAATAACAGTAACGTACTCTTAGTATAAATGCTTATTGAAAAAACACATCTTGTAAAAGAAATCTTAAGGTACAAGCTAATATTGTCATTTTTCCTTATTAAATTTATTTTCGTCCCGCTAAGGTTTTCATAATCACATATGTTAAAAAAATTGCTAATTAAATAGCCTTAGTGGCAAAGACTTTACTTATGGTCTAGTACGAACGGTTCAGTAACAAGTAAATAATGTTAAGGAGTTTAGAGAAAAAAATTGTTTTTAAATATAATATCCGTCTCTTACAATTTTTTAAAGAATTTTAGTTAGCTAAAAATTTAAAGTAAAAATTAAAATATATTAAAAAAATATAACTATGGCGTATTAAGACTATGACCAAATATTTAATTTAATTAAACTACATTACAAAAAGATTAATAGCCTCAAACTATTATTAGTTATTTTTTGCTTTTTTGTTTTTTAAATAAAACATTTAACGGTGTGTCTACCAAATTCAAGTGTTTCATTGTATGCACCACGAGAAGGTCGATAATATCTAGGTTTCCTTCTTCAGCTGCTAGTTCAACAGCTTCGCTCAAATTAAAACAAACTTCGAAGTTTTCTAGCAAGTAAGATGCAATATTTGTATAACCGCCTTGAATTGCATTATTGAGCGCGTACGGTGTGCACCCTTCAGATCGATTTTCTCTTAAGTACTTGATAATATCTAAATGATTGTTTTTAGCAGCTAAATCTACTACTTCTGGTGTACAACCCCCAGCATTATTGTTATGAAGAAATTTTATCGTTTCAAGATTACCTTCCGTAGCGCAGAGATTCCAGATCTCACTGCTAATTGACATTACCTTCTACGAAATTACAAAACACACTTTTTTCTAGCAGTAACCACGATTAGCTACTTAGATACGTTAAGGTAAGTTTCTATATTAAGAACAAAAACGCAAGATCTGCCTACAGCATTGTGCTTTCAACGAGTACAAATAAACGGAGTGAAGCTATTACACAAGAGCCACCAAGTTGAAGATAACCGATAGTTCAACGCTGACCTGCTAAGTTCTACTTTTAATCTTCCTAATCAAGTTTTAAAATGTAGCACATACAAATACATGCGTTTATAACTGTATAAAATTGCATTTAATGCATTCATAAATTAAATTTGTAGAAAAACAATTTGACCAGAAAAAAAGTTACCTAAAATGGACTTTGCTTACTTATGCCGTTGCTTTAGCTAGTATTGTAAAAAATATATAAACATATAAATTTTAATTGTATAAAAACTCAACTGAATAGTTGTTATAACAAAACATTACTTAGAGTAATAAAAATTCAGAAACCTGATAAAAATAATAAAGCAAACTAAAACTAAAAATAAAGATAAGCAGAAAATATTAAAAGAGCAATAATATTAACTATGAGAACAAGTAGAAAACAAATAAGAGTTAAGCAGAAAAGTCAACTACCAAAGGAACAAAGTTTTTAATTATTAAGAATATAAACAACCTAAAATCCGCCTATCAGGAGGATGGCTTGCTGTAAAGTCATCCGAAGAACAAAAGTGCTTGTGCCTGCCAAATTAGGTGCAAGGTATAGACCCTTAGGACCATTACATTAAATGTACGCGTTGAAATTATATTTTATAAACTAAAAACTATATAATTACTTACTATTTCCATGACAAATTTAACAGAACTCTACATGCTTAACCAAACCATCGTGTAATTCAGCGTTTTTAGCAGTACACCAAAGTTAAATGTGTTAGTAACGCTTAACCTTTGCATAATTTCTTTAGAAAAAGAGATCTTCGCTGTGCTGTATACCGAGCTTAAAGTGTTGTTTTTCAAGCTTCAAATGTATTTTTTAAATTTATATAGCAAAAGTTAATTATATAAAAGTTCATAAAAGCACTAGCGTATTAAGTCTCTAAAAAGCCTTAGTGTAATTAGTAGTAAACATTATATTTGCACGCTAAAAAATTATCTAATATCCTAGAGCGGATGACCTTGGAATCACAGCTTATAGCTAATAATTTCTAAAAGCTTAAGGGCCGCTGTAAATACTTAAAATAAAATTCTGTATATCCTTCAAATAAAAAAGAGTCAGTTACGTACGCCTTCATCGCGTAATGAGCTTTGGTCTCAGGAGCAGTTTTTATATTTCTTGGTAATACTAATTTTAAATATAACGAATGTGCCATAACGCACTGTAAAGATTACAATATTTTTATAAAGGTTTTAGAGTTGTCCAACAAGTGGGAAGTTTTATAGATAAAAAATATATAAATAGATAACAAGATTAAATCAACAGAAAGGTTAGACTAGTAAAGTCAAAGGACCAGGAATAACATTCACTGTAAGGAGTGTGAATGGAAACTTTGACCTATGCGAGCGTCTCATGAGAGCGCAAAAGGTTCCGACGGATCGTTACACATGCGGCCTTAAATTCTGGTCTAAGAAAATGTTTGGGAAATAATTTACACTGGAAAAGCTCTAGGGAGCTGGTTAAGGCTATTATCCTAATAGATTTTAGCTTTTGATCTAAAAAAAATTATTTAAAACCGAGGAGTTGAACTCTGCGAGAAAAATTATAGTTTAAAATTTTCAAGTTCGCTACTAGAACTGACCTTGGTTCTCCGCAGCTCATGGAGAGAATTGCCATCTACTGAAAAGATTTAGAGAACAGTGTACTTTCTTATTAACAAAAAATGAATTGTAGAAATTATGATCCAAGTAAATTCCTTTAAAAAAAAGAATAGCTATACATTACCGCCTTCTTAAATTGACAAAGTTGAATGTTACGTTAGGATAGCGGTAACACTCTTTTTGTTAAACGCAATTCGTTGTGAAGGCATCCCACTTTCAAAATAGGTGCAAAACATAGCGTTGAGTTCGTGGCCCAGACCCTTAACCATCTTGACCAACGTTGGCAGAAAAGTCATTAACATTGAGAGAAGTTGGTGATCACACGGAAAGACCAGACTTCTCGATACGCAAGTTAGTTTCGATAGTAGAAGCGTATTGCGATAAACTTCACGAATAACAAATTTAGGCAACTTCTCTTTAAAGGGGTAGGTAAATATTGATGCAGTGCTTCCTCATGCAAGAGTGCCGCGACTTGTCTTGTTTGAACCCCTTGGGAAGTGTCTTATTAAAAGTTTCACTCCGTAGCTTGTAACAGATTTATGAAGGTCAATTGAATTTTTATAAAATTACGTAGGAATTTTTACTATTGCGGATCGTAGCGAAGATGACATAGCGGAAGATACGTCCGCGTTGTTCGCGGCGGCTTGGACAGTGTCCGATCTGTCTGTATTTAAAAGAGCGTACTACCCTTCTGTAGTTTACACATATCTTACGCGCACACGATTGCGTAAGCTTTTACTTATGTATATATATAAAAAACTTTTTTCTTAGGGCAGTTAAATTTGGAAGCCAATCTCTATAAACTTTATCAAAAGCATTTTACTTATAACCGCTGTAACTTTAACATTTCCCCGCAACCCATTGCTTATTTACCTTGACCTTTAAATTTATTTTTGGGGGGTTTTTTCACAGAACGCTAGATTTCTCTTTGGTGACCTTGTTGAGATAAAAACTGCTCAGTGTTAAAGTGACAGCTAAAAAGTATTTTTACGCCAATACAACCAAGTTTTTCACTTTGTTATGAAAAAAAAAAAAAAGTCTTGTAGATACGGTAAATTTATAGACGCATAAGAATTGCACCGCTATTATTTATTTTTTAAAATAAGAAAATTAGCAAAATTTCCCACAAAATTGTGTTTGAAGCATACTAATAACACTAATTTTGCATAAAAATGAGGACGTATTAGAAGCCTTGAGGGATCTCAATATTCTCATCTCTCCATTCCAGAGGTTCTTCTATGTTATCAGAGAGTAAACTCAGCGAAGGAGACTTTCGTCTAAAATGATAAAAAGTAACTTTTTTTTAAATAATATAATTATTATAGGAGCACTTTACACTATATATATTTTTTAAAATAAAATTTACTAAATTGTAAATAAAGTTATTATAAAAAATTAGTTATTTTTAAATAACTTTATATTTACTAAGATTTATATTGTTCTAAAAGATATAACAAAAGATTCATCTCAGAGAAAATGAGTTGAACTAACTCAAAATCTTTTACAAAAGTTAAAGAGAAGCTTCTCTATATAAAGTTCTTATTATAAGTTATAGCGGATAAAAGCTAGTAAGCACCCAAAAAACGCAACGAAAAAATAATCTCTTTGATTCAGAAGGAAAGCATGCATCTAGCAATCTACCATTTATTCAATCCCGCCTTACATATTTACACTAAAAAAACTTGTTTTTCTTGGCTCGTTTTTAATATGCAAAGCTAAATTATACCGCTGGAAGACATAATTAGCACAGCGTGCACGCAAGGAGAAGAGTACACGTGTTTTATTATCAACATCGAGTATTCCCTCCAGTGTAGTTGTAAATTTACTGAATATAACAGCTTTAAACAAAAATATATTTTTTTGAAGTGGTATTGTGTGCACCGTTGGCTCTCTATCAACAATATTTTTTCTATTCTTTTATAGCTTTTATTAAGACTTTAGGTACAATAAATTGATAGTTAAACCAGTTTATCATATTAAAAATAAGAATCTACCATCTATTATTCTATTGGCTTACAAAAACGCTTTTACAAATTTGGGCCAATTAAAAAACTCTATATTTTACGTTCACAAAACTTTTTTTTAAATTCAATTTAAACTAAACTAAATAAAACTTTTTTTCTTGACAATATTAATGAAGTTTATATCAAAAATTAAAAAAAATGGTAGTTTTGAAGGTAAACTAACAATAATAAATAGCATTTAAAATAACAAATATATATATAATTTTTGAAAACTATATAATAATAAAATTCTAAAATTCTATGGAAACGTGTATAAATTTACTCTATATAAATTTTTTGTTAATTATAATGGAAGAATTCATAACATTTCTATAAAAGTTTCATTGTTATTAATACTTCCTTTTTCATAACTTTAGAATTTCTTAACTATTTTATAAGAGGCTTAAAAAATGATGCTGAGTTCAACTAAATATAAAAAATTAAATAATAATAATTATTATCTCAACAACTTTCTTAACTTAAAGTTAAATTTCCATCGTTTCCAAAGAAAAAAAATGAAAACATTTTATAGACAATAAAATTTACTCAAAATTTAAAGGTTATTATATATGAAATACAAACTAATTTTTTATTTTAATCATATAATAAATATTAATAATAATATAAGAATGTGAATAAGATAAATAAAATGAAAATATATACAATAGTACAAACAAAAAAATATAAAAAAAATAGTAATTTTTTTAAAATTTTAATTATAAGAGCTTTTTTTTCAAAAGAAATTAAATAATACGACTATTAATATAAAATGAAAATTTTTTTATATTAGAATAATTCATCAAAATATCTTAATAAATTAAATAAAACAGCACAAAACTGTATTTTATTTAAATTTATTAAAAAAATAAAAAATAAAATATTGAAATTAAAAATTATTACAATTATCCTTTAAAAAAGTATTTTTACAAAAAAAATCTAAAATAAAAATTTTTATTTAGTTATAACCCAAAAATATTTTTAAAAATTAAAAAAATTAATCTAAACTAAAAAAAATTTATAAGTAGGATAAAGAAGTACAGTAAACTTTACTAAAAAAGATTTATAAAGTTTATTATAAAAGAAAGGTTAACAAGTAAAAAAAAGTACTAACTTCATTATGTAAAATCTGTTATATAAAATCAATTTATATTTTTTAAAAAAAAATCCAATCTATACAAATTATTACGATACTAAGGGGAAAACTTCCAAAGCAGCGTCCAAATGTTTAACCGCTTTTGCAAAGAAAGTTCGGTGGCCTTCAATAAATTTCTGAATGGACTGCACTTGCCGAGTCTATGACGAAAATTACTTTTTTGATTTAAGAAATTTAATAAAAGAAAATTATAAAAAAAAACTTAAATAAATATTTTATTAAAACTATCTCTTTTTATACTGCTTTTTTATACGTGATCAAAGTAAATTTTTTTTTAAAAAAAATTTAATTCACAATTTTGAGTTTTCATGTATAAAACAGTTTAATTTTAAATTAAATTTTTATAATTTTATGTAACGTGTTATGCCATTCAAAAAATTAAACTTAAACTAATGCTCCAATATTTTTATAAAAGTACGAAATTTTATTAATACGAACATAAAATTTCAAACTTAACGGATAATTAAACATAACTATTGCATAAATTAATCGTATTCCTCAATTAGTAATAAAATTTAGAGGAAAAAACAGTAAATTGAAAATTTTCTTATATAATTTGAAAAATAAATAGAAAGTTAAATTAAGGCATTAATAAAAAATTATACGATCTGCACTAATAAATCTGTTTTGAATTTTTTTTAGTAAATAAATTGATTTTAAATTAATTGCTTTATTTACGCCTAACCGAAACAGATTCTAATTCCGCCAAGACTTCTTCAACTTCCTCCACTTTTCGATCGTAATCGTATTGAGCTGATTTTAGTAAATTTTCAGCCCTCTATATAAAAAAATAGTTAAAAAGGTACACTAACAATTATTAACCGAAATCAAGTTCATAAATTAAAATTTTTTTTAACAATTAAATTTTAGTTAAAGGATGAAATTTAAGTAAAGTTACTTAAAAAGTATTAAACCTTTTAAACAAAATATTATAACAAAAAAAAAATAAAAAACAATACAAGAATTAATACCAGGAGTTAAAAAAATACATAAACTTTGCAAGATCTACAATTTATTAAAAAATATTATTAAGATTTGGCACAGCTAAATTATAATAATAAAATATAATAATTATAAATTTTTAAATATGAAAAATAATAAAAGTCCTAAAAAAGATTTGTTTTCCATTTTTTATTATAATTATAACTTTGAGAAATAAATTATACACTTCCTTAAACTTTAACTTCAGTAATCAACTTATTATATATATTATTATATAAATTAAAAGAAATTTCTGTAATAAATCTAAACGAGAAATAATATTTTCAAATCAAAAAAAAATTAACAGAAGTCGTCTCATAATTGCCATTTGACTTTCGGACTTTAGATTTTGCTGCGTCTAAATCTAAGCGTTTCATCCCCAATTCTCGATATACAGCCTTTGAAAAATAAATAAGTATACTTTTTTGAGAAATTATAACTTTTATATAAAAAATAATCTAACTTAGCCGCTTCGTTGTATAATTATTGATAAGCATAAAAGTTAAAAATAATTTAAAATAATAAAAAAAGATTCTATAATGAATATAGTCAAACTTAATAATATGATTAATGATGGTGGAGATTTAACTTTTTCAAGTCAAAAATATATATATACGGAATACAGAAATTAATTTCGTTAACTCCTATATGAAATAAAAAGCTACAAATTTCTAAGTACAATTACTTAATCTAAGAAACAAAGGTGCACAAATTATTAAAAAAAAAAATTACTTGTGCTTTCTTAACGGGATTTTCTAAAAAAAATTTGAGCTCAGCAATGTATTGTTCACTGTTTTCGCTAAATTCTAGCCAATCAGTACCGACACTAGAATATGCATTGCTGGCTATTTTGTGGGCAACAAATCCTGGATTGTTAGAAAGTTCTAATAAAAAGATTTAATTTATTATTTAGTATTGTTAATAAATAATAATTTGAAAAACCCGAAGCAACTGTAGGGAAGTTAAGAAGCCCCAACTTTGAAGCTTGAAGAAATGCCCTTGAGAGTAAGTGAAAAGGAGTTGAATATTCGCTATCGTCTAACTGCTGCTCAAGGGAAGTTCTTATAGAATTCGTTACTGAAACAGTAAAAAATGATTGTCAGAAAGAGCTGGCGTTTTTTTTTACAACAATATGTAACGCACAACTTGAAGGATCTATTAGGTATTCCACTCGCAGTTTTAGAGTTTTTAAAGAATCTTTAACCTCTTCAAGTCTCTAAATAATATACTTAAAGATTTAAAAAATTTTATCTTATCTTAATTATTTTGCCTGCATCGTACTCTCTAAACCGGGTGGCAGTTCTGTTTTAGGAGCCGACTCATCTAACTTTTCCTCAACCAACTATACATAACTTGAATATATAAAATGAAGACATCAATACCTTTTTATCAAACCTGAATAACTCTATTGAAATAAAGACTGGCAGTAGACCAACCCGACTCACGGCTATTAAAATTCATAATGTAGAAAAACAGCTTTACCGGCACGAAGAATTGTTGTTATCAATCTATTAGTTCTCATTTAGACCAATTGGAGGAAGCGGTGGTTATTAGCCCTTAAAAAATGATTTTAATTTTAAATTTCATATCTAAAGAAATAATTCAAAGTTATATAATAACTTGAATAAGATATCTTTTCTCCTTAGTACCAGAAATTGTATTAAGACTTTTTACCACTTTACGCTAACAATACTATTATTATTAAACTTGTAATATTATTATAAGTTGGGCAACCTTAGGAGGGTAGCGTTTTATGCCTGTTTATAATAACGCGAAAACAAGATCCCACATCAACACCTCGTTAGCTTAAGTAAACATATTTAAAGCCATGGCGCACAAGGAAATGAGATTAAAGCTAGTACAAAAGCCATAGTTTTTTACTTCAGTTGTTAAATAAGTTTAAAATCACTTAACTATAGCGAAAAAGATCTAAAGTTATTCTCCCTTCTTTAACTATATACCTCGACGACTTCCTGGGTTACACAAGGGTTGGTTGCAAATACAGAATTTTATATCGTACAAGACTTGTAAAATCCCGTTTTTTAATAATGATAAGACCTGAAATTTAAATTTCGTAAATTCGTCTTTAAATAAATTTAGTAGTATATATAAATTATTAACACTTTTGAGAAAATATTTGCGTGAACTAGCAGCTTCTTATATGAAAATGACCTATTTCTGGACTAAATGCACATATATTATTAGGGTATCGGCATTTCAAATTATTTATTAATTCAACAGGGTTCTAGTTAAAATGTAGAAATGTACTGCAAACCTCACTTAGTCTAGATTTTGTTTTGCTAAAAGGTTTTAACTAGTATATACCACATTAACTAAGCGCAGATTAGATGTATTAATCAAATTTTATGAAGTTAGCGTTAAAGTTTTAGGTTTTTTAGAATTTGCATACCTTAAGATTATTACTTCAAAGTTGTTGGTATTACTGATATACTTTACTTTAAAACAGTCTCTGCCTGCTAAACAGCCAGGATGCAATTGATAGCTCCCCTCACACGCGGGTTGCCATTTACGCCGATGATATGTTGATTTATTCCTCGTCGAAGTCACCCGTTTTACTATGCTAGCACATAAAATTTTATCTCGACGAGCTTGCTAGCTGGTGTGGTCAATGGGACCTTCTCATTCACGCAGTAAAGGGTAAAGCGCTTCTTATAGCTGAGAAATGCCACCCGCTGCCGACTCCGATAACTTTGAACGGCATGGACAATCCGTGGCGTTCTCAGGTGAAATACCTGGGAATCATTATAGATTGTAAGTTGTCGTGGCTTCCACCCGAAAATTACGTGGCGGAGAAGGTCAAGGCAACGACCCAGCTGCTATATCCTATATTACGCAACAAAACGTTGCGTAATAAGCAAATGCGTCATTTTATTGTGCACTCGACAAATTAAGACATATGCATCTCCTGCCTGGTCTTACAACTTGTCGGCAATCGCGTCAAGTGCGACAAAGAAAACTGCTGCACATTTTAATAAAGCGCCGTGATTTGTGGCGATAATACACTTCACTACGAACTACAGATCGAGCTGCTGCCGCACTCTTTAAAAAGATGTCGTCGCCTTGTTCGAACGGATAGCTGGACACGCTAACCGCCTATCAGCGGGAGAACTCACGAGTTGGGGGGCGGTGCACTCTCAGCGTGATGACGGTTGAAAGCTGGGTGGGATTTAAATTGAATGTGAAGGTATGCGAAGATTATAGTTTCACTTGCTCTCGTGGACGGCTAAAAAACCTGTTTGAGAGCTCGTCTTCGAACTTGTTAATTCGATCGAGCCCCAGGAAACGCCTTTAGTAAATTAATAAAAATTTAATTAAAATAGTTGTACATATACTGAGAAAGCAGCAAAAGTAATGCTTAGTTTTGCAGTAAATTGTTAATACTATAAATAAATAAGTCAAAGAATATTTGGGAAAGGCTTATAAAGATTTTCAAGATTTTCTGGTAAATAAAATAACACGGATTTGATGGTGAGGGATATAAAAAAACAAGATGCATATAAAAAGTAATTGAAAGGAAGACAACAACACATTCGTAAGTCATGTACTTCAATTAACTCTTTCTTAAAACACTACAAGAGATGATTATAAAGATTGCTGATTCTATTAATAATTCATAGGTCGTATCACTGTACTAAACAATAAAAATCTATTGTGTAAAGTATTATTTTTGCAATAAAATAAAGATTAAACATAATACATTAACAAAGATAGTTAATAATATAATGAAAATCTCCAAAGCAATTCATTTTTCTTGTCGACCAAATCTCATTACAACCGAAAAACCTTTTTAAAAATAAGCTTTCTTAAGTTAATATTATTTTATCCAACCAAAGTCACTAAAAATTCTAAGTTATATATGTTTTTACTAAGTTAATATAAACTCTAAAATATCTGAAACTCAACGAATTTTAAATTTATTATAATTGTCTTTATAAACTCTGAGTGCTAATATGCCTCTGAGTGAAAGCACTATGGCTTTATGAGCAAGAAACAACACAATACCCGAGTAAATGACGCTGCTTAAGGCTTTTAGCGGGTGTGTGGACTTACAGTCTCGCCTTGTTTTTGGCACATGTTTATAATGCACTTCGCAAGAGATTCTTCATCAGCTTTAGTTTTTTTAGTTTGAGATGAAACAGCGTTTTTAGTTGGCAATGGTTCAAACTTTTATATTGTTTGAATCTCCTTCAGGTTATGCTTTATTTGAAGCTAAGGGAGTGGAAGGTATTGCTCTCAATTCGGAATCTATACAGCAAAGTATAAAAAAGTTTGATAATTTTGGGAAGATTGTTAAACTCATCGCTTTTTCACCCTTTAAGAGCGCTCGAGATGCGTTGGAAAATGTTAATTGTATTTCCGAAGGTTTTTCCTCACTAACCATTTTTATTATTAGTTAGTGTCTCACGAGTTTTTTATTTATTAGTTATGCTCGCTCAAGAAACGTTTTTTAATTTTTTTTCATTGAGATAGTTGTAATTCTTGTTCCTTATTATAAAGGGATAGTTTCTGAAACCTTGAAAAACTTCTTAGAGACCTACTTTCCTAAATCTAAATTTGGAAAGAAGGTATACTTAATTATTTATAACTTGTTACTATTTTTACTTTTTACAATAATCTATTAGGCAAGTACTCTTCTTGGTGTCGCTCACTCTTCTTTTTGCGCGCAAGTTAAAGATGCGACGGGTATCTTTTGCGAGGTCGAGTTTTTTGTGAATTATTTGTTATGAATTCTAATTTTTGCATTCTTAACAAGTCCTCCGACGTTCATACTGAACTTATTCGAGGAATACGGCAACACTTTTCAAAATTTGTTAAATCCCATCGGGAAGGAGATTTAGAGAAGGCCCAGCTAGGCCTCGGTCACAGTTACTCAAGGGCCAAAGTTAAATTCAACGTCCACAGAATTGATAATATGGTTTTTACTATTTATGTTTGTATTTTTATTTATAACCTTACACGTTTGGAAGGTTATCCAAGCCATTTCTCTCTTGGATCAGTTAGATAAAGATTTAAATAAGTTTGCTATGCGGGCAAAGTATGTTACTTTTGGTTTACTTCCAGGTCGTTGCAACTTTTATTTACTGTAAAGTTTTATAGGGAATGGTACGGCTACCACTTTCCCGAACTTGCTCGCTATTGCGAAGACAACCACACTTACGCCCTTTGCGCTCGAGCCGTCGGTAACCGCAGCCACGCCAGCGACGACTCCGACGTACTTGAAAAGTTGGAGGAGATTCTCCACGATTCCGATAAGGCCCTCCAGATCCTCCGCGCCTCGAAGATGTCTATGGGTTACGGTCGGTGCTTGCCTACTCCCGTGTCCATTGGCCTTTTTGATCTCTCCGCTGCTTAAAGATATTTCTGATTTCGACTATATTCACATACAAATGTTCCTGGAAAGAGTTGCCCGTCTCAGCGAATACAGAGGAGAGCTTCACGTTTATTTGCGCGAGAAAATGAACACGGTGGCCCCCAACTTGTCAGGTTTCTTCTCCGTTTATAATAGGCCGCTCTGGAGTTTCGATGCTCACATTCTTTTAAGAGCTTATTGGCGAAATTGTGGGAGCGCGGCTGATTGCGCAGGCGGGCAGCCTCACCAACCTGTCGAAATGTCCCGCCTCCACCGTGCAGATCCTCGGCGCTGAGAAAGCCTTGTTCAGGTTCGAGCCCTGCTCTATTGGCTGACTGTGCCCCTCTGGCTGACAGGCTCGCTGTGCAGGGCTTTGAAGACACGCGGAAAGACCCCCAAGTACGGGCTCCTGTACCACTCGTCGTTCATTGGAAGGGCAACGCAGAAGAACAAAGGCCGGATATCGCGGTATCTCGCCAATAAGTGCGCCCACGCATCGCGGATCGACTGCTTTATGGAAGAGCCAACCAACGCGTTTGGGAAGGCGCTGCACTCTCAAGTAGAAGAGCGGCTCCACTTCTACCAGACAGGTCGGGACGGGATGCAGTCTTTTTAAACGGGTCTCTCCATCAACCCTTTTGTTTAGGAGCGACCCCGAAGAAGAACATTGAAGTTATGCGAAGCGTTATATCTGAGCTGAACAGAGCCGCCAGCAGCAAAGACGAGGGAGAAGAAAGGGTCAAGAAGTCGAAGAAAAAGAAAAAGAAAGATAAAAAGAGCAGCAAAACAAACAAACTGAAAAGGAAGCTGGAAGATACGGAAGACGATACGGCTATTAAGTCTAAAAAGAAGCTAAAGACCCTTCCCACGCCTGAGAAGGTCTCCAAGAAAAAAAAGGACAAGAAGAGCTAAACGATAATAAAAAGCACATTTTCCCAGAAGTTTTATCAGAAGAGCTGAGATGGTGAGCTACACACGAGGAGAGCAGACGAAGCGCCTGCTGACCTGTCCCATCACGACGCACTGGCCATGGGTCGCATCGATGGCCACAAGATTCTCCAGAAAACCGAACTCCGTCGCGGACTTGACCTGCACAAGTTTGGCATTAGCTCTCCGCGGGAAGCATGAGGGTATTGGGACGGGATACCTCGTAAGAGATATCCCCAAGCCACAAGGTCAGTCGGCCGGACTTGTGCACCTGCAACTTCCCGAGGGCACCATCCTCCAATCCGCCTTCCGGCGCGCTTATAGTTACGCTAAGCCAACAAAGAGAAGGTGTAGTAACCATCGTCCGGAGCAACGGGCTTGTCCGCGCGGTGGGCCCCTTTTAGAGGGAGTTGGGCAGGAAGTTGGAAAAAAAGTAACACATTTTTAGCCTATGGAAGAAATGTTTATAAGTTAATTCACAATTTCCTTTAAATTTGAGAATATTTAGAGTAATCATAGATAAGCACTGTCGTGAAAAAAGAGATCCAGTCTTCTCCAGAGCTCGTATAAGTTTGTTGAACTTCATAATCTTGTAGATCGTAGTCCTCCTTGTTTTCGCTAACTTTGTTTTCTAATAACAAATCGACTATAAGAAGCTAAAGGGAATTGAATTTATAAGATAGTAGAATTATATAAATTTTAGAAAAAAGAAAAATTGGGAATTTACGCGAATTAGAGACAAAATTAATTAAAGCAAGGAAGATGACAGCGAAATACCTTATTATATTTTTGGTAAAGTTGTTTAGCAAGCAGAAATAAATTAATATTATGAAAGTAAAAGTAATAAGTTTTTAAAAAAAAATAGTAAAATAAAGGCTCATACTTATTAAGAATATTTAAAATATTTTAGTAAAGTGGATCGATATGCAACATAATCTCAAGTTAAGAAGTATAAAGTTTCTTTATATCGAAAAATCGAAACTTCTACTACTAAAAAGTTTAAAAAATAAGTTAACGGTGACTAGTATAATAACGGAGTTACCAAAGGATAAGTTAACTTCTTGAGGAATAAATATAAAATAGTAACTAAATAAGGGAATGTTTCTAGCGTGTAAAATTTTAACTTATAACACTTTGATATAATTAATTATAGAAAATTCAAGTGTATAGTAGTCTATTAGAAGAAAAAGAGAGACCAATCTCTATTTTCGCATTAATCAACTCAATCTTTTCCTTTTTTTTCGAAGCTACTTTAAATAATAATAATAGCAAGTATAATTAAAATAATTCTTAATGAAAAAATTTAAAAACCTTTATACATTCTACTGCGGGAGTTAAAGGGTAGTGTTATGGGGATTTCTTTGCTATTCTTATATCAAAGGTAAATTAAGAGCCTAAGCGCACTGAAAAATTCTTACAGAAGAGTTGAAATCTGCGAAACCTGTGTCTGCTCCATCTTGTTCAACGCCTTCTTTGGTTATTCTGTCTATATATCAATATTAAACAATGAATTTTTACGTAATAAATTTTATATTTAAAGCATTATTAGCTTTGCAGAGGTAAAGCGGATAGAGAGGACACCACCTTCCGATCCAAACTATACGATTTACCAGTGGAACTACAAGCCCCTTTTCGTATATATTATTCCAAAAAAAAGGATATAGAGAAAGTAAATAAATTATGTCAACTTTCTTTTGAATTCCAAACGTCAGTAGCGGAAAAAAGACCAACACTTTCTTTCAGAGGCTCTTTTTTTATACCTTTTAATTTTATATTTTCTTTTATAGTTCTTTTGGAATTGTTAACTTCAGAAACTGGTGAATCTATAGTCACGCATCTACATAGTAAAAATATAATAAAGACATAGAAATAGATAAAGAAGGAATCTAAACACATGCCCTTTTATGCGTGTGGTAGGAATGGTAGGTGTGAATCTTCGGATCTGTACCGCAAATATTAATAAATATATAAAGATGGAATGTACTACGGTTGCCTTATTTTCCGCCCCTACTGTGATGGGGACTACGAGTTTCTTTCTTGGTAACGATTGAGAGGAAGGAAGTATCGTGCCGATCTTCTTAGGTTGAGTTTGGGGTAAGGCATTCGGTGTAGTAAATTTTTGCGTATTAAGAGTTCTAGTAACATTATCAAAGTCATCTGAAGCTTTATTTTTCTTGTATTCTTTAGATTCCATATCGTAATAGAAAATAGTTCATACATACAAACATTACGAGCTTTAGTGGCTGAAACCTTTAGCTGTTATTGTAAGCTTATCACTGGCCTACACTCCTGTCCATATTTTCAATGTTAGTGCAGCTGGGCGTTTATTAGCAAACTACAAACGCACCAGTACAGTGAAAGACGATACAGATATTGTCGCTCTTCTACTCAATATAAAGAAAACGCCTGATATTTATATAGTGTAACTGCTCCTATTATCGTTTTAAACGTTTAGTGAACTACCAAAACTTCGCGGTTGCTATTGCACTTGAATAGTTAATTTGTCAATAAAAAGGTTCTCTACAACACCGCTTTTTGAATTATAGGTAATGTTGGTTCTCTGATTAATATTGCTACTCTTAGCTTATGTTAAATTAATGGAGCGAATTTTTAAATACCAAAGGAAAGCTTAGTGTTTTGAAATATATTTAAAAATAGTTACCATAAGCCTAGGATGTCTCAAAAAAATTAGTGGTAACAGGAAACATTTATGTAAACCCATAAGTACACAGTCATTAATTGCTAACATGCCTTGTATGGAGTAAAATGGTGCATTCACTCTGCTAAATTCCGTTATATAAATTTAACTCTGTAAGTCAAAGGAATATGTTTTGCTCTGAAAAATATAATTAGCAATATGTATTTAGTTTACCAATATTAGGGGAAACAGGGTAATGTTTCAGTAACTTTTGGAAACGGAGGATTGTAATTTTTTGCAGTGATACTTTGCAAACATAGGGATGAGCTTTTTTTTTGGTTGCACATTTTAAACGTTAATATTAAGACTCAAGCTATTTTACAAGGCTACTGCGTGGGGATGCGGTCATTTCACAATACCTTTTCAAAAATATATCATTTTTTTTTAATAAATAACCATTAAAGAAGTTTAAATCTCATAGACGCAAATATTGACTAAAAAGTTTTTATACCAGTAGTAAAAAGCAGTGCTAGTATCTTTAACTTTTCATTTCGTTACCAGACACTTAAATGAGACTGTCCCCTTTTATTAGTTTATTTTAACCTTTGCAATATAAGGTATTCAGATGTATATAATATAAATTACTTATGTTAAAGCACATATAGAATACTATACTTTAAGGCTTTTCAATTTCGTATGTACGTTTACAGCGTCAAATATGGATTAAAAAAAATTAAATCCCCTTTCTAAAGAAACCACAAAACCTATGTTTAACAATTTTTTAAGTCCTTACTCTGATATACACCTGTTAATATGCCTTTAAATTGTGTATTTGAATTTTACCATTATTAATTACCTTACGTGCTTAACATACTTGCTAGCATTTTCTATCTCAGAAGTTGTTAATTTCACGGGCTTTTTTTTTCTATCTTTACCAAACATACAGCCCCAAAAGTCCTTAATAACCTTATTTATATAAAAATAATAAAAAAGTTTTTTACAAAATATTTAAGCGCAGAAAACCAGAAGTTGGTAAGTTTGCATCAAATGCGAATAGAAGAAAAAAATATAAAGTACTCTAAACCCTAAGCTATTTTATCAGAACTTTTGTTGACAGGTAAGTTGTACACGCAACCATCAGTCCAGAGGATGTGAGTTGTCACCAATGAAAATCAAACTCGCGACCTTGAGATTGCGCGACAATGTTCTCACCACTGAGCTACGGTGACTGCCGCATATTCGGTCGATAAATTACGTATACACCTTTTGTTGTATTCAGATAATCTTTATATTGAAACCCATGTAAGCTATAAGTAAAAAATCACATGTACCTGAAAGAAAGCTTTGACTTGCTCGCGAATTGGGCCTTACAGCAACTTATTGGACTTATTAAGATAATTAAAAATATTATAGCTGAATAAAAAAGTTTTTATGTTGTACAAATGCCGTACTCGTAACCTAAAGAAGCGCAGTTATAATTAAGTGGGCTGAAATGTAAAGTGAGTTAAACGCGTAAAAATTCGATTAGAAACTTAGCTACCTACACTGGTTAACTTGGAGTGCCTAAAAAAAATTGTCACTAAATTTTTTACTATATTGCTGACTTGAAATTAACAACTAAACATTATGTTCATTTTCTTTCTAAAAAAATTCAAGTAAGTTTGTAGATTATAATAAAAACCTAATTAGTTATACGCACAAAATGCTAGTTCTGACGCCGATAAATAGCATTATTTTATGTTATTATTTATTGGATTTAAGTTGACAAAAGAATCTAGGTCCTGTAAGTTATATAATAAATTTTGAAGCACCTGTTAAAGTTTTAAAAACACTGTTACCCTTTTTATATAATAATAAAAATTAAAATAGCCTCGTCCTCAGGTAGTGTAAAATCAGTTGCTATTCTATCATCGTAAAGGGGATTGAGGTCCAATTCTTCTAAAGTACTAAAGGTGCCACCAAAAAAGTCTATGTGATAAACCAGTTAGGCGGAAAAGTACTAGAACGAAAAAGTTATAAACTTTAATAGTAAACAGTTTCCAGATATACTGTAACATATATGGTACTTCACCTTTGTCGAGGGCTAAAACTTTATTGGCAGGGTCATGACCATCGCTACAAAAATTAGAGTTGACTGGAATAGAATTATGGTCGACTTTATTATTTATTAGTTCCACTTTCGGAAGGCAACTTTTAATCTATAAAAAATGAGAATTTTAAAAAAATTAAAAATTGTTTGGAAAGTCTAATGTAATACTCCCTCCTCAGGACTGAGAGAATTTATTTTGTTCTTTAGCCAAAGGTCATTATTCAGCTTAGTAAAATTTTTCTGAGGTTTTAATATTTTCTTAGTTTTGCAGTTATTAGTTTCCTGATGTTTTAATTTTGTGTGAGTGGCAAGAGAGGACCGGGTGGCATACTTACGTCCACATCTATAAAATACTTAGCAGTTGTATAATTTGGAAGCAAAATTGGTACCCTGCGACCGGGCATTTTACCGATCGTTCAATTTCCTTAAATGTGCGTCTATGGCGGATACGTTTTCCTTCGTTGTTAAACTGGTTTTCTTGAAAAAATGACATCTACATTTTACAGTTATAAAAATAATTGGTAATAAAAAGCTGAGCATTTTTCTTTCCAGGAAGCCATTAAATTGATGAAAGGCTCACCTGCAAGCCTAAGGTACGCTCTGAAAGCTTATCTTTGTATATGAGTTTCTGAACTTTAGTAAACATGGAGTATTTATTTTTTGGTGGTGTTTGTGGTTGAGCTACGTGGAAAACTGGTAACTTTCCATGAAACTGTTATAAACATTTTAGTTAACAATTTGATATTGGTTACATTGGCGGATTGTACCTGAGATGGGTTATTATCAGAATTTTCACCTTTTTCGTAATTAAATTTATTGGGCCTAATGCATCCTATTTTAACAAGATAAATAACTAAAGCTATCCCAATTTAGATTTATTACTACAATAATTACCAGGAGTAGGGATGGTAGGAGTTAATAAAGGAACATTTAAATCAGAGAATATGTCATTGTTAAAGTTGATGTTGTACAATGAAGTAGGGTCGCCCGCAGCAAGTGAGTCAAGAATATTGTTACCCATATTACTATTGACATAGCCATTGCTATTAAAATTTAAACCATCGCAGGCGATTTTTTGGGGTGGCTGAAGAAAATTATTAATATTTCTTTCTGTCATAATAGGTTCGGCGAAATATTTATGTGGTAAATTTGATGATGCGATTTCTAAATTTTTATCAGTGCCATTTAAAATAGTATTGATCCCGAACCCTAATATAATTTTATTTTAAAAATATGTTATGGGCGGGTATCCCGAATTTATATATAATACTAAGTTTTAAGTATTATTGTTGTATATATATATATATCTATGATCCATGAATATAAAAATTACCGTTTGGTGATTTAAAATATTGTTGATTCCATTGCTGCGTATATAAGGTTATTACAGTATACTAAGGCTCATAATACGCCATTAAATTAAATAACCTGCCACGGATGAGATGGTAGTAATTTCGGTGTCGAATTTTGAAACAGCATATCGACTATTGTAAGTAATGATAGAATTTTGGAGAGCTGAGAGACTCCGAAGGTTAAATAAAGCATAAAATTTTTAGGCTGTCAGCCTCTATTTATAATTCATGTTCCAGCAGCCCAAAATGGGTGCTCCAAATTTGTAAATTTTATTTGGAAATCATAAAGTATAACCGATAAAGTCATAGGTCGCCGCTATTCATCAAAAAGATGGTTGGCTGTCATAGAATTAACAGAGCTTCCTGTCTCAATCCATAATTTTTCATTTCTAGGTTGTTATTGCGTAATCTCGTGGTTAGAGATCAAACTCATAACTTATAAACCCTCATGAGGGTTTTCTTCAATTTTGTTGCTTATACTTCTTTTTAGCTTTGCACGTTGTCCCAGTCTTTGGGAAAGACCTTGCTGCTTTAAGAGACTTTTTTATAAGGAATTTATTAAACTATACACAAATTTTATTAGAAGCTGGCTATTAGTCTTCTTTCTCCTTGGCTATGCGAATCTAAGCTTCTAAGCTTTATTAATTAAAAATTAGTTATAGTTAAATTCATAATTTAAATGAGAACGTGGAAGATGATCGAACTAAGTATGAATTGTATGCATACATTAAGGGAAGGATTTAAAGTAATAATTATAAAACTTATTTATTTTATCTTATAAATTTTGATAGCTTTGACATGCTATAATGATTACACTAAAAACAAATTTAAGTAGGCTTTAGCTGGTTAGGTCGTAAGTAATCAAAAGAAAGAATTAATTTACTGCTCTTCTTGTATAAGTTGCAGTGCGTTTAATATTTTTAATAAAGAACTTTATATAGCTACATTTATGTTCCTTATCCTTATGAAAGGTTAGAATTTAAACTAGAAAAAATTAAATGCACTTGTAACTTGCTTACAGTAATATACCATTTATTAAGTTACTTTGTCCAGAGTAAGAATTTGTTAACCGCTAAACATCCTACTCTGAGGGTACACCCCGTGCGAGCAAACACCTATGCGTGGTAAAAGCTTTAAAATTAATAATAAAACAAATATTGAAAGTTTTTAAGTAGAATACAATGTTATAAGCTGATATTGTAGGAGTAATTTTTTTTTTTACTAACGATATTTTCTGGTGCTCGATCTGGTCGTAAAAGGAATTAACGAGCTCTCAACGGGTTCGTATTGCACACTTTAGTTTTAAGCTGTGTTTAAGCAATCTCATATATATATATGTATTAAAAATACTTCTACCCCCCCTAACCCGTATTATGTATTTGGAGTCCACTGCGCGGTCGGCGATAGCGTGCGTAGACTTAGATTCTGTAGTTGACCTCATCTGTCAGTAATCGATTAATGTGCCGACTGAGCCGAACGTGGCGATAACGTTGCGTCGGAAAACGTTACCCAGAGGTTCAATCCGGAGATCTTTATGTAAGACGACATTACGAACAAACCACGGCGCGCCTGTCATAAAGCGTAGAAGCTTGTTTAGTCTCATTTGAAGCGAAGAGACTATTGCCGATGAGTCGTAGGACCAGGCAGTAGACGCGTATGTCATGATCGGTCAGATGCACAACAAACACAAGCGTTCGTTTGACATGCAGCGAGAGTTTGCTTCGAGCACAAAGTAAAGGGTAAAAAGTTTGGAACACCGCCTTGGTCTTCGCAACGAGATGGTTTGCGTGCGCTTGCCACGAGAGCTTACTATGATTAATGGTCCCCAGGTACCTCGCCCCTGAGGATACCAAGGAATTACCTTATTTTCAAGGTTAGCGGCGGTAGTGGTGTAGTGCGCTTTTTTGTGATAAGAAGGGCTTTGTTCGGGCTTCGTTCTTTTCCGCATTGATAGTGTAAGTTTTCAGCAACGACATCAGTTTGGAAAGCGTCACTAGATAATACTACAGATGTTGGCGCAGTAGAACAGGTGACTTTGACGAGGAGTAAACCGCTGTGTCATCTGCATATAACCCGACCTGCGATTGGGAGTCGTCAGACTTTGGCAGGTCGCGTAGATAAAATGCAAAGAATAAGGGTGAAGAAAGAGATCTCTGTGGGACTCCGGCTGTTAGTAGTCTTAGGGATGAGGGCGCTTCGCCCACCCGTATATCAAAAACGCGCCCTCAAGATAAGATTTTGATCACGTTAAGGAAGATGGTAGGAAGGGCTAGCGCGCGTAATTTGTAAAGCAAACCCTTGTGCCAAACTCGGTCAACCGCTTTTCGACATCAAGGAAGACGGCGCCCACTGCCTTCTTTATATTGAAGGCACGGGTCATCTACTCTGTCAAGCGGAGGAATTGAGCAGTGGGATGTCCTTCTCGAAATCCAAAATGGAAATTTGGCAGAGCGTAGCTTGAGTCAACAAATGCTTTCAAGCGGCGCAGTATGGCCGCCTCAGCTACTTTGCCAATGGCTGACAAGAAACTGATAGGCCGTATTTGCTGGACGTAGATGCTGGTCGTGGTGCCTTCGGGAGCATCACGACATTGCCGTCTTCCAGCACAATAGGAAGTGCCAAGAGTCATCGTCGGGTAGTTGCTAGGGCAGCGTAGGCGTTCTACAGCCATTATTGGTAATTGCTTTAACATTACGTAGGTGATACCGATGGGGCCAGTCGCCTTTTGTCTTGGTAAAGCGTTAATATCCTCTCCGATTCGACTATGATGAACAGCTCAAACCGTTCCTCGGCATCGGCAAGGCGGTGTGAATCATAAAGCACTCTTCCAGCAACTATATAAGCAGGTGGCAAACACTGAGCAGCGAAGTGATCAACAATAAGTGTGGCTTTCTCAGCATCATTTTCCGCCACAGTATTGCCGTCTCGCATAGTAGGTAATGGTAAACGCGCTTGGTTTTCGTATTTCCTTATGAACTTCCAGTAAGAGACGCGACCGTTACGGTTATTATCCGATGTATTACTTAACTCTGTCTTCCACAGTCGATTATAGTGCGCCAACAGCTTTTTTCTAATGCGCTGGTGCAATTTATTAAGCGCTAATTTTATCTTCGGGGCGTTGCGATACCGAGGCCACTCGAATAAGGTGTCGCCGCGTGCGGACAAGGGCCTTCAATTTATCAGGCAAGCGGTTAGGGCAGAACTCAACTTCTCGTGTTCTCGTGTCGGTGTGGTTCGCCATGGTCAAAGCGCCCTCGAATTCAGCAAGGCGGAAAATGTTTAAAAGGTTATATCAAGAGCCTCAGAAAATTCAACCTGTCCGTGAAAGTTCTAATATATATCAAGTAACTTCTTTTCGTTGTTCAAATCAAGCAGAATGAAAAGAGGTCCGACTAGAGTTCGTAAAGAGCTTCAGTTGCCGTTGAAATATAAATATTTTTTAAAACGGCGATATTTAATACATCTGTTATCCCTGTAGCTTAAATAATAGGACCCATGTATTTAAAACGCGCAAAACTATTTAGCTCGCTAAATTCTGTAAGCGCAATGGTAAATTCCTTCTCTGCTAACAAAATTAGCTACCTTGGTAAAATGTTAACTAGCCCGTTACTTCTGATCTCACCATTATTTAATAATTATGTGTGAGTTGTATTTCTTAAAGTTGGAAAATATCAATTTTTATGTTTAACTTTTATCCTAAAATTTTATATTTGTATCTATCTTAGCTCCCTAGTTGTATCCCAACCTTGCATTCTAGTCCCTACTCCTGTACTGAGTTCTTTGGATAAGTTTAAAAAAACTGAATAAATGCTAATTTTCTTAAATTCAGTACTATAAATCGGTTTTTGAAACTATTTTTTTAAAAACCGTGGGACTAGATTTTGGTTGTAAAAGTGGCTAAATTCACAATTTTTTTTATCGTATTCTAAGGGTTTTGTATTATTCGATATTTATAACTAATTATTCTAAGGGTAAGTTGATAAAGTGAATACAAGTATTAAGTACTTATCAATGCTCTAGGTAAGAGCAGAGTTGCTGTACTGAACCGCCAAATTTACTAATTATCTTCAAATATCCGTTGCAGTCAAGTTTTCGGTCAAGTTCTTTATTTAAAGGTTCAGATCAACCACAACCGAAAGGGAGCATCTAATTTTTTGAGCTCAATTTTGTTAAAGTCGATAGCGGCATAATTTTTATAATGTACTGTGAGGGTTTACCGAGAGAGGGGACAATCACTTATTAACCTCACGCGCACCCTTTACCGATCCCTCCTTTCTTGTCCTAGTTACCTTTTTTGGGTGGTGCGAATTGCTCTCCTCAGGTAGCTCAAAGTTGTCAAATAAATTATAACTTTTTTAGTATATCGATAAACCTATATTATACACCTTTGTTTTTATTATACGGTTCTAGAAAATGCAATCCTATGCTGTTTTTATGATACTATTCCCGGATATCTCGCTCTATTCTATTAGTTTTATTGCTTTATAGTTCAGTTTTCAAACTTTTCTATTATATCACCTGTGTCCTAGCGGTTTAAATTCAATTGTTTTTCGTACTTACTGCTTTTTATTTAAATTTTCCTTGATTACTTTTTATGTACTGGTTATCTAATAACCTTGAAAGCAAATTGTTAAAAAATTTTAAAGGTTAACCGCACAATGAAAAGTTGGCAAACTCAGCATAGTATTCATACATTCTGTTCGAGTGGGTATATGAAAATTAATTACTATATTGACCGTGATAGAGAGCGTTACATGCTGGTTTAAAAATGTATACTTAAGTTTAATTAGTAGGTAGACTAGGGAAACACGGGTGTTTTTTATACTCTTTTATACCTACCTCGTTCTTCGCCTATTAAAATTTCTTAACAAAACTTTAAGTCTGTTTATTTTGGTACTGAACTCCAACTCATCTTATTAAATAATTTTTGTAAAAAACCAATTTGGACAGAGCCATTAAAATAGTGTTTAACCATGAATAGCAGTAAGTGCTAACCCTTTTCTTGAAAATTTGCAAAAAAAAATTTTTATTAGAGGAAACGGGGGTTTAGAAGTATGGACTCCTCTTTTTTCATTTGCGAAATCTCATGAAGTAGATAATTTTTTTAATGTAGACGACACAGGTAGCTTTAATATATAAATAATTCATTTAACCAAATTATAATATTTAAAATTTGTGTGCTTTAAAAATCTTAAAAGCGGCACAGGCATTTTTTTTACGTAACGATTAAAGAAATATAAGTATTGCAAACACCAATTTTTATAAAAAAAAAAAAAAAAAAAGAGCTCATTTTAAGTGACAAGTTATTTATATGCAAAAGGCTACTCCTGTGTTTGATAGGGTCAACGAACTTCGATTACTCTGCGCTCTTTATTAGAAGAAGACTTGTTTTTCATATTTGGATAGTATAAGGGGGAAGAGCACGGTATGTACCAACTGTTTTCACTAATTATTAATGTGTTTTAAATTTTCTTTTGCAGCTTTCAAGCTTTGTGAATGCACACGCCCTAAAGACGGTAAGCTTTCTTTTATAACCCATCCTTTACAAAGTTAGTGATATCACTAAGTTCAGACTTATAGACCGAAACATTAAAACCATACTTGTATTCTAAATAGTCAAGCCAGCTCTATAGGCTGAAGGAACGTCGTAAAAACGTCAGAACAAAAATCTTATAGTTCAGTATTTTTTATTTAATATTTCCTGGTGCTCGAATGGATCGTAAAAGAAAACATCAGATTTAGAAACCCTCTACAGGGTGGTAGCGTACACATTACCTTTAAGCTTGTATTAAAGTAATCTCGTATATCCTAGCTCAAACCATAATACTCTCTCGTGCAAAATTGTTATAAAGTTTTGCTTTTTTTTTTTTCATTTAATATAGAATAACTTTTCAATAACTAATGGGTTACTTTAAAATTTATACACAGTAAACTTCTATGCCTAGCTACATTTTGTTAATACTTGATCTTAAATTGGTTTAATATTCGAATGGATATGAGCTTGTAAAGTTGAAAGATTATAGAAACAATTTTACACGGAGAAAAAAATTTAATTTAATATACGAGGTTTCTAATTAGTATAGCTCCATTTTGCCAGAATCACTGCTTGTATCCTTTTTGGCATACTGGCAATTAGATTGTAGCATTGAATCTGGCGTTATATTTTCCATTCTGATTGTGCACATGTCCTAAGCGCGTTCAAGTTAGCAGGATCTGCTTCGTATGATCACAATTTCTCAAGAGTCCCCTGCATGCTCAATAGGATTGAGATCAGGAGGTTGCGAAGTCCAGTTAGCACTTGGAACGACTGTATAAGGGGTTAATATAAACAATTATTAGTTAGTGCGTTATAGAATTTTTACGAAAAAATTTAAACAAAAACAATTTTGAACGATGGATATGTAGAGTGTGCGCCGTCCGAGATTTTCGTAATTGACCTCATTTGTCGGTAACCAATGGGTACGCTGATTGGGCAACTGCACCGAAAAAGGTTTAGAGGTCTTGATGTTATGAATCGTTGCCACGGCGCGCCTGTCTAAGGCGTAACAGCTTTTGCTTTGTCCCACTTGGAGGGGAGGCTATTGCCGGTGGCGTTACTATGATTAAGTAAGCTTAAATTTGTTATTGACTTCTGAGTAGGGTCTCATATAGAAATATTTTTATACTTAGAAATCTATAATAGTATTGCCCCCGGTTAAATCTAGTTTTTACAAAGCTGTTTGTCAACTCAATAAAATTTAACGTTACAATTGGTAACTTCTAGTGTATTAGATTTATGATAGAAAGTTAGATTTTACTAACCCCTTAAGATAGCAAACAATAAATTCCTTGTAAACTTTACTAAATATACTTTAATATCTTTATATTCATTATCAACAAAGTGGTTCAGTAAACCTCCCTGACTGGGGTCGGGGAGTCGATCATCAAATATTATTTTTAGATGGACAGGTAGGGATAAAAAGGTTATTAAAAATAATTAAATAAAAATCCTTATATTGCATAAAAACAATTAATTTTTAAAAAAAAAATACTTGCTGTCTGATACTGCAAACTTACATTAGAGAGTTTTTAAGTTAAAATAAGGAATGGAAATAATTGATAATAATCACACTTTTAAGCCTAATTAGATAAAAAACTTTTTAAAATAATGAAGTGTTTGTACAGACAGTTAATAATTTTGGTTAACAGTAACAGTGTGCTTTTCAGAAAGAAATCTAGTAAGTATTACTAACTAAATAAGGCAACAAAAATAACAGCTGAAAAAAGCTCTAATAGGAAATAAATCTTTTTATACAGCTATCAAAGAAATTTAATTACTGTTCAAGGTAATCGCGCTTCAGTTAGCATCTTTATAATAAAAAGGATGAGCATCCATGGCTAAGAGCTTAGCTCTCTTAAATCGTACTTAAATAGTTTTATTATTATGGAAAATAAAAACTGCTTTAACTGGGGTGGTCAACTACAAGTTATTAGTAGAGCTATATTAACTGTTGATAACGGTGAAGGGTTTCATGATAATTTGCTATGAACAATACGAGAAAAAAAGGTAAATGTGTGGAAAAGTGTATAAAATAAGAGGTTTACTATAATTAAAAAGTGTAGAAAATCGCGGTACTAGCAGAACAAAAAACCCTTTAACTTCACAATGCTGACTATCATAAACATGCTCCTTTTGTAGGTGCACAAATCTTCCCACTAAATCTAAAGGGGCTCAGTCGACAATAAAATAATAACCAGCAAAATATAAGAAACGTTAGCGAGACGCGCTGTGTGCCATCGCAAGTTTTGCGAAAACGCAGTGGGAGGTCATGGCTCGAGCAAATAAGATGAGGTCTTTGGTCCACCGGTGTGGGCCACAATTTAATTCAGCAGGGGGCATGCTGAGTACTTTATCAGAAGGCAAATACATTTTGAATGACAGTGTAAGTGACGTGCCTCCCTTCTCTTATACTTGTTTACAAGCATTATATTTATATTTAATTTATAGATCCCGAAATTAAGTGGTATTTTGTCTTTTTTCAAAAGCTTTTGTTCCGAAAAATACAATTACTCTGAAGTAGATTATAAAGAAGTTACTTGTTTTTAAGTGCTTTTTAGATTTAACTTTTTTACTATGTAGGATATCTTGTTTAATCCTCCTATTTTACCTCACGACTCTCAATCTATCCTTAAAAGAGTGGATGAGTTAGAAAAAAAATTTTTACAGGACGAAAAGATTGCTGCTTCGGGAACAGTTAGGCCCGTTACAAAAGGTTGTGTTCATTTTCATTTTGCTTTATTATATTATAACAGTTTATACAAATAAAAAAGCACTGAACTTTGGCTCTTCTACGTTTGGACGCCCAACGGAAGAAGAAGATTATCAATCTGAAAAAGTTTCTTCCGGTGAAAATTTAGAAGACGAAGTTTATAATAAGTTTTTTTCTAAGTATGAGGGCGCTTGTGATAAACTTAAATTAGGTAGTTTGATAATAACATATTATCATAACTGTTGACACTTCATTATTATCTTTTTAACTCAGATAATTCAAAGTTGGTAAACTATAAGAAAAACAGAGAGTATGCTCTTGGCCTTTTACCAATAGACGTCCGAGAGAAAGTTTCAGAGAGAACTAAAAGATCACTGGCTAAAGTATATATAAAATAAATCTAATAAATATATGATAACACACTCCCCCCCCTCCCCCCAGTTTGCCACGGAAACGAACAAAAAGAAGGCCTCTTCTTTTTCTCTCGGGGAAATGGAGAAGTCTCTGAAGGGGTTGTGCTTTCCGGACCGGCTATTAAGAAAAGCAGCAACCATCCAGAAGTGCGTTGAGGTGCTGATGTCTTGTATACCCCACGTGCGATCATTAAACTACGCTGACACACCTTTTAGCAAATTATATTGAGGCAGGATCCCTTAATCTCGAATGCACTTCAAGAAGTTGGTGTCAGAGTTGTTAAGGTAACGGTCTACACTAGCGCTATTCCTAGGGGGGTTACCCTTCCAAAAGGTCGAAATGAAAAAGCAAGCAGTTGCGGTGATTCGCTGGAGGAGTACAAGGGGGCCCGAGGTAACTGCTTTTTGCGGCGCACACCGCAGAATAATAAGTAACGTTTTTATTTCGAAGTATGAAACAGCGGAAAAGGCAAAGGAGATTTCTACGTACTTGAGTTCTATTAGCGGACGGCTTCGCCACGCTGCTCAGGCTCGGCTACAGATGGGGTTCTTTAGTGTCTCTTGCTTTGCTTTTACACTGCTGGAGGTGTGTGACTCCGCAGACATATCCCGAGCATGGTTTGGGCGCTGGACAGGGAAGGCGCAGAGCAGTCTAAACTTGACGAGGTTTTTGAACGTCTAAAAGAGGAAAAACATTTGCTCGAAACAATGAAGAACCAAAAGACACAGAGTAGCAGTAGTAGCAAAAGCGAGTTATCTTAATAAAGCTATAAACTATTTATGTTAAAAGTTCGGTTGTTGTGTTGGTACCAGCCGTCATCCGTTAGTAACCGGTGGATTGCTAGAAGAATGACTTGTTTATCCGCGGAACAACGATCGTCCAGTCGCTGGATAGTCGTGAGGCAGTCTTGTCTGAGGCGAGTAGCAATCAGAAGGTGCAGAGTGCTTCGAGGGGGGCTGTATATGAAGAAGGTACATGCGCTGGAAAGCCCTCGACGCACTGGGCAGCACCTGCACCTTTTCATCGTTGGAAAGGCACCGCAGAAGCCTATGGTCAGGTGTCCCATGTGTCAGTAAGATCGCCCTGCCTGCCACCACTAACCCTTACCAGAACAGGTGGTCTCTCTTCTCGCTATATACGCGCACTTCACTGAGGAGTCTGCCTTCCGGCCTAATAATGACCTTCACGTGGGAACTGCTGTCGCCTGAGAAAAGTTTACCGTTAGCGGTCCCTCTCGCGGGGCTGTTCCCCCCTCTTAGGCTCGTTCTTACCGAGAACACTTCCGTGCAGAACCACCTCGTTAGCTTTGCGGGTATGCTTTTCTACAACGTCCATAAACGACTCGACCAGGCCAGAAACGTCTACCAACGACCTCGTCCGCCCGATGATGGTTGCGGTCACCGAAAGTTGGTGGGCGTAAAAGCACGGTTTTGTTTTGCAGGAGGTTTGAGGCCCGACCTTGACGGTCCCCAGAAAGTACAAGTTCCCAGTATTACACGAAAGAAAGATCTGAAGATCTCCAGCAAGTAAATTCAGCTTTAACGTGATAGTGGCCGTTGTATTTTTCTTAAAGTTCTTTACACTCGTCGAAGTGCAGTCTGTGTAAGCTTCGTTGCTGAAGGGTAGAGCTCTTACGTTCTTCAGAGTCCTAAAAAGACATTAAACAAAATGAGAACCAAAGCGCATTAAAACTATACAAGAAAAACCGCTCGCTGCAGTTCTTAACGAGCAACACAACAGCGAGATGAGGATACACGGGAACCGCCTCCGCTTGTATTAACTCAAGCAACACTTCACTACTACTACAGATATTTTGACCGCTGCTTTTGTTACTATTATATTCCCCTACAGAATCTGTTGCCTCCTGGCCAAAAGTAATTAGTTTCTTCAGGGGAACAAACGGAGTGTGCACGGAAGAAACATATCGACTTTGAAGGAGATTTTCAAGAAGCCTCCGGCAGTGGGCCACTAAATGTTGTTTATTGAGTATAACTTCTTCCTGTTCCTGTGAACAAAGATTTCTTGATCTTAAAAGTTGGAATATATAAACAAATAAACACCCTCCGGCGGTTTTCACCAGTAAGAATTTTAGACTTGAAAAGATTGACAAACTCTCAAGACAACTCTTTATGAGCAAAGATTTAAAAAGGTCGCTATAATAATACCTTTTTCAAATTCTCTTTAACATGTTCATCCAAGCATCTCGAAGCTGTTTTTGTATTCATTTGGCTGGTCGCGCTTTGTTCTTCCGCCTCCAAAGTAAAAAATTTTACACCGAAGCGTTCATGCTCAACAAAATTGCCAGAGGGAAAGTTGGAGTCGAAAAAAAACTTAGAAAAGCTTCAGGCTTCATAATATATTTATAACAGTTAACAAAAATCTACCAGGTGTGAATTACCCCTCCAAAGATTAAAGCTTAAGCCACACAAATTGTTTTTTTGAAATTCAAAAATCGTGTTATCTATAAAAAAAAGTTATCAAAACTGCAAATTGCTAATAAATTTAGCAAGTTTTATTATATACAAAGGTATATTTTATATAGCCTCCATAATATTTCAAAAGTTAATCCTTTAATAGATATATGTTTAAGCGGGCGTTGTGTAATAATTAAAAAATTGCTCATTAAAATTTTACAATAAAAGCAGTATAGAAAAACTTTGTCCCGCGTTAAGAACTTCAGAATTCTCGTAATCCGTTTTAATTAATAAGAGTTTTGAAGTTCCATTTTTAAAGGAAAGCAAGCAAAGAAAAGAAATTTCTTCTATTAACAATATATTTTAGGAAAAACAAAAAAATAGTAAAGGCGCAAATCTATTTAAACTGTCCACAGTTAAATATTTTAAAAGGTGACAAACTTTTAAATAATTGTAAGAAAAATATCTTTATACAATAGAATAAGGCGAGAAGACGAGTTTCCTATTGATTTATGAAAAAAAAAAGCTACAAGCAACTGAAAATAACATACAGAAAAATACAGATATGTAAACTAATAAACCCAAGCTTTATTTAAACTCTTTAATGCCTAAGCCTCTAAGATTTATAAACTCACAAATGATACTTTACTATATATTATAAATATATTAAATTCTCCAATCTTTAAAAGGTTAAAATAGAAAATTTAGCCAGAGTTCAAAGCAGCAATCACCATGTATTATATAAAACAAAAAAGTAAGTTTTTTTTTAAATCGAAAAATAACTTAAAATAAAGTAAGCCGACCTTCTTTAGTTATATTTCTAAAAATTTTCACACTTTCCGCTACTTCCTCTAGTATAAATAACTTTACTAAATTGCTACCCTTATAAAACAAAAGTTCTTTGTTCTCCGTAGAAATCGCAAGATACCCTTCTGCTGAAAAAGCATTAGACAATTTCCAACTTGACTTATAGTAATAATTAATAAAGGGCATTTTAAGAAGTAAGGAGGTTGACTTGATCACTTTAAAAATTATATCCAACTTCAAAAGTTTAACGTGGAAACAGTCAGAGGGCTGGTGACAACTGCCTTTATTTTTAACAGGATCTTTTAAAGTACTAAATAAATCTTTTATAAAAAGTAAACTCAAAACGAACGAGGATTTCTGAGAGATGAAAGGCGTATTGGTAGGAAGGCAAACACTAGTTGAATCTACGCTAGATTTTAACAACAGAGCATAAGAAAGACTCCCATCTAAAACAGTTCCAATTTTCATAAAATAGTAAATGTTTGTTATTGAAGGCGCAACTTCTGTACAGTTCATACTGTAAGAACTATGCTTCTTTAAAGCACAAGGCCAAACTTGAATTCTTTGAGAGCAAGTAAGCAATATGGTTTTCCCTACGTGCGGATTCTTAAACGCAGTGAAATAGAAATTATTAGTTGTAAATTCTTTAATCATTTCTTCAATATATATACAAGGGCCGTCAAGTATTAAGCATTTATCAGCCAAAAAGTAGGAAAAAGTGCAAAGATCGCTGTAAACGGATGGTTTGATAGTTACAGGGTTTTTTAATAAAACTACAAAGTAAGGTGATTTATAAAAATAATTGTGGATACTACATTTTAAAGGCAATAATTCATCTTGAACTGTTAAGTTTATTAAACAGTCATTCAAACTTCTACAGGAGTCAACAGATATATTTCCACCCTCATTAAGGGTATAAACACTTTTTAATATATTTTCACCTTCGCGAAATTCACTGGTAAAGCAGTCATTATTAGAATCAGAAAACGCTGTTGTGTTTAAACCATACTCCGCTTGAGGGGCTGCTGGGCTACCGCTTGGGATAATGCAAGCTTGTTTATTCAATAAGCTAATAAAATTAAAATTCACACTGATCATAAAAAAACGAAAGCCCACAACTCCTTCAACCTTTATTTTTCCCTGGTATGTCTCCTTAAATTCTGAAAGAGACTCAAATGAGTTATAGTAATTACTTTCATCGAAGGAACTATTAATATTATTTAGATCCTCAGTGTAAGAACACAATACAAATAAAAAAAAGAAAAGTCGTTCCCCTAAATTACTGTCTATAGCAAGCTTGGCATCGCAAAAATAAGCTTTGTCCCTAAAAGAAAAACACAAGCGACTTAAAGGCAAAAATTCAGGAGTTTTAACTTCTGTATGAGAACTATAAATTACTTTTGTATCTTCATGAACACATTTATAAAGTATTATACGGTAAAGTTCCTTTTCAGATAAGATGTTTTTCTGGAGTACGATAAGATTTTCCTTGTCAACTTCAAGAAGTTTTAACGCAACCCACGGCATTTATAAATTAACAGCACTCGGACTTGGCGTGAGGTAATAAAAAATGTCTGTTTCTTGTGTATCCACGAGTATACCGCCGCGCCACTTCCATCATAAATATTACTTCTGTGCATATTCGCTGCTTATCGACTATTGGCGCCTTAAGTTTTACACAGCATTTAACCATAAATAAAAGTTATTATTATCAATTGGTAGACTTTGATGAAACATTGTTAATAAAAAATGGATCGAATAAAAACAATAGAAAGTTTGTTCAACAAAAACGAGTTAATAAGCGTGTTGTCCTAAATGGTGTGTAAATATATACACTTCAAGTGGGCCTCTTTGTCTTAATAAACATATTATGAATCCGACAGTTCACTAATATACAAATTTACCCTAACATTTAAAATCTTAAGCACTTAATATTTAAATTTAGAAAAGCCTTTTCTAATGCAGATACACTACAACCTTTGCAAATATAATATGCGACTATAAAAAAGTAAGAAAGCATTTCCGTAATTACAATTAGTAAATAGCTAAAACCCAGATTCATTATATTAGACAAACTTTACTGGAAACTAAAATCTATAAAGAATATATTTTTAGGTTTTGGAAAGCTTATTCTTTATTTCAGCCTGTAATAGTTACGCTCATACTTTAAACTGTAAACTCTTGATACCAAGCCCCTCATTACTTTTATTAAAGAAAACACCTAACCTAAATTTTTTAAAAAAAACCTGCACGCAAAAATTTGCACCGTATTATTTTAAATACAAACCTTTTATCCTTAAAATCTCTTTATAACACATTGTGATTTTTTTATGGTTCAAACTCCGAAGAGTTCTTATTATATTTACTTCACACGCCTTAGCCTTATTAAATGTTAGATATTAACAGCTTAAGTTTTAATTACCATACCCACCTGAAATAGTGCTTATTTAAGTTTTGGCCTCATCTAATAAATACACAGAGATTTCGAGAAGAATCGTTAAAATTATTCGTATCAATCTAATTTTAGTTTCCTCTATCTAAATTGGATTCTCATAGTGGTCCTTCAGTAGATCTGGAAACTAGTTTTACATTAAAAGATCATAAAAACAATAAAATTGGTACCAGATCCTAAATAGAATAACTAGCGATATATGTTTATAAGTTGAATTAAATCTAATAAGATATAAAATTTCTTGGAAAAAATAACTTTTACTAGTTTAGTAGTAAAAAAATTTTTTTATATTTCAAAATTTCCTTTTAACTATGAGGACCCTAATCTATAAATGTGCTATATAATTTGTTACAGTTTTAGCTCTTACCTCTAAAAAGCTAAATTTTGTTTGTAAACAAATAAATATATTATAAGAATTCAATATCTTTCTTATTTTATATATACTAAAGTAATTAATAAGGTAAAAAAGAAGCAATGATGGTCTAGCAAACATATTTCTTCCCACTAAAATTCACGTGCAACAAAAATTCTCCGGCCATAAAAATGTGGGCACATATTTTTAATCACTCTACTTGGGAAAATATAATATTTATTTATAATAGGCGTTTAAAGCGTTAAATAGTATAATTATTGCTTGCCAAAGTGAGTGAAAAAGCTTAAACTAAAAAGCTACTTTGAATAAATGTTTTTGTGAAAATTCACAAATTTAAATACTTTTCTAGTAACGAACTTAAATTAATAGAAAAGATTATCACGCCTCGTTACATTTATCTTTATATGAAGAAATTAAAATTATAAAGTAATTAAGCATTTACCTTTTTTTTTTTTGTTGCTGCTGTTTTTGGCCTATAAGTTTATGGAAGAATTCTTATAAAAATAACTAGGTTTTTGAATGCTTTAAAAAAGTTGTAATAAAGTTTTAATTTTATTAAAATTGAATGATAAACTTAGATATAAAAGATGTAAGTCTCACCTTATATAAATCATTCCGGCAATAATTAAGAGCGCAATTAAAGTTATGGCCCCAACTGACAAAAACTTAATTTTTCCTTCTTTATTGTATCCGGTTTTTACGGGATTGAGATCGCTTAAACCTTTATAATTTGGCATATAAATTAAAATAGAGTTCTCTAGCTTAAAACTTTTTAAGAAAAAAATTTAGTAAATTTTTAACATGCTTATATGAAGCGATTTGCAGGAATACCAGTTTTTTTACCCAATTAGCCAGGAATATATTTTTTTAAATAATTATCAGCAGCGATTACTTAACACACATTATACCTTTTAACAAGCCAATAAGCCTTCAGTTTAAAATTTAAATGATGTAATTAATAAATAAAATTTACAATAACTATATTTTCTGAATAGATTAACTTACTACTCATACTTGCATTGCTTTTACTAATTATTATAGTTTTGTGTTTTATGTACCTTACATATATATATTAATTTTTTTTTGATACACAACTGTATAATTCTCTTTTTTTTAATATTTTCGTTTTATTTGTTTGGGTAATCCTCTCGCAACTAATTAAAAGGACTTACCTCCACTCTATTGACTGTGAACGCCG